TTCATTGGGAAATTTTGTCTTTTTCATGATAATCCCTCAGTTTTCATGGGAAATATTTTATATATTTAATTCATTATATTGTCATTTGATATCAATTCAGTAATGAGCAGATTAAGTTAATCTTTTCAACTGCAACTTGTAATTCAAAGTTTACCGATTATCAAACTGCCAAACATGAAGAGAAACAATTTTTTCACCAAAGAAAAGTTCATATCATGAATTTTTCAATCAAGAATTCAGATTAAGCATGATAATGGAATACAGAGTAAAAATGGATAAAGTAAAAACTTGGAGATACTTTTTGTTTCGTTCACAATTATTGTTCAATTCCCAGGGAATTTGAATTGATAAATTAAATAATAGAAAAGTCCAGACAAAAGAATAGCAAAAAAAAAGTTCTGTTTCATGATAATTCAGGGTAAAAGGTCAATTGATATCCAATATGTTTGGAAATTGAGTCGATCTAAATAAAAAAAATATTATTTTCTATTAATCAGTAGACTTGAATTGATCAGAATAAATTTGAAATGAATCGATCAGATTAATCTGCTGATTATCATGATGATGATTAAATTATTTTCAAAATTTCAATAAATTCCATTATCTTTTATCAATGTGATAAATAAAATTTACCATGATGAAAATTTATTCATCTGCTTCCGTTTCAATGAAATTTGATAAAAAAATACCAAATCTTTAAATGAATACAATGTAAATGAAGCTTAAATTAAAAAGAAAATCATTGATTCTCAATTCATGACGATAATTTCAACTGAATTATCATGTAGATTAAATATTGATGATAATTATGATTATCGTCATCATCATGTTATATTTATATGATTATTCAACTATCCAAGTCCCATGAGTTATTTACTTATGCATATACATATATTTTCTGATGTGAATTCATGGTTGTTCATGATAATACCTGAACAGATAGAGAAAGAGAGAGAGATGAGCAAATATTATCTCTGGATGAGTTTTATTCATTTCGTTTTCTTTTTTGTTCTATCTTGGATTTTTTTCCCTTCATCTTTCAATGAATTATCCAATTCCAATAATGATATTTCATCATGATTACATAATGAATTTTACTGAATTTACTAACCTTGAACTCTTAAGCTTACACGAGCATCTTGTATTTGGGTGGGGTACTGATCACTATAAATACATGGATATAACAATGAGCTTTTCAAAGTATTCAATGGTAGTCCCATGAAAGTGTTTCATATGCTATTCCAATTTCAATGTTAATAATGACTCTAAATTATCATGAACATCTTGAGGCTTTCATTATCGATATGCTCGTGATTGTCTACTGATGAATAATTGAACCCGAAAGCGGAAACTTTTTTCTTAGAAGAAAAGAAAATGCATTTTCCTGAAAGTTCAGGGACGCGATACATAAGTTTAGTTGAAATTCTACAGGATTTTCAATGTATATTAGTTATATTCTTGGCAAGAGATAGAGGTAAAGTTCATTGGGAGTGATGCACATCCATATAAAGAAAATAAAGATAATCGAGAAAATGAAAGAATATGAATTTATCATGAGTCTCAGTGAATAACTTTCTTCTCTCTGTTTCTATTATTTTGAAGAAAATGAATGGAAATCACCATGATATTGTTATTCTGTCTTTCTAATGGCAATTTATTTCGACAAGAGTTTTTCGAGTCGAGTTTCAGAGAGAGAGAGAGAGAGAGAGAGATAAATGATGTACCTCTCGATAGATTCTCCCTCTTCATATTCCACTTGAACTTGCGATCTCTCAGAATTGGTTCTACTGAAATTATTGTTTTCCAGGTAAATTTCTGGGAATAAATGTTGATGAGAAATTCTGATGAATGTAATAATTTGTTTCCATTTGGATTCGATTAAATTTGCAAGTTTTTTCTCAGAAAAATTCGAGGGCAACTGATATTATCACATATTCTTATATTCTGATATTGGAAAAAATCATCATCATGGTGATAGCAATCGATCCTCAATTCTTTCATGTAATTAAAGGCCTTTGTGTCAGAATTTTGAGTGGCATCTGTTTTGAAATCGAAAACTTTTCAAAAGTTCTGAAATCATTATTTCTCATTCCATGATATCAACAATTTCAACTTTGATCTTCATATGAAGGAAGGGGAAAAAACTTCTACCATGATGAGGAGTAAACATCTTCCCTTTTTGACTTGAGAAAAAGGGGATAAAAAGAGAGAGAGACAACATAATCTAATCTTGGAATCAGAATAGCATGACAATTCTGTGGATGCCTGAGTATTCACATTGTTATTTCGAAGTTGAATAACTTTCATTGTGACATCTTAGTGATTTTATCTCCTTCATCATCAGATGATTATCTTATTATTGGAAAAGAATAGAAGCAGAAGCTTGACCTTTGTCCACTTGCAATGTTCTAATTGACAACGAGAAGAGAAAAAAAGAAAAGAAAATTCAAAACAACGAATAAGAAATTGAAACAAATTTTTTTCTTCTTCAATTCTGTTATTCAGATTTACCATGAAATCCAAAGGAAATGTTTTCAGAGGGATTGTTTTCTAAAATAGGTGAGAGAGAGAGAGAGAGAGAATCAACATCAGATCGTCACATCATTTGATTGTTGGAAATTCATTTGATTATAAATACAATTTCATTTGATTGAATATTCAATGAACTTTTTTCTTCAGCAATTCTATTTCCAGTTCACTTTCGTATTCATTGTTATATTTAAATTGCAGAATCGTGGAAAAGTTGATCAAACACTGAGTTCGCAATTTAATTGAGATTATGATTCTCTGATCAATCTAATTCAATGTCTCATGAAAATTTCAAGCTCTTTACTATCTTCCTCTTCTCTCTCTCTCTCTCTCTCTCTCTCTCTCTCTCTCTCTCTCTTGTCATGAGACATTGGATATCAAACTTTTCATCAAACATGGTGGACATACAGGGTATTTATATATGTATGCCACCGGAATTGATATCTTCCGGTAGATTCAGGAATAGTATCTCAGATTCCGGAAATTTGTTCAACTTTGTATTGAAGTGGAAACAGGGATAAAAAGCCTGAAGATGATGATGATTAGAGTGAATAAAAAGTTCCTAAAGTAAAGTATTGAAGTAACATGAAAATTATTGTCCTCTAATCATCATGTTCATCATCATCATGAATTTCATACTTGATGTAATAATATCACTATTACATGACAATAATATAAAAGGATAGATGAAACTTTTTTTTTTAAACCACTGGACATAAAGGTCAGTGGTTTAGTTTTATATACAATGTAAACAATGCTGACCTCATCATGAAGGCAAAAGCTAAAGATGAGGAACAAGAAATTGTATCATATTGACCAGTGAATATCAAATGTCCACTACTAAGAAGTAGGAAAATAAAAAGCTAAATGAACATACAGAAAGTCAATGTAAATACCCTGAGGTTGTAGATAACATCAACTGAATCATCTTGAAATAACAAATTTCTAAAAATAAACACCAAGATAATCACTTAGATAAACTTGGTAACTATAAAAATTCAATTTCTCAGTTAATTGTGATCATCAATTAAGGTCAATTAAGAGAAGGATAAAATTCATTCAACCAGAATTGAGATATTAGATAGATAGACAGGGAAGGTGAAGATAAGTTCTAAAAGTTTTTGGTTTTTAAGTTTTTTTTTCCAGAACTTTGAAAATTCATGAGGATTTTTTTTCTTCTGAATCAACATTTTCCTCTTCATGTGTTATAAAGGAAGTGACGTGAAATTATATTATCAATATATAATGAATACTGATCAGTATTATTAATAGAAGCACGTTAATTTAATCAGGCTGGATTTTCATGAGTGTATTTGAGTATTGATAATGTTTCGTGATTCTGTAAAGCGTCTTAACATGACGTTGACAATGAGCAGGGAAAACAATAACAACCGGAATTCATGGGGAAAAGTTCATTTCTCCCTTGATGTGACAGCAGAAAAAAAATAACTGTTAAAAGCTCTGAAAGAAGGAAGAAGAAGATAAAATAATCTTGCTAACCTACTCCCTTCTCTCCCTAATATATATACACATTTTCCTCTCTTACATCATCTTCATGAAGCTTATCTTTGGGTATTGTTCAGTTCTGATTCAGATTCACATACACATAGAAACTTAGACAGAGAGAGAGAGACACATATTCACTACAGAAATGGTTCCATCCATTAAAAAATTGCTTCTTCTTCATCATCTTCAAAAGTCTTCATGATGATATTAGAATCTGAGAAAAGAGCTATATTTATCCTCTCTCTCTCTCTCTCTCTCTCCGTCTCTCTCTCTCTCTCTCTCTCTCTCTAACTCCCTCTTTCATTTCACTTTCAATCAAGACAACGATTACTCTTATCATCATTCCCATCATCCGATTCTGATTGTTATTTGTATCATCATCTCCCATAGACTTTCCTTATATCTCAATCTTTAGCTCACTATCTTCATTGTATCTTTATGGTGGGTATTCATTGCTGTTGTTGTTGTATTATCATAATGTATTTACATATTATCTAATAGTTATCTCTCTCTCTCACTTCGTGTTATTATTATATAATCATTATTGTCTCGAATTTAGTTCAATGAACTTATTTACTTTGGCAATAGTTGTAATAATATTATGAGAGAGAAAAAAAAGTTCTGATCTAATTTAATGTTTACCATCATATCAAAGTTTTCACATTTCAATGCTTCTAATATCAATGCGAATTGATTACAAATTGGTTCAGGTTAATGTTAATCATGATTAGATTTAGTTACATTTTCAGATTGGATTAGATTGTGAAAGAAACAATTTAATCAAAAAAGCTTCATCTTCCCTGTGGATTAATATTACATATTATCAATTGTTCATCATGATATTAGTCTGATTTTTTTGTTCAATTGATTGAACGTTGATTTGATTACGATTTGAAACTTTGAAACTTTCAATAGGTTTAAATATGATTTAGTAAATTTGGTTAATTGTTTTTGTGGACACTCACCAATTTGTGGTACATCGTAGGGTCGACTTGACCTTCGGGCGATCCGATGAAATAAACTCTCAAAATCTTTGGGTGTTTTAATGTTCATTTCATTAGCATCATTATTATTGTATGTTGATGGTTGTGGTGTTGTTGTGTATAAGGATGATGAAGATGATGATGATGATGATGATTGTTTTGGTTTGTTGATTTGCAAATAATGAGATAATTGGGTTGGATGATGTGATGATATAAATGAGTAATAGGAACCAGGGGACACTGGTGATGATGTTGCTTCTGTTGCTGATGGTTGTGTTAAAGGGATGAAGACAAAGATGACAAGGATAATGGTGATAATTGTGATGATAATGATGATGATGATGTTGATGATGCAAGTTTTTTCTCTGATGGTAAATATGATTTTGAATGTGATAAAAGTGTTGATGAAGTTACCGGTAATTTAGATGATGATGGAGATAATAAATCCGGCCGAGAATCGGTTAGGAAGATGAAGAAAAATCATCTTCTAGATTATCAAGATTACCTGTTGATAGGAAATAAAAGGTAAACAGGATTTGGTAAGATGAGGATGTTCAATGGAGTTTAAAAGATGGAAGAAGAAAAAACAAAATTATCGATTTTGAAATTTAAAAATCTTTTTATTCTGATATCAAAAATATTCATCTTTCAACTCAAGGGTATATATCATGAAACTCAATCACCATCATCATCATCATGAACCATTGATCAACATTCAATGTTAATTGTATTCAACTGAATTTCAACAAGTTTCATTTTTCCATTGAAACTTTTTTCCTATCATGAGATTTTACCTCTTTGTTTTCCTCCATTTACTCAGATTTCATTGTTTAAAGGTTAAAGGGAAAAGGTTCATATCATCATGAACAATGATTGATTTTCATTTTTTTAATTGTCAACAATTTAGAGAAAACAATTAACTATTAATGAAATAATTTCTAGGCTTAAATATTGTCACGTTTTCATTGCATTAATTGTATAAGGATTTTGGATCTTTCATCGAATCGATTTCAAGATTAGCCTGAATTTTTGTTCTAATCGGCCTATGGAATCAATGATTTCATGAATGATATCGAGAGTGGGGTGGGTGGAAAGATGAAGAATCACATGTTGAGGGAGGGAGAAATTTTCGAATATAAAAAATGAACTTACCTAAGGAACTAGAAGATAAAGTAACTTCTTTATTGTAAACATTATCGACGTTCTTGTTGATAGAGTTATAATCGTAGAGATTTTTGATAAGATTATTGTTATTTCCTTGAGTACCCGGCGGGTTAATGGCCAGGGTACAGGGGACTCGGTGTAGAAGGTTAAGAATTAGAATAGTTAATAAGAAATTCATTGGTTTTCTCAAGGTGGGTGAAAGTAATTTGGTTACAAGTTGATGGTGGAAACGAGTGGAAAGAGTGACACCAGAATTGTATTGATCCTTAATCAGGGATAATATTGAAATTGTTTCAATTGATTGTGAATTTTGATTTTGTTTATTGTTCCAATGGGGATAATGTTCACGCCGGTGAATTGTCTTGTGTTGGGGTGGATTTGGTAATGGTGATTTCCATAGACTCTGGTGTTGGTGTTGTTGATTATTTTGCCACCGAGATTGTTGAAATGGATGATGAAATAGATGATCAATTTGATTATTGTTTTGATTTTCTTTTGATTGTGATGAATTGTTGATGAAAGATGCTGATAGTTGATGATTGGTAAAATTGTTCTGTTGATTATTAGTTGATGATTTGATAGTTTGCGATGACATTTCGCAAGGTTTGACCTGGTCAACATCGACAGGCAATCGGCCAATCGTAAAGGTAATATTTAGATTGATAATTATTACCAATTTACAATGGAAGACAATTAAAATGATTAACTGTTTTTAACAATTATTATTATCAATATTATCCATTAATAAGATAATTTAATTCAATGATCAACATATTATTTATTACCTTGGGTTTAGTATAGTAACAATTTAGTACGATAATAAAATAATTTATTTTTGACAATCAATTTAGCCACATACACACACACACACACACAATTAACACAATTAAACACTCACACTCAAAACAAACAATTTGTTGTAACAATTAAAAAGTTGTTGCAAAAATATATTTACTATTAATGTTTAAATTTGCATAACAATTAAACGATGGTGATGATAATGATGATAATGATTAACACAATTACTTTTAATTATTGACCATTACGATAAATTTTAAAGATTATTAAGATTATCGTTTTCAATGGTTATGATGATGATGATTGGAAAATCACAAAGGCTTAATTGTAATTACAATCGACTGGTAGGAAATTAAATTGTTCACTCGATTCATGATTTAAGTTGTAATAACTTTCCAAGTTAAATGTTGATTGTTGGTGGAGTTTTGATCAACTATGTGTTTTTGTTTCCCTCTTACGATTGAGCTTGTTGATAGACAACTGCGCAATCAACGATATGATGATGATGATGATGATGGAAGATGAAGAAAGAGAAAAAGAAAGAGAGAATGATAAAAGTGACGCATGAACCAGATCGAATTGAATTCGAAGGAAAGAAAAGAATAAAAATTCTGTTGTAATGTTTTCGATTTATTTTCACCATTTGTTTCTCCATGAATCTCACTCATAATCTAAATCGGAATAAGAATCATTATCATTTCTCTTCATCTTTCTCATCATCATTCATCATTCCGATGACCATTACCTTCTTAGATTCTAAAACTATTAGTGGTTCCGGTGAGATTGATAATAATACAAGAACAGATAAAGACAATAGATATTAGATGAGAATGAAACAACTAAATGAATTTTTGTTCTCAGAACTTTTTTTCTTCTTCTTCTTTTTCTTCATATTCTGTGCTTTGAATTTTAGATTAAGATGAACAGAAACATTATTCTCTCATTGGGTGTAAGAGGAAATTGTAGTTATATCATCATGATGGAGGAAAAGAAGAGGTGGAAAAATTGACATTAATCAATTGTGTCATTTTCCAAATTCATGATTAACCGATAATTATTGATCATCTCAACTCTTTCCATGTCCATCAGCGGGTGTTAAGGTAAATAATAAGATTCCAAGTTCCGGTCAAGTTTTGTTTGTTGATTCCATTTGAATATTATTTTCAACAATGATCGATATCTTTAACATTGTAATCATATCAAAAGGATGATAATTTAATAATAGGAAAGATAAAAATTCATTGATTATCTGAGTAAGTCGGAAGTTGGATCAAAAATTATTATTATTATTTATCAATATCAAAGATATTGGGGTGATAATGAAGATGGTGGGTGATTGTCAACAAATATTATTATCATTTCCGACTCTTCCCTTTCCCCCACTGGACAATGGCTATTATTTATAACTATTATCAGAAAATTACTATTACTTTTTTTTTCTTGTTTATTATCATGATAATTGTGATGATGTTTCAGTGGTCAAGATTGAGATGAGACTCAAGAGTGATATTTATATTATATATTAAATATATCAAAGGGTAAAAGGGAAGTGGATTTGTGAGGGTGGAGGTTTTTTCATGTTTGGCTTAACTGTTATGTTGAACATCATGGTGGCGGTGGTGGTGTGTGTGTGTGTGTGTGTGTGTAGATTCAAGTTAAAGTGTAACTTGTAAAGTTGCTACTATTTGGTTGTAATAATAAAAATTAGATTCAGATGATGGTGGATGAGGAGGAAGAGATGGAAAGATGAGGATGGAGATGAGGATGAGGATGAGAATGAGTAAAAAAATGATAAGATGAAGAGGAAAGGAAGAGATGGAGTGATAAAGGGATGGGTGGAGGTGGAAGGAGGAAGAGGGATGAAAGGGAGAGGCCAATGGTTAGAGAAAAGCATAAACTTCCACCCACACACTCGGAGATATAAAGACAAAGAATCATGATCAATCTGGAAAATAACGATAAATGATAAGAAAAGAACTTTTTTTCTCCTTCATCATCATCATCATCATCATCATCTCTATCACATCTCATGGGCGAATACAAGTTATAGTTGATGATTGGAAATATTTTTTTTCCTTTTCTTTTTTATCTTCATTTTATAAATTCAATTGAATTTACTCATCATCATGATGGAAATAATTTGAAATGGTCATTGATGATAAGGAAAAAGACAATAAGAGTTGGTGATGACCAGAGACTCATTTTAATTTCTTATGGTCAATTTTCAAACTTATTTAGTTTCTCATCGTCTTTATGATTAATCTTATCAGAACTTTTTTTCTCCTTCAAGATTCGTCCTTTTGTATTTATCCTTTTCTCTTGTTGATTATTATTGTTTTCGATAAAATAATGTAAAGAATAGAGAAATTCACAGTTAACTTAATCTGTCCAGTTTTCTTTTCTTTTGTTCGAATTTCGAATGAAATATTTCACACCCTTGGTCAAGATTCCTTGTATGCTAACATAAAATATATATTCCAGTCAAGAGACTCTCGGTGGTTTTAATTATCCAATCAAACAAATTTCTTTTCAATATCCGGAAATAGTTGATATAGATTCTAAGATGGAGGTTGCATCCCAGACACAAGTCGATTGGAATAGTAAAAAGTACTGATAGAGTGAAAGGTTATTCTCCCATGTTCGTCATCATCCGTTTCCATGATTAATGTCATGAATGAGAAGAGAATATTTCATTGAGAGAAAGTTTTTCGAATTCATTGTCATTGAATATCTTGTCTGACATTTTAAAGAGAGAGAGAGAGAGCGAATTGAAATCTCTGAATAGTTGAGAGTGGGAATGATTTCCAGCAGGGTGGAAGTGCTAAAGGAGCAGGAAAACGAGGAGGATAACATAATGATCGTAGAGAAAAAAATATGAATACAAAAGAATTGATTAAATTATAAGTTGTGGGGAAGAGAACGAGACGTAAAGAGATTCATGGTGGAATTCAGGAGAGAGATAGTGACGATGATAATACGATTTAAAGATGATAAAAAAGATGAATATTGATAGAGAATAGCAAAAAGAGGAAGAGGGTGGGTGGTGAAGAGAAGGAGGAAAAAGATTTTGGGAAGTTACGATGAGAAGAGTATTGAAAAGACAAGAGATTCTCATGTCCATTCATGGAACGGAAATGCTACATTCGACTATAGTAAATGTTACAACTAAAAATAGAAATTTACGCTCGATCGATATACTTTCTCTTCTTTTACGATTCTCTTGTTATTTTGGTTATCATCTTTTTCTCCCTCAGCTCAATCTCTCTAGTTCACTCTAACCATGTAACTTTTTCTTTCTCTTTTCATACTTGCGCGTGGATATTCAGAAATAAGCCGAATAAGTTGACTTAATCTTCGTGCTCATCATCCATTGTCATCTCTGTTCTCTCCATCAGTTCGAAAATCTCCCTCCCCAAAGATCGATAATGTCCAATCACTATTTCGATATAAAAAAGTTCTCAAGATTTTCTGATTTGTTCACTTTCAACGGCAGAACTTCAGATAGTCCCTGACAGGCCAATAGATCGACTGGTCAAGAAATTAGTATTTTCCATGGAGCTTTTCAATTCGTGGTCAGGCCAATTTCTGATTCCAATGTCTCTTCTCTCCGTCATAACTTTAAATTGTTTCCAAAAAGTTGATCCGTACCAAGGAAACTCTAGTGACATCTATCGGTGGTGATTAAGGTTAATTTCCTGATCATAATTGGTTAAAAGAGTTTAATTTATATATATATGATTTAATCATAATATTGGAAATAATAACAATAAATTCATTAAAATTACATGATGATTAACAAAAAAAAACTATATGATTAGCTTTGAATTGACAGATGAATGAAGGCTTTTAAAGAAAGTTGATTTAGTTGAATTATAAAAGAAAATGATTAAAATAAGATTATTGTGAATGATGATTAGCATTGATTAATTATAGTTGGTGTTTGTGATCGAGATTTTTCCCATTTTGAGATAATTCCAAGTGGAAAACACATAATTCCGGAGATCATGATAACCGAACCAGCGAGATAAAAGGAAGCATCATACGAATTGGTCACATCGAAGAACCAACCTAATCGAAATAAAAAATAAATCGAAGAACAACAATCAATTAATCAGTTGAGAAATTAGTTAATTGTTACTATTTACCGGCGATCGGACCACCGATAATTGTTGCAATTCCCTGAGGAAGTAATAATAATCCAAATGCGCTGGTCAGTCTTTCCAGGCCAAGAAGCTCAACAGTTATTACCGATCGTAAGGCCACAAAGCAAGCTGATTAATTGAACAATCAAATGGTTAATTGTAATAATAATCGAAAAATGAATCATATCGATCAATTATCCCTCTAATTTAATAATAAGATTAAATTTCTTTTCGTTAATCAAATTGTAAGCCAAGTCTTCCTACTATTAATATTTTACTTTTTATCTAAAAAGTATTATAATAGATTAAGTTTTCACTTTCTATTAATTATAATCTTAACGAGATGATAATTAGTTGATTAAGTTTATCTTAATTTCTTCATCATCATCAACACACTAATCTAATAATCTAATAACGATGATAATCAAATCACATGGAAATGAAATCACTTGTAAAGGGTAATCAATTCATTTGGAAAATATCAATATCTTCAAGATGATTAACTAAAAAAAGGATAAAGAAAATCAATTCAAGGTTAATCCAATAGATTAACCCGATTGTGAATCAATAAGTTGTATTAATAATTACCTATTGAGAAACCAAATAGTGAACAGTAAACAACTAGACTAGCAAATGTAGTACAAATTAAGGGGGACAGAGTAGTGACCAGTCCACCGATGACCAGGGCAACGTTGTTAATAATTAGTGGCCTCACTTTGGGTGAATCGGAGATCCAACCACAGAAAACCCGACCAACGGTATTGGTAATCCCGATGATTGATAAAAGTAGAGCACTTTTTTCAGGACTATTGCCTAAGGGGAAATAAAGTAAATTGTTGTTAATCAGTTAATTGTCGTTTGTCACAAGTTTTACCGGTAGAAATTTACAAAAAATCTTAATTAGTGATTGTAAATCAACAATATAATTAAATGTTCAAGTTTGTACTTTGATCTTAAAATGTATTGGGGAAAATGATTACAAAGTAAACTTAAAATGATTAAAGACTAAATTTTGTATATTAGTTAGTTAATTGTTTGAGTGGTTGTTGATTGCTTATTGTGTTATAATTATAAATGTGTGTTGATTAAATTGATTATGAATATATCTAAGTTTGCGAAAAAAGAAAACAAAATTAATTATTACAATGAAGATAATGATGATTGTTGATTGTTGATTAACAAAAATGAGAGTAAAAATGAGTTTCAACAAACTGGTTACATTGATTGTTGATTAAATTGCAAACAATTACAAGCTTAATCATCAACTTTTTAATAGTAGAGATTAACAATCAAGGCTAAATCAGGGATCTACTCACTATTATATAACTTAATTAACACACACAGGTGAGAGAGGGAATGATTAAGATTAAGATGAGAATCTTGAAACCTGATGAAGTGTCAATTTGGTGACAATTATCATCGATAGTAATTTATTAATTGCTCAAGAGATTAAGATAAAGGGTAAAAATCATACAGCAAATAAAAACAAAACTAAATCTACTTGAAAACGTTAATTGTTAAACTTAATTGTCTACCCAATCATCAGATTTGATTGTATACATCAAGACCTTTGCAGTCAATTACTTTTTTTTAACCTTAAACAATTAAATTGAACAAATAAGTATCAATTGTAATTGCATCTAATTGACCTTTGCAATTAAAGTACTAATTGAAATTAGAAGGTGTGAAGAAAACAAAAAAGAGCCTATCTAAGGTCTACAACAATTAGTAAATTGTTACATTGATGATTAACATAAGAACAACACTTTTTAAGAGGTTCATTTGATTGTTGGAATTGATTGTTGTTGTTAGAGGGAAATCAAATTATTGCTGAATCAAATTAAGCTCTTGATTAAGTAGGAGGCAGAAAAAAATTGATGATGAGGTCGATGATTGATACATTTAATTGTGAACAATTAAGTTAATTTAGTTCACGATTAACATGAGTTTTGAGCAACAATCTAAAGGTATTGGAAAATCTGAATAGTTAATTGTGAGCAGTCTAATTTTGAGGATTTAATTAAATTGGTTTGAAGATGATGAAAGGAAAAGTAAATTAGTTGGAAATGATGTGAAAATTATTAGTTGATTAACTTTGATTGTTAGAGTGGTTTTTCAATTGGATTGTTAATTGTTGCATCGGAGGCACTTGAATTGATTCATCTTATTTGGTTGATTAGCATGTGATTTAATTGATCTACTCCTGAATCTGTTCATCTAACATGCTAACTGATTGAGTGAATTTTTTGCATTCTATCAGATTGAGAGAGGGAGAGAGACGTGTGACAATTAGTTAATTGTCGTCTTCTTACCGATATGCATGGCACGATCAACGATGTACATGAAGGGGATAAAGAATCCGAACAATGTTAAGAAGCCACTGACACCGAGAAGTATAAATGATGGACTGAGAAGAAGCGACAAATCCAATAGTTGAACACACGAAGTGGCCTCTTCGATAACTGATTTTCGACGATGTTGAGAGGACGAAGAGGGTGAGGATACATCGTGAATAAAGGTTGAGGCCAGTGGACGTTTGGTGTTGGCTTTAAATTCTTGAAGGCTAAGGGTTGAATAGAGAATTTCATTTTGGAAAACATAGTTAATTCCAAATGAATGAGCTCGTGGTCGACGCGAGGAATGAGATGACGATGAAGAGGGAAGATGTTGATAATTGTGACGATGGTGCGATGAATTGGAATGAGTTGCAGATCGAATGTAACGATAATGATTAACTGAATTTGAAGTGGTTTTTTCACTCTGTTTATTGGTTGAAGGTCGACAATCACCACTAATTGTATATCGACGATCTTTTTTATATCGACGTGAATTCTCATTTGACTCATAGTTACTCGACTTATGAACACTATCCATTAGACCGACACTTTCTTCATCACTTTCGGCTAACCAGCTATCCTTTGACTGTCCAAGAAGTGGTTTACTCGAACCGTCCGATCCACGATCACCCGTTGACGATGAGGTTGATGATTCATCTTCACTGGGCAAGGGACGAAAAAGGAATCCAAAAACAGCGCAGTTAAGTACAATCCCGGCCAATATTAGTACACAACCTCGCCAATGATATGTTTCATTTAGATATTGAATTATTGGTGCCATAAGAAAAGCACCAACACCCGAACCACAAACCGCGATTCCGGTTGCAAAGGCACGACGACGCTCAAAATAATGTCCAACCATTACAATTGCTGGAAGATAAATAAATCCTAAACCAATTCCTGTAATAGCAAAACAAACAGTAACCAAATTAAATATTTTTAATCAACACTAACGATGGTCAGTTGTCCAGGGAAACAAATATATCGTTACCTGCAAGGGCACCATAGGAGAGACAAAGCCAAGTGACACTGGTTGCAAAGTAAGAGATGATAAAACCAAGAGAGGCAATTAAACTGCCGATTATTGTGACAATCCGACAGCCATAATGATTAGCTAAAGTAGAAACCAATGGACCTTTAATTGGGAATCAAAGTGAGGAAACATGATTAATGATTAGCACGTGAAAGTGATCAATGAGTTAACTTACCAACGAAAAGGTAAAATCCAGCCTGAAGTGATCCAATCCAAGCGGTGGTTCCTTTGGGTTGCTTGAAATCTTTTGAAATCTCAAGCATGATAACACCGAAGCAGAAAATGATTCCATCAACGATAACATTACACATGAAAGAAGCAAAAACAATGACCCAACCCCAAAGGGAATCACGCTGACCATTGGTCTCATTAAAATCAACTGAGGTTTCATTTGTAGCACTACTATTGTCCACTGAATCAATTGAATTAACCGAATCATCAACATCATTTCCTGGTAAATTGTTCACCTTAAAGTCAATCTCTTTCATGATCGATGTCGTTGACGATGTAGACGTTGTTGTTGTTGTTGGTTGAGGTGTTGATTTAGTGTCCATTGTGGTTGAGAGTAATTGTTGTTTATCAATTAGAGAAGATGATCTCTCCTTTGGATTAAGATTTTCCATCCGGTTGATTTAAGTTTAGAATATGTGATTAATTAAATTGCTTCTCTGATGCTTTTATGGTCTTTTCTTTTCTCCTCGTTATTGCCCAATGAATTTGCTGCTAATCAACAAGTGATTTAATTACCATGCGATGTTCAGGTTCCAATGTTGATCCACTTATGCAAATAAAAGTAAACAAACAGAAATTAATTATTAACTTTACCATTTAAATTAATAGATTGTGATCAAGGTGATTGTGTCTAAGTGAGAAAAAAGAATAGAAAACTTTTAATAAGAGAGAATAAGTTAAATTCTAATGTAATGAAACAATTGTAATTTCTTTAAGATACTTGAATGGAAGGAGAAAATCATCTGGTAATTTACTAAGCAAGAGAATCTTGAATGGAACAATTTTCTTAATCTCTTCTTGTTTTTATTCTTGCAAATTAGGAGAAGAGAATCTTTTTTTGTTCTATTCTCTTATTCCATATTCTTTTTCATGAGAAACCGAAACGATAGATCATGAGGAAGGTGGGTTATGGAGGAGGAGGAAATGATTCTAATCAATCTGAAGGTGTGATCACTTTACATCAATGGATTTACTTGCTGATCAACCACATTGGTGATCATCACAATAGATTAAGACTCAGTGTCTCTCTCTCTCTCAACTCAGATAATAATAATACACTTCATGAGATGAACACCATGAACAATCATCATCATCATCACATAGACACAATCAGAATAATTTAAATAAGATTAACTTACCTTTAGAAAAATGAAATCAACTGTTGAGATTTGAAAAGGAAAACATATAATCAAAATTGACTGGAAATTACTATTATTTAAATCGTTGGAATATTCAAATTAATCACATTTCACTGTTTAACTTTTGTAGAATCATAATTAACACTTTATTAAATTACTCACTTAAATTAGAAAAATCGATTAAAAGTTAATTATGGTCAGTTAATTAATAGAAAACAAGAGTAACAATGTTGTTGTTGCTTCCAAAGAGTTTACCAAATATTAGAAAAAAAAATTTTCTTTTTTTCTGTTGACATGTGACCCGAAATTGTGATAATCTTTTGTTGTTATTGTTTCTTGTTTAACTTTAATTGTGATTAAAATTTAATTTAATTTCTCTGCAATTTTACAATTAACTTAATTCTCATGATTTAGTTCAACTTCCAACTTGTTAATTGATTAACTTTTTCCCAATTTGCGACAATTAATAAAACAACTTGGTTGACCAAGAAAAAGGTAAATTGTTATTATCCTTTAATTGTTGTTTTGATTTTTCCAAAATCTCCTTAATTGTTTGATCTTGAATCTTCAATGTCTAGATGTTTAATTTGTTATTCAATTAATTGTGAATGAGTGATTATAATCAACTTGATTTGATTGATTGACTAATTGAATCTTTTTGTCTCAGTGTAACAATTGGTCAATTGTTATTGTTTAATTGAGATGAAATGAAAATAAGGTTATGATTTAATTGACTAGACAATCAGTTGATTATTGGAAATTAATTATATCTTAATGTTGTTTAATTGTTTCAAGTGGTGTTTGGCTTTGAATAAAAAAAAACGTCTCAACACTTACAATTAAATTGTATATAATTAGCAATTAATCATCTGATTGTCAATTTGTATTCATTTTCTGATATCTTGTTGATTTAATTTGCTTTCAATTATTTTTTCAGCTTTTCAAAAAATCAAACAGCAATCAAAATGAAGACTGAAATTAATGGAATTAATTAATCACACTGATTACCAGAGACAATTAAAGTCTAATCACGTTCTAAATTACGATCACAATTAACTCTTTCTTTTTCTGGTCATTGTCCTCAAAAGTATTGATAAACTAATGGAAAACAAACCAAAAAGTATTGACTGGTAACTCGACTCGCCGACGTATTAATAATTTAATTGTTCCAAGATAATTAACTAATCACCATCATCATCATCATCATGATTCTAATCAACTCAGAGAATCAATTGAAAAATGAAAACCGATCAAAAGTCAATTGGAATCATTTTCACAATCAAAACACAAAAAGGAAAACATTTTTTTCTTGATTGGGTGAAAAGACTCATTGAAATGAGAAACAAATGGAAACAAAAATCACAGAATTACAATTATTGTTGACACAATTGAATTAAAAGTAACCAGGTAACCTGATCATCTCCAGGTAAGAGAGAAAGTAAGAGTGAAAATAACCAGATCTTTCAAAGAGAAAATTTCTCTTTCTTTATCTTCCATCTTCTCTCTCTTTCCAAAAACCGGCTCCTCAAATCATATGGCAGATCAACTTCAACTCTCACCAATGGTTGATCACATTTGTTGTTTTCCATTTTCATGATAATGTTTCTTGACTAATTATTGATTATCGGTGTTAATTAACTAATTTGATTGTTCTCACCATGGGTAAATCTGTGGCAATTACGTATCTCTGTTGGTTAATTGGTGGAATTTTTGGTAAAAATTTCTTTTAAATTCTATTCTTTTTTCTCTCTTTGTTTTTTTTTTTTTTCTATTCTTTTTAACGTTGACCTTTATTTTCACCATTTAGGTTTCCACCATTTTTATCTTCATAGGGATAGACATGGTTTCATCTATTGGTTGACCTTTGGTGGTTATTTTGGCCTTTCATGGGTACGAGATTTATGGAAGATACCAGAATATGTGGCTGATTATAATGAGGATAAAGATTATATGAAACAATTAACGTTCAACATGAAGAATCAAAAATCACCTTCATCTGGAATCATCCGTCATTGTGGTACTATAATTGTCGCTGATATTTTGGGCTATTTGGCGATAAGTGCAGTTCCATATGAGTATTTTTCTCACAATGAAGATTTAATCTTCTACATATACGCTTTTATATCGCCAATCGCTTGTGCTCTAGGTAAGTTTAACTCTTTTTCCCTTGAAAACTTACCTTGAATTTCAATTCTAAATTACTACTCCTTTCAACACTAATACACATCATCATAGTAAACAAATTGTTCCATTTACATGGTAAATTGTTTCCTGTTTTTCCCAAGTAATTAAGTAATCGAACTATGAGAGAGACAGAGAGAGAGAGAACATTAAATTATTGTTTCCTTTTCCTTCAAGTGTTAATAACAATAAAATCAGAGAATTTATTACCCTTATGGTGATGGAAAAGTTTCTATTCTAAAATAGATTAATATTATTTTCTATTCTTTTCTAGGTGTTCACCTGGTTGGAAATGTCGGCAGGCACCAAGGTAATTTACTTCCAACTCTAATCGGTGCTTATTTAACGGCTCCGTTATATGTGGTATTTGGTTCACATTCGGTTTTTTGGACTTCTCTTTCGGCATCCATTTTCTTTTGTAAATTCTCTAAGCGTTGGCGTCGCACTTATCCCAAACGGAAGCCGCTCCGAAAACGAATCGCCCTTTTAACTGGTGCTGGTCTATTGTACTTATCTTTATATGCATCTTGGTTTTATTTTAATTGTTCCATTGTGGAGAAACATGATGGTGATGATATTAAAGAGGAAACAATCAAGTGTAGAGATGCCGCTGTTAACTTTTGGCGATCTCCGGCCTTTGTTGACTTCCGTCGTACTCTTACCGATCTTTGGACCTTTTTCAAGTTACATGGATGGAAGGGTTTGAAAGAGGAAATAATTAAGGCTTTTGATCCTCAGGGTGAAGCTAATGCTCTAAATGTGCTCAATGTAACCCAAAAAGCGACCCAAGAAGAGATCACTTTGGCCTATCGAAAGTTAGCTCGTGAATGGCATCCCGATCGTCATAAAGATCCAATTGAAAAGTCAAATGCTCAGGAAAAGTTCATAGAGATTCAACAAGCTTATGAAGTTTTATCGAGGATTAAATTGCAACGATTAAAACAGAATAAAAAAGATCGTGTAATTAATCAAGATCAAAATTCACAATCAACACCAACACCTTCACAAACAACAAGTATACCGATGGCCGATCGACAAGATTTATAAATCTCAGCAACTTTTTAATTGTCTACATAATCCCTGATCTGAAATTGTGTTTTAATTACCAACAAGTGAATCAAATATATCATTTTATCATTTTATCCGATCTCATCAAACAAATTAACCTGAGTGAATGACATGAAATATATTAATAGATGTCATTGATTTTAATTATTATACACAAATTAATTTGTCTTCAACCAATGAGTTTGCTCAATCAAATGTTATTATTTGATTGTTTTCATCTTCTACCTGATTATCATTATTAATATTATCATTCAGATTACATTGAAAATATAAAACTTTCGGAAACATTAATTTAGCAAATTAAAAGGTTAATAACAGGTAATTAATTGTTTCCAATTGATTGCATCGCCACTTGATCATCATCAACTCTAAACATTATTGGAATCGTGATCACCATGTAACTAATCAGCTAAACAATTGAAAATTTTGTTCGTATTGTGATTTGTTGTGCCCACCAGTTTAATTGATTTCCCCCACAAGGAGATTATGATAATTGTATTAATCTTAATCCAGTTATGATTATGGTTAAGTGCAAGGTGATTTATGATTATTCACATGCCAACTTAGAATCAAAGCTACTCAGTGCAATACAAAAGGCTTGAAGAATGGACAATGGCCAAGTAACATCGCAAGTGAATTCTTTATCACTAATCCGTCCGAATTGCATAGCAATATCTTCATCAAGTTGTCCCATTGATCCCGAATTAGGTGCAGGATTAGTAGGGAAAAAGGTTGGCGATGCCGATGAAGATGGTGACATCCTACTCGCCGCTGCAACTCCTTTAAGTGAACCATTACCGCTATTATTAGTTGAATTTCCACTCGAAGTCATATTATTATCACTTCTATTAGTATTTCCTCCGGTGTAAAATAAATCATCAACATCTCCACCATTATCATCAGATTTTCTTGCCACTACAAGTTGAAAGTTCTTGACGCTTGGTTGTGTTACCCGACCATGAAAATTGAGAACATAAGATTGAGTATCTTCATTTCAATGGGAATCATAGACCACAGAATCAAATAATAAAGAGAAACAAACAGAAAGATGATGGAAAGAAATGACAGGTAAAATTAGAGAGTCAGTTAATGTAATAATAATAGAGAGAGATAGAGATGGAGAGAGAGAAAAAGGAGAAAAAGACAAAAGAAAAAGAGAAGAAAAAAAAATTTCGAAATTGATAACATCATCATGGAGAACTCACCTTCGTTCCAAACTGGAGTTTTATTCTTGAGTGATATAAGTGACTTGTTGGCTGGATCAGTCTTCCATAATTCCAGTAGAGAAGAAGTTGGAAATGGACACACCTTAATTGTTTACAATATAAACACAATTAAATGTTGATTGTTCATCTTTCATGGTAATAAAACTCATCAACTCACCTCATCACTTTTGGGCATAATCACAGTCATTTTTCGTGGTCCTTTGAATCCCAAGACATTAGTTTCCTAAATTGTTAATTGAATTGAAGGAAAAAAAGTAAATTGTCATTAATCAACTGAGTTTTCTCAACAATTAATTGTCAAAGTTGATGGAATATCATCTTCACAATATAAATAGCAAATTAAAAGGGATATTTTCTGGTGAAAACAGAACCTTATTACTACAGATTAATTTGATTTCTTAAAAAAAAGGGAATCGGTTTAATTGGGACTTTCCTTTTACCAGTTAAATGTCATCAATTGTGTTAATTGTCATTTAATTGTAAAAGTAAAAGCATTGAGATAATTTCTTATGTATATAAAATAAACTAAATTGTAATAAAAGTCACAATAAGAAATGCTAATTGTGGTTAAACACTCAGTTACCATTCAAATTAATAATGTGATTGAATTTGAAAACGATTCAGTTTCGTGTAATTATCAATATTAATTGTGAGATGACAAATCAAATTGTTGGAATATTCAATTAACTGTTAGTTTATAAACAAATCGGTGAGTAAATTGAATGATTATTAAACTGATTTTCAGACAAATTAATGAATTAATTGTGGTGAAAAATACTCACATAAATTACTGTTGATATTTCATATCTTTGCCTTTCATTTGATATCCTTTTAAAAAGAGTGAAATGATTAAGTCGCTTTTCAATTGAATTAAATTGTTCAAAAATTAAGAAATTTACCTGATTGCATTGAATAAAGTTCCAAGAACATTTGATTTAAGTTTAGCGATACAATTATCTCGAGTTATATCAAAAGGATCGTTACTAATTAGATAAGTTTTACTCTTTTTCCGCCTTCGTCCACCCAAAAGAAATACTTGCCGACGATTAGTTGCCGATTTAATTGTTGTCGTTGATCCACTTTGATTCCTTGTTGGTAATGATTTAGATTCACAAGGGGATAAATCTTTATCACTATTACTCGGTGATGAGATGGAACCATTTTTACCTTCGCCACCAATGTTAATATCATTTTCATCATCATGTTGTCTATCGATAATTGCTAAATAGTGATCAACAATCAATAGAAAAGGGGAAGAAAACAGAATCAAGGTTAATAATTAAATCATAACGGTACATAATAAAATCATTGATGAAAAATGAATAAACAGGAAAATGAGAGATTCATCTTGATTGTTTTCCTCTGGTAGATTGTGAATTATAGCAGATTAACAAGAGATTAGTGGTTAATAAGCAAAAGAAACAATTATTGTTATGGTTACAGTCTAATGTTTTGATTGTTACAAAACAATTAGGACAAACTAATAAAAGGAAAGGTAAAATTAACTCAAAGAAATAAGAAACAGGTAAATCACAACAATTAATTTTCTACTCTGTTGTTATTGTTGTTGTTTATGTTTGTTAATGTTTACGAGTTGGAATGATAATGATAATTAATTAATTGTCAAGGTTTTCTTTCTCATTCTCATTGGAGTATAGATTAGATTGCTTTTCAAATAATTAGAATTAATTCTCTTACATTGTAAGTAGATATAATATGTTGGATAAAATGATCTATCGATTCCTCGTTTATCTCTCATGATGATACATTGATATGTTTTACATGGAGAAACGGGCTGAGTTGCGAATAGGAGAAGCTCATTACTATTTAGAATTGTTTTCAATGGATTTAATTCTGATCCAGTTTCATTCATGTCCATTGATTTAATTGTTTCCACATCATCTTTAAGATCTTCATATGAAGAGCTGGCACTTTTACCACCACCAATGCTACGATTTGATGATTGATTGGGACGATTTCTCGCTGATTTTTGACTAATTGTTGCTGCCGATGATGAAGATGAAGACGTTGTTCCGATAGTTGCAGTAGTTGATAAAGATGATAAAGATCGCCCTTTAATTGTTGACCCTTGTTGATTATCAATTGGTGACATTGAAGGTGATGGTGAGCTACTTCGTTTATTGGCCATTCTAGATCGCATTCCCGAATGGCCTGATTTAAGACGACGTTGATTAGATGTAATATCATCATCGTTATCATCCAAATCGTTTATATCATCATCGTCGTCATCCTCATCTCTGCTTCCAGAATTTACTGAAATAGGGTTAATAATACCTCCTCCTAATGAATTTATCTGAAACAAGAATAAAACAAAAACGCAATTAGTTAATTAAACAATAGTATTAACCTAATTTAGAAGGTTAAGAAAATCAATTAGTTAACTTATTGATTGAAGTTTTAATTTCTCTCTTCTTATAATATACTTACATCTCTGTTGTCTATTAATTTTTCACTTGATCTACTTAAACTGCTCGCTGGCCTTAGGCTTCTGAAATCGATGATTAAGATGGAAAAACAATACAATTAACTGATAGTATTAATAATTAAATAGCTGCTCAATTACCGTGCAGATTTAGGCCTTGTTGATGTGATGGTCACTTGTTGTTGTCGAGTCCTTTTCGTTTCCAATAATTGTCGTTGTTTCTCAATTAAACGGGAACGATTCGATTCGTTGATAACCTCCTCACTGATTTGATTGTTATCGGTTAATTGTGAAAAATTGAAGTAAATCAAAATAATTAAAATGATCACATATCTAATATATTGATTCTGATTCAAAATAATGTAAAATTTTAAAGGTCAATTTGATGGGTAAATGAGTTTGGACTTACTTTAAATTTCTTGACCATTTACCAGCTTCCATTGGCATTGTCATGGTTAATTGTTTGCTGTTGAATCACAATTAAATTTTTTTTAGTAAATTTTGCTAATCAAATTGTGTTAATCTTGATAATAATAATTGTTGGATCTTCTCCCTATGATATCTTATGTTGTCCCTTGTTGATTGAATGGTAACTACGGTGATCCTTTTGTTTTGCTTTGAAAAGAACAGGTAACAATTGAAATGTTACCTGTTCCATAAATTGGTCACATCGATATTTTCACAATTAAATATAGAATTTACATCTCTCCCTCTTTCTCTCTCTCTCTCTTCCAATACGAGTCATGTTGTTACCTGTTCTTATTAAGAATAGATTTGATTTCTTTGGTTCATATAAAATTAAATCTCCATTGATTGTGATGATGTTTGTAGCTATCGTTGGCTTGATGTTATTGATTAGAATTCAATAATTCACCATTGATTTGATCAATCATAATCCATCATCATTGTCATTGGAACTATTTTCTCAGTGAATTCTAAAAAATATGGAAATTGAGAAGAATAAGAAAAAAATAACAAGTTATTAATGAACAATCATATTGATAGAAGTGTATGTTAGACTGAACAATTGGGATTCTATTCTTGATTGTTGTAATTTCATCGGATTATCTTAAGTAATCAATTCATCTCAACCAATTGACTTTCAAGGACAATTTAACCGATTAAGATGTTGGACCTTAAAACTAAATTCTTTCCAGATCATAATTTATCAATTAATTTCGTAAATTGTTGACAATTATTAATAGATAGTTAGAAATCAATCAATTGTATCAATTTCCTTTTCCATCCAGATGAACATGAGCAACATAGACAAACAAACGGAATCAATTGTAATTAACATGAGCAGTTACACAATCTATTCAATTAATCTAATGATTAAATTAACATCTTGCACCTTAAAATCAATCAATAGAATCCAAATTAATTCAATTGACAGAAAAAAAGGAAACAAAATTAAGATAATTACCTTAATATGTACTCTCACCTTAACTGTTTTCTTCCCTTAGGGTGTTGACCATCATCATGTTTACCGGTCGTTACTTGGGCCTAACAATTTCTGGTATCAAATTAAATGGATTTTCCAGACAATTGTCATCAACACGTCGTCAATTGTTGTCAATCAATTGTTACAATAATCAATTAACTCTAAATAATCACTGGAAAACATTGATGACCAATAAAAGGAAATGTTTCTCCTCACAATCAGGTAGAGTCTTCATGCCACCGGAGGAATTTATTTCCTTGAACAAAAATGGAACCACAATTGGAGATAAATCAACAAACGATCATCAGCTAATCAAAAGGTAAACAAAAAAAAGAAACTAATTTGTTAATCTACTTGTAAGAGAATTTAAAATAACCGTTGGATTAAAAGATCGAAAAAGATTAATAAGAGTTGAAGAGAAAAGAAACAAAATGGTGACTAATGTTTTGTTTCGTTTTCGTTTCCATTTGTTTATTTCTTTAGTTCAACTGGAACTGTAAAGAAAACAAGTGACATTTTGTTTGACCTTTTTGAAGATTCTACCGGTCAAGTTAGTGTCAACAAATTTTTCTCTTCTCTCTCATCAACTGGACTTAACATCGATGACCCTCGATTACGTGAAATTGTCACTAAATTAAATTCAATTTGGAAAACTCGCCAAGACTCTGGTTCCTTTGAAGCTTTAACCCTTGACCGTGAAACCTTTGATTCGGTTATAAAGGAAAACATTGTTCTCATCTCAAAGGCCTTGCGAAGCCATTTTGTTATTCCCGAATTTCCCCAATTCTGTTCTCAAATTGAATCATTCTATTGGAAGTGTAAATCTCTTAATGATGGTAAAGTTGCTGATTATATTCCACAATTAGCTAAATATAATCCCGATTATTGGGGTGTAACCGTTTGTACAATTGATGGTCAAAGGTTCGCCATTGGTGATACAGAGATTCCATTTACAATTCAATCTTGTGGAAAACCGATCAACTATGCAATCGCTTTAAGTGAATTAGGTGCTAATATTGTCCATCAATATGTTGGTCAAGAACCTTCAGGTAGAATGTTCAATGAATTGGTTCTTGACCACGACAATAAACCTCACAATCCAATGGTCAATGCGGGAGCAATTGTTTGCTGTTCTCTTCTTCTCTATCTTGTCCAGGTAATTTTCTTTTCTTTTCTCTCTTTTCTTTTGTTTTATCAAATTGTTTTCTCTTTTGTGTTAATAATTACCTCTATTAGCCTGAGATGAGAGTTTCGGAAAAATTTGATTGGATTTGCAGCTATTTCAAAGCAATGGCCGGCGATGAATATGTTGGCTTTAGCAATGCAACTTTCCTTTCTGAGAGAGAAGCTGCTGACCGTAATTACGCCATCGGCTATTACATGAAGGAGAATAAGTGTTTCCCTGATAAGATTTACCTGAAAGATGCTATGGATTTCTATTTCCAGGTAATTGTTAGAATTTATGTTTACCTTAATTACCTGTTAATCAGTTAATTTTATTGGTTGATAGATGTGTTCGCTTGAAGTTAATTGTTCAACTGTTTCGGTGATCGCGTCAACATTGGCCAATGGAGGAATTTGTCCCATCACTGGTCAACGGGTCATCTCATCTCATGCAGTAAGAGATGTCCTTTCACTTATGCACTCTTGTGGGATGTATGATTATTCAGGACAATTTGCATTTAATGTTGGTTTACCTGCTAAATCAGGTAACTTGAAACTAACCAAATTCAAATTGCAACTAACTTTTTGTTATTTAATCAACTTAGAAAACAATCTGATGATAAACATGTTGCCATCTATTGTCATGTTAATCCATGTAAATGATGATAGTTTTGTTTTTATCCTTCTTTTTTCATGGTTATCCCTTGATTACGATCATCATTTATCTTTTTGCTCTCTTGATGATTCCTTTTATTCAATGATATGATTGTATCATGATGAATGATGAATTATGTTTATCTTTTTTTCATCACTTTTCAAGGAGTTTCTGGTTGTACGATGGTTGTTGTTCCCAATGTTATGGGAATGGCTTTATGGTCCCCACCTCTAGATCATTATGGTAACTCTGTTCGCGGTCTTCAGTTTTGTCGAGAACTTGTCTCTGTATTTAATTTCCACCATTTTGATAATCTCCGCCATGTTCCCCATAAAAAGGATCCGCGTCGACAACGATTCGAGGACAAGGGATTGACCATTGTTAGTTTACTTTTCTCAGCAAGTACTGGTGATGTTTCAGCTATGAGACGGTCGGTATTTATTTGTATCATTGGACAATTAGTCTAATTGTTTTCTTTTCTCACCTTTATTGTATTTCAGTTATTACCTTTCGGGAATGGACATGGAATCAGCTGATTATGATGGACGAACGGCTTTACACTTGGCAGCATCCGAAGGACATTTATCTTGTGTTGAATTTTTGTTGAATGTTTGTAAAGTTAATTTTAAACCAATGGATAGGTAATTGTTATTGTGATTAATCATTTCGAATGATTTGTCTTTAAATTGTCTTTTAATTGTCTTTTTCTTTCTGAAATTTAGATGGGGACACACTCCATTAGACGAAGCAAAATCCTTTGATTATCCCCAAGTGATTGAGTTATTACAACGAAAGGAGGACGAAATTAAAGAGCAAAACAATCCCAACAATTAGAGTTAATTACTTCAGAATTAACTGTTTGCAAATTTATTCCAGTGATTCGGGTTTAACAGGAAACAAAACTAACGAATTTGTAAATATTCATGATATCAACTTATCGCTGATCATTATTGATTAATAATCGATTTGACAACTAAGAGAAAAGTTTACCTTTCTTTTAATTATAATTGTAAATTTAAAATCCAATTTTCATTATAATAACTATCACTAGACACTAACAATTAACAAGAGTAAATAATAATGAGACATTTATGGTAATGAAACAACAACAGTAATCTATAGTCATATAATACATGATTAATTAATATTAATCAACGGAAATGGATCAACATTAACATTGAACGTGATCATCAGGACTTAATTGTTATCCATACAAAGAGCAAGAAATAAAAAAAAACTCCCAAATAAATCATAACAATAGTAACTAGAAAACAACAACAAATGAAAACAAACTCAATTCAACACAATAACTAAACTGAAATTGTTATAACTAATTAACTTTGCAATTCTAAATTATGATTACTGATTAATCAAAAAGAAAAACTATAACAAGATAAAGAGAAACGATGATCAAATATTATTGAATAGTAATAATATCGGTTAATTTATAATCGATTCAAGGTGAGTCTCATGGAAAAGAAGAAGGAAAATTTTCTTTTCTCCAGAATCTTATTCTTTTTCTTCATTAGAATTTTATGTAAAGTTGTTTATCGTTATGGTAACCAATTCATGATAAAACAGATGATGAAGAAAAATCTTCCAAAGAAGAAGAAAACAAAACAGAGAGAGAGAGAGAGAGAGAGAGAGAGAGAGAGAGAGAGAGAGAGAGAGACGAAAATAACAATATTATCTTCATGATATTGGAAAACTCCCTGTGTGACCTGTGTCGCCATCTTGCCTGTTCCTTGGTGTTTTTCCCTGAGAATGGAAAGTGATCGACCTGGAGTAAAGAAAGAGAGAAAGAAAGAGAAGATGATGATAATATGGAAGATGAAGGTGAGGAAGGAGAGAAGAAAGAAAAAAAGAAGGCCCAAGAACTGACAGTTGATTCAAAGAGAAGAAAAAAGTTAAAGGTGGAAAAACAAGTGAAGAGGAGGAGCAGCTAAAAGAGTAACATCATCATTAGAACTTTTTTTTTGTTATCATCATCATCAAGTAACATTGTGTCATCATTATAATCAAAACCAGTGACAACAACAAAACGATAACATAACAATAAAAGTTTGATTTATTTTGCCATCTCGGAGCATGAAAATGTCCAAGACAAAAAGTATTGGGGTAAATCAATTGTTCCAATAAATTATCGTCGAAAACAGTTAATCATCGATCTTTTAAACAGAAAATTCTATTCTATTCTTCTTTTCATTCTTTCAATATTCTCTTACCTGTGTCAGTTTAATTTTCTAATTTGTAATCATCTCGATTCATTGAGTTTTCCATATTCGTTTTTTTTCCTCCTGTTCAATGTTCCGTTTCCATAAATGTTTGTTGATTCCATCGATTAGATTCTGATTGTTATTGGTTAATTTGGTTTCCATGTTTATTGTGTTTGTGTCTCTCTCAGTTTTCAATTGATTAATCTTTTAATTGTTGTTGGATAATATGTGAAATCATCAATGTTTGCCTCACAATCAATTTCATCATCTTCATCTTCATCGCTCTTTGATAAACAACAGCAACAATCAACTCAATCATATATTAATTTAGCGACTACAAGTTCATCAATGTCCAATGTTAAGGAAAACGGTAAAAAAGGTTACACTCAATTACCAACAACCGATGATATTGATGATCAGGTAACTGATGAGGAAGAGGAAGAGGAGGATAATCATGATGGTGACAACATTAATCCAGTTATTGGTGGTGGTGACGATGATAATGATGATTGTAGTAATAGAGGTGAACATTGCAATGTAATTGTTAATTTAAATTGTAGTGATAATCAATGTGATGAAAGGATTAACAGGATAACAAAAGTTCAACATCAACCTAATTCATCATCTTCATCATCTTCTCGACATCAACATAAGCAAAATTTATATTATCAATTTAATGTAAGTGGTGATTCTGGTAGTGTTAATGTGAATAATATTGATGATAATAATACTAATTGTCACCAGCAATCATCATCATTAACATTAACTTCACAGGAACTTTCCAATAATCCATCAACTGCCTTAATCAATCAAGAACAACATCAACATTATCAATCCTATTTGCACCAATCATCATCACCTTTAATTCATCCTAAATATCAGCAACATGGTCATCACAATTATCATCATCATCATCATCATCATCGTCGTCGTCGTCATTCAACTCGGAATCATCATGTTCTTGGTGGTGGTTCCCTTGATACATCTGATGGTCAATTGTTACCCGGTGAATTAGGTTCAAGTGTTAATTCAACAGCCACTAATTCAATCAATTTACGTCCCAATGAGTTGACCAATAGAACCAACAATTCCAATAATAACAATGGTCAATCAAACAATAATGGTAACAATCAGAATAACAATAATAATAATAATAATAATCATAACAATGATCCCAAAAGAGCTGCATCTCTATTGAATTTTACTCTTCATTGTAAACAATCATCTCGAGATTCACTCAAGCGAAATGCAACCGGAGCCACCAAAGTAATTTTAAAGGAAATTTCCAAATCAACTCATAATATTGGTGGAAAAGTTGTCCAAGTAAGTTAATTAATCATCACAATTAACTGAAAGAGAGAGAGAGAGAAAAAACTGTTAATTAAATGTTTTGGATTCCCTGTTGGGAGTGAAAAAAGTTTTACTTGCGTTTTTTATGTTCAATTCAGTTTTCATTATCAAATGAGAAACTCAATTAATTGATTGTGAATCTAATTTTCTTTATTCTGATTATAATACATAAGATTATTATAATCAAATTAAAATTGATTTGTGTGTAAAACAAAATGATTACTTTGAGTGTGTGTGTGTGATAATAATTATTATTATTATGGATTAACTAACAACACCCACTGAGCATTTTCTGATTACATGGTTTAGATTATTACTTGTTATCTTATTGAATTTAAACTTTGTTTATAATCATAATAAGATCATTATTATCATCATGTTGTAATAGTAGTAATTGGATTGATTAATAATTGATTGTTGTTACAATCTTTTGATTTTGTTTCACTTACCTGAACCTTTTAGTTTGTGATATTTATGTATGAGGTGAGTTTTAATATTGTTGATGAAACAAAAAAAACATCAAATCTCAGTTAGAAAGTCACTATTATTGTAATCATACGATTACGAAGTAAAAGTTAACTAATCAATTATTAATCATCAGTGATTTGTTGTTGTTATTGTTGGTAATCATCATCATTATCATTAACTTATTGATGATAATACGATTATTCAATTCATTCCAATAAAAATAATCAAATAATCAAATGAACGAACGAGTCTATTATTTTCTCATCATGTATTATTATCATTATTGTTATTTACCATTAGTTAAATCAAACTAATTTCAATCTAACAACATGATGAATATCCCTTCTTCATGATGATATTATATTCATGAATTGGAAGCAGAATAATAATGAATAAAGACAGATAACAATAACAAACTAATGATAATCAAATAATCAAATAAAAAATGAGTATTTTGTTTTTCCTCTCCATTCACTTGAGTTGATGTTGAGATGTGTTGGATTATCTTGTGCTCAGGTAACATAAATAATAATGATAATGGTTGATGGTGATGATAATTTTTGAAGGTTTGATGACCAAGAGGTAGAGACCTGAAGAGATAAAATGAAAGAGAAGATAAATGAATGAATAACATGGTGGAAAAAGGTAATATTCAGGGAGAAGGAAAAAAAATTGATCGACCCAAGTAGTAACATAGCACATAAAAAAGCCATTGGAGTTTATCTCTCTCTCTATCTGAATTTCTGGTGAATAATATGGTTGAATATTATTCTGAGTCTTTCTTCCTCTACTATCTCAATGTTATCATCATCATCATTTGATTCATTCACTTATCAACTAAATAATATAAAGTTCTGGTGGTAATGTTTTCTTTTGAAACAGTCAAGTGACTCTTCAAAATCAACTCAACTGAAACAAATGATTCAATCTCAATTTCGTATAATATATATAACGGTTACTGAAAGGTAGAGGTGGTGGAAGATGATGATGATGATGATGATGATAATGAGGATGAAGATGAAGGAAAAAAAAACGTATTCACTTGTATTCATAATATTATTACATTTCTTTCAAACCATAGCTTTTTTTTTCATTACTATTATACATCTTGGCCTTTTCAATTTTTTTTTCATACTTTTCACTGAATATTAATAACATTATATGACTGAGAGTAATATTATACTTCACTACTACAACAATCATGGTAGTGATAATAATAATATAATAACAATGTTGATAGTAATCATAATATTATGTATATATAGAGAAAATTATTGGGCCTGACTTTCCCTATGGTATTAATATACAAGTGTGGTTGTTGAATTAATCCTTTAGATGGTTACACTGTATCTCTTTGGATTGGGTTACCAGGGTCAAAAATGATTCTCTCTGTAAACATAGACAAAAGGAAAACAATCAATTATTAGGTTAGGTGAGAAAATAATAATAATAAATTACTAATTAAATTATCGTCTATGTTGAATATAGAAATCAAAACAGAATCAATGAAAATAAGCTAACCTTTTCATCACTTGAGATGCAAATATAAACATACTTTTCAGAGTTTTCTTTGTATACACTAGATGATTTATATGATTACACTTAAGATAAAAGATACTTGTAATATTTGGTGGAATAATTAAAAGAAATGAAAAAAAATCAATCAATTAAAAGGATAAACAATCAATGAGAAAGAAATTGGAAGAAAAAATTGTTAAAAGTTAATCAAAATTTTAAAAGAATTTTGGTAACTCGACTGGCGAATAAGAGATGGCGCCACTTTCTATGTTCGTTACTATGGATCAGCTGGAGGGAAAATTTTCTTTTCCATTTTGATTTTCGTTCTCATTATCTCAACTTAATTGGGAATCATTTTTAACAATCAATTTAATTTCTATTTAATTTTAACTTTTTAATCATCTTCCAACTACACTGGTGGCTCTTAATTACTAACGTAAACTCTTGCAACTATTAAATTATTCATTCAACTATTGATTCAATTTCTTTCCTTCTCCCAATTGATCCTTTGGTTTCATCTACTAATTTTTTTTTTAGAAAATTTTGTTTCTATTTTTTGTTTCTCTTTGGTTGATATTTTGTTCCATGTTATTATTTGGTTAATTTTATTTAATGTTCCTGAAAAGATGAAGACTCTAAAAGGTAATACTAATTCACTTAATGGTGAAACATTAAGGTTAATTGTTGGAAAGAGTAACAACCAGCAAAAAAAAAAAAGCTTAAATGGTTCCTTGATGTTTTCTCTGGTTCCATGTTCGTGTTGTCCGGTCAAACGTTTCTCCTTCTTTGTCAAACCATTTCTATGTTATTTCTTTTCTTTTCTCTATCACATCAAATGAGGAAGAAAATTTTAATAACTTGGTAAACACTATCTGGATATTGGACTTGAAAAGTGAAACGAAAAACAAGTCAAAAGTTACTTTGTAATAACTCAATTTCTATATGGATCTTGGATGTTATTCTTATGCTGATGATAATCAAAAGTGAAACCTTTTTGTTACCTTATATTTTTTTTTCGTGCTAAATGTCAACTTTAGTTATTTACTCTCTGATTTACATATTTTAGTATGTGTATATGAGAATCTATATAATAACACTGGTAAAGAAAAGGGAATATAAAATTTATTCCAATTTATTTGAAACGTTTCCTGATTCCGTTAACATGGATTTCATATTCTGGTCAGTTACATGTAGATGAACAAAATTTCAATGTCTTCATACAAATTGATTTAATTCATCAATTCAACAATAAGTAACCAATTTAATCAAATAATTGAAATGGTAACTTATTTAAAGATTAAATCAAATTGTTAAACAATCTGATTTAACCTTATTATTATTACATTTAATTTAATCACAAATGTAATTGTAACTATTTGTTAATTCAATTGAAATTTGTTATTATTATTATTTTTTTTCCCTGTTCTTTTGATTTAGATTTTCAGATTTGTGTTGAAAAACAAAACAATTGTGAGTAAGAAAATGATTTAAATCATTAATCTTGAACCAATCAAACATATAATCAAATGAAATTAACAAATTAACCAGTAATTTTACTACTTCTCTCTACCAGTTAAACATGATGATGAAACAATCAACTAATCATAATGATATAAACATAACAATCATTATTATTAAATCATTTCAACTCACACACACACACACACAGGTAATGTTACCATTAACCAGGATCAACCCAAGAATCAAATGAGGAAAGAAACAAAAGTTTCATCTTAAACCAGAATTGGAAATGATTACAATTATATTCCAGGAATAATAACAATAATCTAATAATTGTAATTATGTTGACGATGAGAAATCAAATGAAATGATGATAATCAAAGTAATTTAAAACCTCAGGTAACAAATTAAAGGTGTGACCCTTTTATAAGAGACCAGTAAAATTAACCAACTAAACATTAGCAATGAAAATGAAATGTAAATCAATACAGTTAATACAACAATCAGTTGATTGGAAGGGACAAACAAAAACCGCAAAATTGTAAACAATTAACTAGTAAATTACCAATTGATTGGATTAGTTAAATTGAGAGACAGTTACAACTAATCCTAGAAAGTTAATCAATTGTTAGATGCTAAATGTGACATGAAACAAAAAAAACGGTGAACATGTTACCTGGACAATTGAAATTAATATGAGTAACAATTAACTCTCACACTGACTCAACCTAATTTTCAATGTGTTCGTAACAATTTATATATAAAAAGGAAAAAGCAATCAAATTAAATTGTAACAATCAAAGCTCATGCTCATGAACTTTGATGGGTAAAAATAAAAGTAAAGGTGAATAACAATTTATCATCACAATTTACAATCGATAATATAAACTCCAAGATGAACCAGCCCGGTCATCTATGAGTTTCCTTTATTTAGACTCACCTTTACCTTTTATCATCCTTCATGATAATCATCATCATCATTATCATGATGATAAACTGGACATGACAAGAGAGAGAGAGAGAGAGAGAGAGAGAGAGCATCTTTTCACAATTTTCCAATCACTTTGCGAAAATTATCCAATCATCAGTTGCGATTATCATAAGATAACGATTACCTGATAATTGATGATCAATTTTAATCATGAAAGAATTGAATTGAAGCTAAATAATCAGGGAGAAAAACTGACTTCCACCTCATCCTACTATTCATCATTTCCGTTTCCTTTTTTTTCTTTCCTTTTCCTTGATTGTTTTTTTTCATCCTCTAATTTCTTGTTAACTATTAAATACTAAACCAGTTGTATTGTAATAGTAAAAATAACCTCGAAAGTTTAATTGTTCAAATTGTTATATAATAGAAAAGGTTGATTAGTTTTTTTTCTGGAAGAAAATTTTTTTTTTCTTCTCTCCCAAATCGAAACAAGTCCAAAGAAAAAACAATTTACTCTCATGTTTGTTTGCTTTAATTGTTGTATCAACATAATCATCTTCATTTGATTGTTTGTCGATTATCAACTTTAATTTGATTTGATTTTACGGTTACAATTAATTGTAGATCGTTAATTGTGTTAATACCTTTTCTTTGGTTCTTTCTCAATGTTTACGTTTTCTTCCTATGGCTTTTTATTGAGTTCGAAAGAAGAAAAAAAAACAGTTACTTCTCTCTCTTGCAACTCTTTTTCTTCATTGCGATTTATCTTCTTCTATCATCATCATCATCTTCATTGACTGTCTCCATTTCTCTTTCTTTATCATCATTCGCAACCTTCTGTCTATCTCTCTGTCGACAATATCTACTTTTTTTACTCTCTGTTATTTTCCTATTGAGTTGAGTTTCTATTTCATCTCAACCCATACAAAGAAGTGCAAGTTAACTTGTTACTTTGTTTTCCTTTCTTTTTCTCTTTCATCTTCTCACCTTATCATCCTCTTATCATCATTATCTTCATTATATTCTCACTATTGTATATCATCATCTCTATCATCTTTTATCATCTTTCTCTCTCTCTCTCCCTGTGTCTTTCTCAGTCTCTCCTCTGATCTTTTTACTTTACTGTTGAAACTTTTATCATCATGTTAACATTAACAATTATCTCTGTTTATAAATTATTATTACTTTTAATTAACTACGAACACAATTAATATCCAATTTTTTAATAATCCAATAAGTGATTCATGATTGGTAATGTTAATCAATGAGATTATCAAATATATTTTACTGGGAGTTTTTTTTATCAATTGATTATCAAGGCGGTCTCACTAGTCGGAGTAAGTTGATGTTATTGTTATTGAAGAAAGTGTTTATTACTTTACCATTGGAATATCATCATCATCATCATCTTCCTTATCTTCCTCATCCAATCAATGAGAACCCGATTCACCAAAATGGTTCCTCTTCTGGAGCGATCACCTCGTGAACTATCAGCCACCAAACTCGAAGATGATGTTGCTCAAGTTTCCAAGCCCGTTGGAAGTAAATTAAAGTCAACATCATCGTCATCCGAAGTGACTGTTGGTGAGGGTGAAGAATCAACTGGACTGTCCAGTATTGGTGATAAACGAAAGAGTGAAGATGATAAATTTGATTTAAATTCTAGTGAAACAAATCTGGATAAAGGTAGTACCTCTCAGGGAGATTATTCAATCCATGTTGATAATATTAAGAATAGAAATGTTTCCATTGGGATGATCGATGCTCTGGTAACTGGATCATCTTTAACTGCATCTTCATCGTCTCCACCTCAATTTGCTCATACACACTCTTCATCTTGTCCACCCTCGCGACAACCCTCTTCCCTACAATCACAATCGTCTAATGGTGATATTGTTATCGGTTTTGTTAATAGTGGTTCTAGACGAGGGGGAATGTTACTTAATCGTCAGTATGCCATTGATGTACCTTTACCTGGTCATCAACTAAGCTCAGGAAGTGGATCTAAAGATATTTCCGGTCAAGTGAATGGTTCCAATCAAAGGAAAACAACACCAACAATCATTTTCTCACCAGATAATTCACTTGAATCAAATGGTTGTACCACCGGAGGTGGAGGCGGTGGTAAAAGTGGAATTAGTCCCGGTGGTCGGACCAATTCGGCTCCTGGTTTACAACAACGAGTTCGACACGAACAATGGTCCAATCAGGCTAATCAACATTCTAGTTATAATAGTTCACTTCGTTCTAATGGTGATCTAGCCAATCAGTCAACTAAATCACGATCAAGACGAAGTTCACTTCATGAAATTAAGGAAATTGCCAAACGAAAGTTCAGCATTTTACCTCATGTAAGTTTCACTTGAATGAAAAATCATCATCACAATTAACTTAATTTTCGAGTCCAATGATTCATTATGATTCTTCTTAGACAATTTAATCTCATTGGTTAACATTCAATCACTTTTCCCGTTTTAATTGTATTAATATTGTCCATTGGATTCTCATTCATATTATTTACTCAATTTATTAACATGATTTATGTTTTCCAATTAATCGTTGATTGTGTTTACTTGATTGTTATTATCTCTTTCATTGGTTATAATCAAAAACAATTTGCTTCATATTACATTGGATTAAGTAGACAAATACAATTGTCTTATTAATATGTATTACCAGGTAAACGTTAATTGTTATTGTAATTTAATATCAACGTTGGCAATTATTTTAATCACAAAGAAAAGGTTAAAATTAACAATCAGTTGACAATTATGATCAAATCAAATCGTTTGAATCAATTTTCAAATTGAATAGGATTTTCTGAATTTGATTGTCATTGATTATCTTGTTACTTGTAGTATTTAAGTTGATTGTTATTACAATTAAGACTGAGAAATTTTTTTTAGCTGATTGTTGATTAATAATTTGTCTGGGAAAGATTTGGATAAATTTAATTTATTGATTTAGTTTAGTGAATCAAATCTGATTTTAATTGTTTGGAAACAATTTTCAATTGTAATCATGAATTGAATTGATTAGTTTTCAAGTTTTTCCAGTTAATTTGAAATTATTTTTGTCTTAATGATACTTGAATTTAAATTATCATTTCAAGATGTAACAATTAACATTGTGGTTTCTTAATTGTTACACTTGAAATGAGAGCTAAATTTAAATGTATAATTATAATTGTTGAGGATTTTTTTTTAATTTACTTTTTGGTTGCTAAGTTTTTAATTAACCTTTTCAATTGAAATTTACAGTTGAGTTTTTTTTTAATTATCTTCAAGATGATGAACAATATAAATACAATTGTCAACAATTAACACGATGAATACTCAACAATCAATAGTTGATCATTGAAGGAGCAAATTAAATTGTGATGATGTTAAATAATCAGTTGATTGTGATGATAATGATTACAGACAGAGACAGTTTGATGGTGATTTTGTTTTTCTCTCACTGATCAACATAATCAATTTGATTGTTGTGATCAATAATTGTTAATCGATGATGATGATAAATTGTTTCGATAAGTGTATTTAATAAGCAATTGACTGTGATTCCTTAATTGTAATCACTATTTATCAATCTAGAGGAAAGATAATCAAGAAAACAACCAAAATCTAAGAGACTTGATTACTCCGATTAACTAATCATCTTGTTGATTTGATTTTCATTGGGAGTTTTGATTTACTATTTATTAACATTAATCATCTGATTGATAATCAACTTGATTGTTGACAGGTCAGAGTAGAAACAATTACCATTAACAGTGAATTGATTATCGATGATTAAAAGATAAATGTTAATCAATGAGAGAAAGCAAAAAAAAAATGATTCTGATTAACATTTAGTTTCTAATTGTTTGGACAATCAATTGATTGTCCTTAAATATAACATGAAATCAATGTGACAACAAGAAAATCAATTGATTAAATTACTCAAAATCTGAATCAATTTCTATATATTTCAAATCTCTAATTGTTGTCATATTAATTTAATTGTTCAACGCGAACTCAATTGAATTGATTGAATGTAAATTGCAGTTGTCAAACCAATTGAATTCACAATTAACACAGACAATGAACAGATTAGTTAAATTGTTGTGATTGTGGAAATGATTACTTGTTAATATCAAGGAAAAAAAAAGTTGATGATTGAATGGATTGAATTGAATTGAATTGGTAACAATTAGTAAACTAGGAACCCGAAATTTAATCATGATTAAATGATTTAAAAAAAATGAACAGAGAGCAGGAAATGTTAATTGCACACAATTAACTAACTAACCTGATATAATGGTTTCTATTATTATCATTATGATGATCAAAGGGAATGTGAAACAATTGAAATGTTGATCACGAGTCTTAATCATGATTATAATCATGGTGATTCACCAGGATTCAGCTAAATGAACATTTGATTAACATGGAAACCAAATGATTAACCTTTTGCTTATCATCATTTAATCATGATTAATATTATTACCTTTGTTTTTAATTCTCGCTCCAATAATTATCCAAACCATTTACTGATTCAAACTTAAATCATCAATATTTTGATTGTTACCAATTTTTTGATTTCCATCATGAAACTTAATTCAAATGATGATCATGTTGATTTAATTGTAACTTTAATTTGGCTCTGTTTTTGTCCAATCAAAATGAATGACCAAATTAACTGGTTATCCTTGTAAATGGTTAGATGGATGAATTTTAATTGTAACAATTTATAAGGTAATTGGTTAGATGTTGGAAATGAGTAAATCATTAAGCTCTTTTGTAATTGATTAATCCTTTTCTAGGTCTTAACTGGATTAACTTGAGCAATTAACCATTAACAAGGTTCAAATTAATGATCATTATCAATGACATTTAATTAATTTGCTTTCTATTTGTTTTTATTGATAAATTTACGTTTAATTTAACTAATTAGCTTTCGACTATTGATCAATGGTTTTAATTAAAATCATTGGAAAATTATATAATTATAATAATAATAATTTTCCTTTTCTATTTGATTAGTAATTACGACAAATAATTAACTTTTGATTAAATTACAATTATCATCAAGAGATAATATCATGTATATTGAATTCACTGAATCAATTGATTGTTTCGTCTAATGTAATTTAATTGTTGATTATGATGATTGAAAAAAATGATTTACCATTACAATGAGAAAGTAAATAGCAACGTTATTATCAATACAATTGTATTTACTTTTCATATTTAAATTGTTATCATGAAAATATGATGACTTTTAATTTACAATTAAAAGATTATCAATAATCATGGAAACGAATTGAATTGATATTGTTGACAATTGAGTCAGTTAATGAATTGAATTTAGTGAATTTTCACTGAGAAAATCATGATAATGAATAAATGAGCATTTTCTTAGGAGGAGATTGATGATAATGATAAATTTTTAATCTTTTTTCATGAGAAAAGTTTTAAGAAACAAAAATAATGATTAAAACAAAAGTTACGCCTAAAATAATCATCATCATGATCAACTAATCATCATGTTAATCATGATTATAATCATGATAATCACAAGCAACTTATATGTATAATGAGTAAGGTTGGTAAAGGCGAAGAGGAAAGTTTTCCAGTTAAAAATTGAACTGAGTTAATTTCAACAATAATCAACTGATTTTGATTGACAATTAGATTCTGATGATTGTTACAATTGATTAATCATATCAATTAATAATGGAAAACTTTTTTTTACCAACTCATTTACTGTTAATCAACTTTCCGGGCAATTGGTTGATACATATTCTTGTTGTTATTTGTTTATTTACCTGTCTATTTGTTACCTGTGATCACCTTGGTTACATTTAACTCCCTGTGTGTTGATTGTAACATTTTTCATGATGAAATTTTCTCTCTCTCTCTCTCTCTCCATCTCTCTCTTTCTCTTTCTATTTATCTTGAGATTAATCAGAGGAAATTCAGAGTTACCTGAACTTTTTGTGTGCGCTCAATGTTGATGAAATATTTTCATTGGGTGGAGATCAGATTTACCTTTTATTTTTGTTTTTTCATATTCTTTCACCATGAAACTAATGATTCTTATTCATTTGGATTCCTAGGAATTGAGGTTTAATCATCAACTTGAACTTATCATTAAAAATCACAATCAATTTGATAATTTTACTTTTCTTTTTCCTCTCAAATGGTAAAATTTACCTTTTTGATTACTTTTTCTCGTTTGATTGTGATAATTGATTGAATGGCCGTTTGGTTAATTGTTGATTGATTATTCGTGATCAACTCATATAATCATTCAAACTGATTATGATAATTTAATCATTTCTATTATCGTTAATGAGTGATTACACCCTTTTAATAGCCATTGGATTAACAATGTAATCTTTTCAATTCGTAATTTATGATAATTTTAATTTCTTTTGTTTTTCTTTCATTATTGTATCTTAATTGTGATTAACTAATTGCTGAGATTTTCCAGTCTCATCTTGTTAATCCTTTTCTTTTTCTTTGTTGTATCATCCAGAATTCATGGTGATTAGTGTTCAGTTATTTAAAATATGATAAACTTTGATTTGAGTTTTTTAATTATCCAAAATATTTTGATAATTTTAATTGTTGACATGATGGTGATAATTAATTATGATGATGTTGATTGTTATTAGCAGATATTAAAATAAAATTAACCTGAACACAATAAAGGTTGAACTCATTTAAACGAGACAATTTGTTAATTAAATAACATTGACCTTGTTTGTTTTAATGGTTAATATTGTTGAACTGAATTAAAGTTAATTGTTGAGAGAATGAAAAACAAAAAGTCAATATGAAATAAACTCTTCAACAATTGAATGGAAAACTTTGTTACAATTTATTATTTCAAATCAATTTATTTGTATCTAATTGTTATAACAATTAAATCATTTGGGTTATCTTTTCAATCCAACATGAGGTCAATTGTTTATCTATTGTAATGGTCAATCAATTGGTCAATGGCAAGGTAATGAAGGGTTAGAAATGTCATGTTATAAATAATTAACCCTCGAAAGTGTCAGAGAGAGAGAGAGAGATGTCCGAATGTCCGAAAAAATTTGTATTCTTTTTCTGTGTTCTATTCATAAATCCAATAGAAGACAAAAAGATCTCGAGTGACGATTAAATATTGATCGATAATAACATAATCAATAAAATATAATGTTCCAATCGATGATTCAAATCGGTCTAATTCCTAGTGTATATTAATATACATTCACACACTTGAGTGAGAGTGGAAGAGGGAAAAAATCAATGAACAATTAAAAAGAGTTAACTCTCTCTCTCTCTCTCTCTCTCTCATATGTTAATTGTAATTATAATGATTAGGTATACAATTAAAACGAGTATGTTTATTATTACCTGAACGTTACGAATACTCAATTAATCTTAACTGTCTGAGTGTTACTTTAACAGTCTATTGATTGTTACACATCCGAAATAATAATAAAACAAAAACAAAAACAAAAAACAACAACAGTAAAAATCGTAAATTTTGACCAATTGAACATTAATTGTGTGTTTCCATTTCTATTGATTAACCTTAATTATTATCATTCCTTTTATAATTTATTAGGTGTTGTCATTAAACTCGGATGTTGTTCCTGAATATAAGTATGAAGAACCAGGATTCCAAGGTGATGATATGATTAAATCGTTGACCGCTGCGAGGAAAGGAGCGAATCGAGGTATTCTTAAGTGGACAATTTTACATTATTCGCCTTTTAAAGCCATTTGGGATTGGATTATTTTGATACTTGTTATTTATACTGCGATATTTACCCCATACTATGCAGCTTTTTTACTACAATCAAATACACGAATAGTTACCAATATAAACGATCCAAATGTACCAAGACAAGATCGTAAGTACCTGAGCGTTAATCTCCATCCCTCTAATCCCATTTTATATAATCTTCTCTTGATCTATTTTCTTATTATGACATTTTCTTTATACAGAATCGTTTTCTCTTGTCGAAGCCAAAGACCTTGCAACCTCCCGTTATGATCTACTTTTCATCATCGATATTGTCGTTGATATTATGTTCATTATCGATATTTTGATAAATTTTCGTACCACTTATATTAATCAGTGTGACGAGGTAATAATTGTGAGATATTTAACTTGATTTGTAAATTGTTCTCGATTTCTAATTGTTTACCTTTCTTTTTGTCAGGTTGTTACAAATCCAAATAAAATTGCGACTCATTATTTACGAGGTTGGTTCATTATCGATCTGGTTGCCGCTCTTCCGTTTGACCTTATTTTCATCGAAGCTGATATTGATGATGTAAGTTAATTAGTTGATTAATTTTGGTAATTAACTACTTTCTCTCTAATTAATACTTTAGATTAAAGTTATTATATGTTTGTTGTCTAGGTACTTTCATATAGCTTCAAGTTATTATATGATTAGAGTCTAATAGGTTGATTAGATTTGTTAACCAGTTAATTGTTTCCATTTAATTGTTCATCATTATGAATAAACAATTAAATCTCCATGATGATCATGTTTTTCCCAAAGGCTAATTTAATTGTTGTCAAATTGATTCATTTGTAGCTTGACTAATTTTCACTTTGGAAGTGTAGAAAAAAAAATTCCTTTCACTTTTTAAAATGGTTATTCAGTTTTAATCTTAATTGTATTAGTTAACTAACTGTTAATTTTGATCATCAATTCATTATATTTGATATTATTGTTAATTATTATCATTTCATCTTAGTAATTATCTTAATCCATTTATTTGCTTGCAATAATTAAGATCAATAAATTGATCAGACACAAGATCAGTAAACCTTACAACTTGATAATTAAATGATAAGCGTTACAATTAAATGATCATTATCTTGGAGAAAATTCAAAATATTGATGGAGTGAAATTTGTTAATTGTTGGTTAATTGTCTCAAACCATTAAATTGTTAATTCTATCAAGGCAACAACGTTAATTGGTCTTCTCAAAACTGCTCGATTACTTCGGTTGGTTCGAGTGGCTCGAAAAATTGACCGTTACTCTGAGTACGGAGCCGCTGTGTTACTATTACTTGTTGCTGCCTTTGCCCTTGTAGCTCATTGGTTAGCATGTATTTGGTAAATTCAATTTAATTATTCTTAATCACTTTACCTTAATCACAATTAGGAAACAAAAGGATAACAAACAGAAAACTGTACAACCATAATCCCTTTTGTTTATATTACATCATTACGATTATTAATAGCAGTTGATTTCCTTTCATTGATCACTGATCATTGTTTCAATTAGAATCCTATTGGTTTTTATTGATAAAATCAAATCAATTGTTGATTAATTATCTCTCTCTCTCTCTCATTAATTGTTACAATCTCTACAGGTATGCAATAGGAAATGCTGAGAGACTGAAAGATTATAATTACCGTTATAAAATTGGCTGGTTATATGTACTTGCCAATGATACTTATCATTTTTATGGTTAGTTGAGTTACAATTGATTTTTATCAGATAAATTGAAATATCTAATTAATTGATTAATTATATCTAGAACATGATGGAACCGGTGGACCTTCAATAAGAACCAAATATATTACTGCCCTTTACTTTACTTTCTCATCATTAACCTCGGTGGGTTTTGGTAATGTTGCACCGACCACTGATATGGAAAAGGTTTTCTCGGTCATCACAATGCTGGTCGGTTGTAAGTATGACCACCACCCACTGTCCACTCCACAAGAACCATTTCCTCTCAGGAAGAAAAAAAAAGAATTTTCCTAAATTCGATTTAATTTCATGATATTTTCCTTTCATTGAAAGTCACCAATTCACTTGCTTTCGTTGGTCTCATCGCTCTTGTTTTCCATTCTCCCTGTAGCCCTTATGTACGCCTCCATCTTTGGTAATGTCTCAGCGATAATACAACGTCTCTACTCTGGTACCGCTCGTTATCATACCCAATTGTTGCGAGTTCGTGAGTTTATCCGTTTTCATCAAGTGCCCAATCCATTGAGACAACGATTAGAAGAGTATTTTCAACATGCCTGGAGTTATACTAATGGAATTGATATGAATATGGTAAGTTAATATTATCGAATTATTTTTATCGAAAATTAATCAAGAAAAATTTTCCACTCTTTTCAATGTTCGAACTTTGTTCTTGACCATTCATCTTATATTGACCATTTGATCTGATTTATGTGTCTCAGGTTCTTAAAGGATTCCCTGAGTGTCTTCAAGCTGATATTTGCCTTCATTTAAATCGTAATCTCCTCAATAATTCAGCAGCATTTAAAGGTATACTCAACTTTTACTGATTATCTATTGATCTTAATGCTTATACTTTTTGCTTTCTTACCTTGTCGATGATTAATCTTGATTGTTTTCTTTTGTTTTCGAACTTTTTTTCTCTCTTTTCTTTTCAATTTTTTATGTTTCTCCGATTTTCATCTAGATGCATCACCTGGTTGTCTTCGTGCTTTATCAATGAAATTCAAGACAACCCATGCACCTCCTGGAGATACACTTGTCCACAAAGGAGATGTACTAGTGGCCTTATATTTTATCGCTCGAGGTACCATAGAGATTTTAAATGAAGATACTGTTGTTGCCATTCTTAGTAAGTTGATTTCATATTATTCGAGTTTCAGATTGAGTTGTGATTCCATTTCTCTCTCTTTTTTTCCAGGTAAAGATGATGTTTTCGGTGAGAATCCATTACGTTATCCAACAATTGGTAAATCATCATGTAACGTTCGTGCATTAACCTACTGTGATCTCCATAAAATATCCCGTGAAGATTTACTCCAAGTTTTTGAAATGTATCCTGAGTTCATTGAAAATTTCAACGGTAACCTGAAGGTCACCTTTAATTTAAGAGATGAGAGTCAAAAAGGTGTACCCGCTCGTCGTAAGCGATCACATAAGTGTCTAACTTCCCGAAGTTTGGCCTCACCTCCATCAGAGGAAGAGCAAGGTATCGAACTTTTCTTTTCTTTTATTACGAAAATTTTCCAATCGATTTTGATCTAATTGATACTTTTCGAATTGTTAATTTTAGAAGAGATTGGTAATAATAATTTAGAGGCCAAAGCTGAACCTCGGAGTTATTATGGACCTTTCGTCGCTTCTTCTCTAGAAAATGAAGACGATGATCCTGATCCATTGTTGGTCTATTATAATAATATTCGTAGACGGAATTCTGGAGCGGGAATACTTGAATTCTCACCAGCAAAAGCAGGTCGAGATGTAACTCCAGCTAATTATGATTTTCGAGAGGCTCGAAAAAAGCGTAAAAAAAGTGTCACCAATCACTCACTTGCAGGTAACTACAAATATCCTCATCAACTTTTGCTCTCGTCCATTGATTGTTGATCAAAGTTTGACACAAAAACGAAATCAACTGAGTCGTTTTAGACCAAAATTCAATGCTAACTGAGTATTAAGATCAATCTTTCGAGCTATCGAGATAATAGCCAATTATAAAGATCGATAATGTAATATAGTCGATTAATTATTGTATCTCTAATCTCTTAGGTGCCTTGTCCAGTGTTAATAATCTCGCCTTTACAACGGCTCATCATCATAATCAATCTTCATCTCCTTATTCAGATGAATCAAAAAGCCCATCGAGCAAGGACCCTCAGGGTAGACTTGTTTGTCCGCCAACAGCTGATAACAGTATCGATAATGATTATCTAAGGATAAATCAAAATCAACAAGAGAAACTTGTACAAAAAGTTAATCAACTTGCAATGTAAGCGATTTTATCACTTGACTGACCAATACGTTCATAACTTTGTACTGGTCAATCTTTAAATCCTTGAATTTGTTTGAGTCTTTGCTTGTCTGATACCTTTGGATTGATGACGAAACTGAAAAACAATTGACATTTACTTTGGATACTGATCATGTATCCTTGATTAGCTTGACCCTTGATGTTGACCTTTTGCTTAGATAAACTATTCTAATATCTGTTTTTTTAAATTATTACCTTTCCTCTCTTCAGAAAATTGAATGACATGGAGAAAAATGTATCTGATAAACTTGAAAATGTTCAATCGTTACTGCGAAGTTTAGTTCGAGACCATGATGAGAATGGTGATAAAGGTGAAACCATCTCGATTCCAATTGAATCGAGTCAATGTGTACCACTCAGTCGAACCTGTTCCTATTCTAGTAGCCTGCAAACTCGAAGTCATCCAACTATCAGGCCAAAACTGCGTCCAACTCGTAGTCTAATTGAAACCTTGGAATCGACAGATAAATCAATCGAAATGTCGGATACTTCACCTTACGATTATGAAGAATTGAGAGCCTCCCTTCAGGTGGACGAAGATGATGTGTCATCATTATCTCTTCATGAGGGTCATTCAGCCCTCGATCAAAATCCAAGAGATGAAAGTTTCTGCTGATTTATCTCTCTCTCTCCCCGAATCATTTCGATGACACACCCTTCTCAGAATAGAAATAAAAAGAAAGTTCGAAAAGTTCGAGAGAGAGAAAAAAATTGAAACCATGAATCGAGAATAGAAAATGTAAATTTGGAAACAAAGAGATGAAAAGATGACCATTTACAATTTGATTGTGTCCACTTAGTTTCCTTCTTGGGTGGACAAATTTAATTGTGATTAACAATCAATATCCACGAGGTTGGCTAATCAAAACTCAATTAGAATCGTTTTGATTTTTCTCTCTCTCTCTTTCCAACTAATCCAATTTGTTAATAATTTAAAGACTTAAATCATTTTGTTTTCCAATTTAAAAATCTCAACAGAAACATTTCTCATGGATTATGATCTTAATTAAATCCACTGATTAATCAAATCACATGATGATTAACATAAATCATTTAGTGTCCTCCATTTAAACGATGTAAACAAAGAAACATGATTAACTTTTTTGATTAATTTGCCAAAAAAATGTTATTAAAATCTAATTGAATTTGATTTCTATTATCACGAAAAAGTAAATCAAATCAAATTCAACAATTAACATCAATGGAAAAACAATTGTCACAATTAATTACGCTCAAGAAAATGCAAGAATAAACAATTCAAATCAATTAACTAATCATCAAGATTCAAGATGATGATTAAAACTTTTCAATCCTTAATTATGGGAACACTAAATTCAATTTCTAATCAATTAATTATGCTCAATTTTTAATCATACTCATTATGTATCATATGTTATATCCAATAATTAACTTTAATTGTTAACCTTTTACCATCAAACGGACCAAATGTTAATCTAAATCACCATTCAATGATTAATCTACTTTAATCATTTCCAATATTGTAAATTGTTAATCTCTCAATGATTTAGTTTAAATTGAGCAATTTAAAAATAAAGTGATTCCATTAATAGACTTGAAAGGAATCAATTAATTGGTGAGAAGTGCCTATTCCTTGACAATGATTTATTGATTATCCTTTAATTGTCAACAAGAAAGATTGATAATATTATAAATAAAATCTCACCTTGATTGTATTCTAATCGATAATGAAACACCGAAATGGTTAATAAGTTGATTATGATTAGAACTTTTCTTTTCTAATTAATAACAATCAATTCTTATTTCAAATCAATTATAGATAATTGGTTTCAATTGGAATTTTAATTTTCATTTCAAATTGAAAAATTCGTTTGCAATTAGTAAATTGTTTGAGTTGATTACTGTATTTTCGGTTTACTTGATTTTAGAGTATTTTTGTTCGGATGGCCTTAAAAAACGTCGATACAATAAATCTAAAAGTTTATTATTATTGATTGGAATTGATTTGATTTCTTTCCGTTTTTTTTTCTTTTGCTAAATTGTGAATCAGTTTTCACGATTAAATTGATTGTTGATTAAATAATGTAACAAGGAAGATAATTTATTTTTCATTTGGAAGGCTTTTGATTTCCCGTTGTCTAGGATTTGTCATTCTATGCAAAAAACGTTAGACGATTTGAAGAGAGAGAGAGAGAGAGAGAGAAAATAATAGGGAATGAGATCGAGGTGGGTTCTGTTGGGTGGAAATGGGTGTTGGGAGTGTAAATTGAAGGGAAAGATGAGAGAGAGAGGTAAGAAGATGAAAGATATTTGTAACTTTTGAACGATTTTCCTCCTTTTCCCTTTTCGAATCAATTTGTTTTCAATTTTGAAACAATTATTGTCGTTCTCTTGCTTTTAATTGTTTTATTTGCTTGTTGTTTGCATTTTTTTTTGTTTATATTCTTAATTGGTTTTATGTTTAGTTAGCCTCTTGTACTTAGAGACTAAATCTGGAAGTTGATAGGAAATGGCAACATCTAATTTATCCAATGGACATCCTCGGAAGAATGAACAAGTTGCAGATAATTGTTGAAAATCGAGAAGATTATTTGATCGGAAGAAATCACGATATAATTCAGGATCTGGTAGATCGTATCTTGAGATATTCTGAGCTTGAGCTGCAAGGGCACCGCTAAATACACGGTATTGTTGTGGATTCTCGGTGATTTCAGAGGCAAACTTTTTAGCTGACGTTCCAAACATAAATAATCCTTTGTTTCGATAATATGTGGCCAGGTAACAGTCGATTATTTTGGCATGATTACGAACTCGAACTGCATGTCGACGAACCTCAGCAATATGAGATTCAACACGAGCTAATCCAGAAACTTGATCGGATAAATCTTGAAGCCATTCCTGTTCTTGGATATCAAGGAAAGGCTCATAGGTTTCCATTTGAGCTAAAATATTGGAGGAAAAGAAAAGAAAAAATCATAATTAATTCACTGATTATCAATGGTTGATTATTAGTAAATTAGGATTTAGAGAAAGAATTATCATCATGATTAACAGTAAACAGAATGATTATGATTAAGAATGAAAAGAGGCTTTTATCCAAATGGGAATTGAACAAATTAAATTAAATAGTAAAAGATTTTGATAAATGGCCAAGTAATTCCTGAGATTATATCAAGATTTAATTCGTGCCTGAATTTGTAACAAGTGAATTATTATTAAAAGGAGAGAGAATAGTTTTCATCACCTTTAGTTTAGACAAAAGGTAAATATCAAGATAATTTGAATTCGACAAAAAAAAACTAATCTGATCAATGGACTTGGAGCGAAAATGTTGTTGAGATTAAAAAGAGGATTAACAGTTAAATGATTAGAAATTAGTTATTACTTACTTGTTAAGGCAAAAACTTGTGGTGGTTGATTGTTGGTCATAAGAGGAGATAAGGCCCATAATAATTGTCCAATTAAGGTAACAATTTGTGAATGAGTTACAGAATCAGATTTGGAAATGACAAACCTTACATCACGTCCTCTTAATTGTTCCAATAGGGAGTGAAGGTTACTCGTTAAATGAAGTTGATTAACGTCAATCATAATATAGATAACATCACTTCTATCAATAAACCATTGATAAACTTCACTGTCAATACCTTTACCTGGTTCCTTTGGCATGAGACTTTCATCAATAAAACCTGGACAATCAACAATTGTCATCTGAATAGAAAAAGAAAAACAATAATATCAATAAACAGAAACAAAGAGAGAGAGGACAAACAGAGAAAAATGTTAACCAAGCAGAATTAATTATTTTGTAAACAAAGTAATTAAAAATAGAATTGGCAAGTTGATTGGATTTAAATTATAAAGCTGAGATCAGCAACAATTCATATTTATATTGTCACCTTTTGTAAGACATCAAGAGGCATTTTAAAGGCTTGAAGATGATGTTCAACAAAATGTTGACCAAATTGTTGAAGTCCGGAGAAGGTGAAATCGGCTGAAAGTTCAGTGGGACTTAATTTAGTGAAAGCATCTCCTTGGACCAATAATGTGAAATGAGGATAACTTGTAGATATTCCTGAAATAAAGAATAACAATAAAAAAAAGAGAAAATTAACAAAAATCAAAACAATAACATTATAGGGAAAAAAAAGAACAATAGAAATCAAAAATTTAATCATTTTCTTTTTTCTCTGGGCGAATCTTTAATGGTAAACAAAGATTCTAATTAAACTGAGTCAATTAAATCGTTTAATCAATCATACTAACCATTTATCTACAAGATTAAATTTAATTACATTATGGAAATTGATATGTAAATTTAATAACAAATTTAACCACAGTTAATACAATTGGAAACAAAAACAATCAAGAGACAGAAATTTCTGATGCACAATTTACTTTACATGAAGATGAATTTATTTCTATGTCATTGAGACAGTAACTAAATAAATTGTGATCACGATTGGAATTGCAATTCTTAGTAATAAAATGATTAAATTATTGTTTTAATTAAAAAAAATGAAAAAATGAACGAATCAATTAACAGAAAGGATTAGAAAATCAGAGAAACTGCTCGATGTTTAGCTCGCATTTGCTATTCTAACGAAAAAGCTGTGAGAATAGACTAGTTATTCTAACGAAAATTTTAATTCCCTTCTGATGAAAAAGTGAATTCTTTGCTTGTGATTAGAAGATAATTAGTTTTTTGATTGATTATTGAGCTGAATTAATTATTTTGATTGTAGAATTTTCTTCTCTATCCAATCAATTGAAAGGTTAACTTGGTTTAAAAATTTTCTTTTGTTTCTTTTTTTTTCTGTTCCATGAAACTGTTGACAATTAATTCTCTTTGTCCTTTTTTCTTTGGCAATTTATCAACAATGTTGACATTTACTTTGTTATTTAATCTTTTCTTTTCTTTTCTCTCTCTCTCTCTCTCTCTCTCTCTCCCTCCCTCTTACCTGTATTTAATTGCCAAGGAGTTGCCTGAAGTCCTAGTAGATAATTGACCAATGATGTTTTACCACTTCCCTTTGGTCCAAGGATGAGAACCATCGGTCTGGCAAAGATTTCAGCGTCACTGGAGTTTTCAACAAAAGGAATAGAGGTCAACAAAAGAGAAGTGTTGACATTAAGTGTCCTAGAATCATTTGAATCAATATGTGACATTTGACAGGATTTTTTACATGGAATTTAAATTGAAAATCTCTGGTCTCACCGACCCTACCAATCTAATTACACACCCGTTGTTCCTACAATTTGATCAGGTAAATTAAATGGTTTGGCTACTTGGTAAATCCTATTGACTGGGATGGAGTAAATTTTGTTTAGTAAAATTTACATACCTTATTACTCGGGTTGATATCTCACGATATTTATACATTGATTCCAATGGTTTAATTGATGTAGTATAAATCTTTTTCAGATCTCGGAAGATGGAAAGAATCAAATTTTGCTCGGCAACGTCCTGAAGATACAACAACAATTGGAAAAGTGATCAATAAACATATTCAATGGTCAAGACTACCGACTAAATTGCTCAACAATATCTAAATATGGATGTTTGGTATATTCCAATAATAATATAGATGTACAAACCAACCTCTTTTGATCCGATCTCACCGAGTTTAAGAATCTCGTCTACATGTGAGTGTCCTGAAGTCATTGGTGTTGTTTCGGGTTCGGGCTCGGGCTCGACAACAGCCACAGGTTCAACTGGTGTTGGAACCGCAACTGGTTCAGGAATTTTCGGCTCTTCCTTGACCTTAACCTCTTCTTTTACTTGCTCTTTTGTTTTCTCTTCCATTTTTTCTTGTTTCACTTCGTCTTTTTCCTTCTCTTCCTGTCTCGTCGACGTTTCCTTGAACTTCTGTCTTCCTCTTCTTCGTCTAACTGTTCGTCCTCATCTTCATCATCAATCATCTGTTTTCGAGATTTACTTTTCCTCTTCTTTCTCTTTGAAGTTTCTTCCTCGTCTTCATCTTCGTCTTCTTCAACTCGTTGTTTCCTCTTTTTTGATCTTCGCTTAGCTACACTATCATCTTCTTCATCCTCATCCTCATCATACTTGGAACGTTTTCGATCCTTTTTCTTTTTCTTTAATGATTTTCTGGCTTCTCTTTCATCCTCTTCATCATCACCTTCATCAATTTCATTATTCTCAGTGACATCCTTAACCTTTTCATTTGATTTCTTTTCCTCAACCTCTTTGGCTTCATTCTCATCACAAATTCCGTTTCCATCTTCATCTGGACATTCTGATTTTTCACCAGTAGCTGCTGGTGAAACGATCTCTGGAATCTGAGCCACAGGCTCTGGTATCTCTTCGACCTCATCTTCATTGCAAATACCATCATTGTCATCATCTTCACAAGGTTTTTCAATCGTAGTCACTATAATCACCGAAATGAAATAAGAAACAAAAAACTTTTAAATTCCAAACTTATTGATGAGCACAAATTCATTGGCACTTTTCAGAAACAAAAAACCATCAGTCTAACCTTCAGGTTCGGCAGTTATCGTAGTGTGGTCCGTTTCTGGTGAATTTTCGTCAGCTACCTTGGATCCATCCAGAGTTTGGTAAGTTCCAGTTTCTACGAAATAATCAGCAATAACAATTCCAAATGAATTGTAAAAATTTTTATCACGAAATTTTGCTAATTTGGGCTTTTTATTTATCTTATTCTTTGAACAGTCTAATCCCCATGGTTGATTAAATTTCAAACACGTTTAAAGCAATGGTTGTGATTACGATTGGAAATGACCAGGTCATCGATTGTGTGAGATGAGCATGCATTTGGTTGCAGTTCTAATTGATAAAATCTAATTGTTTTTACCATTGATTACCTTTGGTTACACTAGATTAACTGTATTTGGGTTGTTAGTTTAATTTGATTTGATTTGTAAATCAACAATCTTATTACTACAACTGCTTACAAGTTTATCTTTCGCTCTCTCCCTCGCTCTCTACAGTTCTGTGGGATAAAAAAATATGACATTGAGGAAGGTCAGGTTAGTATGATGCTTAATGAATTTTAATTAAATGGAGCATGACTTAATTCTTTAAATATTTTAATCTTCATCATCTTATCAATAATAATGATAATTTTCTTATGAAATTTTCTAATATTAATAAGTTTGTAACTAATATTATGACTTTTTTATTTTCTCAACAGAAACTTTTTCTTCTTCTAAAAGCTACATGAAGGATTCAAACAAGCGGAACAATCTCTTATTCATTGGAATTTATTTTCTTATAATCTACTTGGATTATGGTTGATTATGACAACATATCGATTAATTTGGCAGTTAATTATTACCTTGATCCCAATATTTATTGAGAGCCTCTTCAATGTGCTTTCGGCATTCAGTTTTCGTAGCATCGTCTTTTACCTCGACTTCGGAGCTATAAACTTGGCCTGAGTATATAAAAGGATTGGATATAAATCAAGAAGAAGAAACAAAATCTTTACTATTAATTGTTTAAACAATTTCCATCTAAATCTGAGTAATTATCTTAACTTGAAAGTTTTCTTCGTTAAAATCGAAATTAATTTTGCAAACATTGATTAATATTAATTTAGTTATTGTTGAAAATGGTAATCATATTTTTCACTTGTTTTTCAAATGAATTATTAATCGTTTGTTGATAGTTTGTTAATCATTACTATTTTCTAATCTTATTTTTTTTCCTTTTCAGTTAATCAGATGAGAAATTAAAAATGAATGAACGTAAATGACAAAAACTATTATAAAGAATCACATTAAAGGAGCTAACAAATGGTAACCTTGAAAAAGTGTTGAACATGAGGAAGCTGAATGAAAATGATGAATGGAGTGTCTACTTAAGTCAATATGAGCCATTCTATTTGGCTCACCTCAATTTTCTAGGTGAAGTTGTTGGTGATTGTTGAGAGAGAAAGAGAGAGAGAGAGAGAGAGAAACAAAAGGGAGATAATGATGAGCTTCTTTTATTTTGGTTAGACACAATTGAATGTTTAGCTTAAATGAGGATCAACATTTTTTACTAAATGAACATTAATATAGATTAAAAGAGCCAGGGAGAGCGAAATAATGAAGAAGGGATATCCTAAATTTAGATTATCACAAAATAGTTGAGAGGCTCTGAATCTGGAAGATATTATTAGTTTCTTGGAATAGAAGACTCTCTTTTTATCTCTCTCTCTCTCTCTCGCTCCCCTTTTTCTTCTTTGTCATCTTGGCCCATATTTCACTTGATGCTTCCTTATTAGGGGAGCCTTAACTGGGTAAAGGTAGCATTTGAGCAATGGCAACAGAATTAAATCATATTAATAAATTAACAGAGATCAAAGATTAAGTGAGAGAGACCATTTAGAATCTAGAAAGTTTAATGTTGAGAGAAATTAGTTAATCATGATGATTAAACTGATACTTAATTCTTTGTATTTTCAATTGACTGAATTCTGTTTGCCTTTGACTCTCTCTCTCTCTCTCTCTTTTCAGTTAATCAATCATTTAGACGAAATCGAATGCACTGAGAATCCTGAAAGTAATTATTAATTGTTATTCTATTCAATTGAAACTAATTACTGCCAACAGTGACCTTGAACTCAATATTTTATTAGCAGAGGTTAACTTTTCACTCTACTACTTAATATTTTTGCGATCTCTTAATTGTCAGCGATTTAATCAACTTTTAGAGTTATTATTAACAGTTTCAACTATGAAACAATTGCAATTAATTTAAAACCTACAAGTTCAATTAGTATGATGAATATAACATAAGTTAATCATTCAAATCATTTGGGAGATGACAATTAACTGAACAATGGTTAATTGTTCATCTTGTTAAAACTTTTGAATCTATGATTTGTCCATCGTTATCACATGAAAATCGAACTACTTATTCAACCCTTAACATATTAAGATGAATTCTGATTCTTTTGATTTAATTACTTTTTTCTTTCATTTTTTCTTACAGAAATTATTCAGCTCGTGATTAGTACTTACCTGGTGTCGATAATGATGCAGCTACAATGAAAAGTAGGCACAACACCGAAGGCCAAGTTCTCGGTGTAACCATAATCTCGTTTCACTAATTGAATTCGAATGTTAAATTGTTACTCTTTAATTGTTGAATCGAAGCCGTTATTTGGATCACTCAAAGAAGAACACACAAAAAAGAAAGAAAAAATTACTTGAATATAACGAAGCAAATGAAAAATATATTCGTGGTGACGGATTTTGGCTATTCGATGATAAAATAAGGTATTACGATTTATCACCAAATTTACGATGGAATAATTGTAATCAATTAACAATTAAATAGAAGTAACAATAATACTAATAGAAGGCGAAATGTAAAAAAGAAAAAGGGTTAACTAAATTAACGAAGTTCGAGGTTCATTTGCAGGTTCCATTCGATAGCGTAATTTTTACTTCTTTTCTTGTGAGAAGAGAGAAAGAAACAAACTAGTTGAGAGAAGAGAAAGTTTCGAACAAGGAAACAACTTGTCCTATGGGTTAACCTATCCTGAAGAGTTACCCTTGAGCTTTAAGCACAAACTCAGAACTCGAACATGTAGGTACAGTCGTTAGAAGAAATTTAAAAGAAAACATTGATATTTCATTTTCTTTTTCTCTCAATGTTCAATTCGACTTGCGCACCAATTTATTCTCATCATTATTATCTTTTCTTTTCTTTTCTTTCTTTTTACAGAATTCGCATGAAGATTGAAATATATCTGAACGAAATGTAGGTCTTGGAGCAAACTAATCGGAGAGACTTGCCAGCAATTAGGTGTTTCCATCTTCAATGATAATGTTCATCGTCATGTACGTTGATCGCAAGCAAACAGATTTAATTCACCATTCAAATGTTCATCTTAATTGCAAGAGCCAAAATCAGAATTAGATTTCAACTCATATACTTGTTTCATCTCTCTCTCTCTCTTTTTATCCTTCAACCATTATCATCACCTCGTCTCTATTAATTGTTAATATGAACTTTTCAACATTCAATTGTTTCATATTGTTAATTGTTCAGTCTTAATCATTCTCACTATATGTAGACTTTTACTCTCTTGGTCATCTAATGTTCAATTCTTTCTGAGTCTTGACCATTTCATGTTTTCTTCATCTTTGATTTTATATTCGAGTTAATCATAACTAACCAATTTTAGCATTTTTGCACAATTGACTAATTGCCTGCTCGATAATGGAAATTAGTCCATTTCTTGATCTATGTATTTAAATTCAATGTTGAAATTAAGATGCAATCATGAGTTTGTCGAATAACTAATCAATTAATTTTGATTTTTCGATAAAAGAAAATTGAAAACAGCTAATTGGTATTCCAATTGTTGAAAATTTCTCAGTATAATTTGATTTTTTTCTCACAATTTCAGATCGATTACCACCTAGTAGCTTAGTGACCTCTCGAACAGTTCGCATCATCCACTTATGTACTTTTTAGTCGTTGGAAAGTTTTACCTTTGGGAATTTAACTCATTTGCTTCCTCGAAATTTTTATCAACCTTGAATCAAATTTGTACGAATCATCAGTTTTAAGGTCACTAAATGGGTCAATCTAATGTAAGACCATTTCGTCTTGGAAACAAATTTCCAGAGTTTCAAACTTTGTCTTACAATTAAGTTTAATATCTTAGAGTCATTTTGATTTTGTCATTGATCTTTTTCATTTGATTGTGACAACTATTTTTTTCTTAATAATTAAGATTTTCGAATTGATTTTTTATTCTGTTTTTTTTCATTTTCTAGTTAAATGGAAGGTAGACCTCGTGGAAGAGGAAGTGGTGGATCATCAGAACGTTCAACTTCCAGTCGACGATCAACATCAAGACCACCGAGAAATTTTCCAGCCGAAGCTCCAATTCGAACGATACCCGATGGGTTAGTTACGAAAGCCAGTGAAATCGGTGTACCAGTTCGTCTTTATAGTAATCATTTCCATCTAAAAACACCAAAAGATGTAATAATTTACGATTACCACATCGATTTTGAGCCGATTGTTGAAGCCTCCCGACTCCGTGGTAAATTAGTTTACCAGAACCGTGAACATTTTAATAATTGTTACATTTTCGATGGTGGTTCCAATGTTAAATCACTACATCAAATAGCTGAAACAATGACTGTTACCGGAGTAAATCATAACAATGAAAATATTCAGATAACAATTAAACCCACCGGACGAATTGCCTGGGGCCATCCAGAGATGATGCGTTTCTACAACACTCAAATGAAACGTAATTTAGTTCACATTGGGATGTCTGCTATTGGTAGAAATTTTTTCGACAAAAGTGGTTCTATTTTTATACCCGAACATCGAGTTGAAGTTTGGCCTGGAATGTTAACCGCAATAAACGAGCACGATGAAGGTATTCTGATGGTGGCCAATGTTTTAAATAAAATAATCCGCCGAGAAACTGCTCTCGATATTTTGGTCAGAATCTATCGAACAGATAAAAACCAGTTCAAGGAGAAAAGTCGTCGTGAACTTGCCGGTGTTATTGTTATGACAAATTACAACTCGAAAACCTATCGAATTGATGATGTTATTTTCGATAAAAATCCAAGAACATATACTTTTGAGCGAAGAGGTGAGTCGGTTTCACTTCGAGATTATTATCTTGAACAATATCAGCAGCAAGTTAAAGATGAACATCAACCTTTACTTATGGTTCGACCAAGTGATCGTCAGCAACGAGGTGGAATGAATAAGAATATTATCCTTATTCCAGAATTTTGTCTAATGACGGGAATCACTGAGCTAATGCGAAATGATATGCGATTTAGAAAGGAGGTTGATCGCCATGTTAAATTAGGTCCAGCGGAGAGAATGAAATCTTTAAAGGATTTCGCCCAAAGGTTGACCTCTCATCCTAAAGTCAATGAAGAAATGAGCCAATGGAACTTACAATTGGATCCTCAACTTGTCCATCTCACCGGTCGACTTTTGGCTTCGGAGAAAATTTTGATGAGCGATAGAAGCGATGAAGATGGTATTTTATACGATCAAAGAAGTGGATCATTTGAACAAGAAATTAGAACAGAGAGAATGAGAGAGCCCGTTGATCTGGAATATTGGGTAATCGTAGCACCGAGCAGAGATAAATGTCTCATTACAAGTTATCAAGATTCATTACGTCGAGTTGCTGGTCCATTGGGGATCAGATTAAGTCCTCCCAAGTATCTGTGGTTAGATGATGATCGAACTGCAACTTATCTTGATGTTTGCCGGCGAATCCCCAGTGATAAGGTCAAATTGGTCCATGTTGTTGTTCCCAATAACAATCGTGAGCGTTATAATACCATCAAGCGTTACTTTTGCGTCGACTGTCCTTGTCCAAGTCAAGTGTTAACTAGACGAGTTCTGGATAAAAATCAATTAGCAGTTGCTACAAAATTGGTTGTACAAATGTCCGTTAAAATGGGTGCCAAGGCTTGGGCTTTAGTTATTCCGGTAAGTTGAACATTTTTGATGATACATTTACCGTTTATTTAATTGTGATCTTATTTTTTACTTTTTGCCAACACAAGCCTAAGAATGTAATGATTGTTGGCTTTAATACCTATCGAGATACATCCAGGAGAGGTCATTCTGTTGGAGCTTTCGTTTGTAGTACCAATAGTGAAACAACTACCTGGTATTCAAGAGTAGATTATCATCAAAATAGTGATGAAATGTCAAGTAATTTTGCGACAAATTTAAAATGTAAGTTGGATGATTTTTAAACTTGATTAATATTGATGATATTTTACATTTAATTTAGTTGGTCTTAAATCATGGCATGCGATTAACGGTCGTTTCCCTGAGAAAATAATAATCTATCGTGATGGTGTTTCCGAAGGACAAATAGGTCATATCTTCAAAACGGAGACTGTAAAAATACGGGAAATTTTAGCAGAAAGAGCCGATCTAGTGAATACCCATTGGTGTTTCATTATTGTTAACAAGCGAGTCAATGCTCGATTCTTTATGCAACCAGCCAACCTGACTGCTCCAGTGGTCAATCCAATATCTGGAACGATTATCGACTCTGTGGTCACTCGTGCTGAGAGATACGATTTCTATTTGGTCAGTCAATCCGTTAGATTTGGCACAGTTAATCCAACAATGTACAATATCATCGCTGACGATACAGGATGGAAACCCATTCATCATCAATCTTTGGCATATAAACTGTGTCATCTTTATTACAATTGGGCAGTAAGTTGATTAACCAATTACCCATAGTTGATCATTGGTCATTTTACTACTAATTGTTATAATTAAATTTCGCATTTTCTTTTCTTTTTATCAAGGGAACTATTTCTGTACCAGCTCCTTGTCATTACGCTTACAAATTGGCCTTTCTAATTGGTACCTGTATCCACCAAGAACCAAGTCCATCGCTGGCTAATAAACTGTACTTCCTGTAACCAATTGGACGATGTTAACAGGGCAAACATTTGCGAAATTAATCAACAATCTACCAAGACGATCTGATTCATCAATTCACTCAATTAACTATCCAGAATTAATTAGAATCAAAGGAAACTACAATTTTAATAACAACTAAATCTTTATGCATCTTAAACTGCTATTTAATTGTTTCAATAATCTCCGATTTTTCCGATCATTGTACTCATATATTGTGATGATCATCTAATAACTATTCGGGGTTTATGATCTGAATTTATTTGAAATTAATGGTTTAGTTCAATGTCACCTCTAATTGAGTAATTTTGAAAAGAAAACAAACAAAGATCGAGATATTTAGAGTCTAAAAAGTCACCTTTTCTCATTTATTAATTGTCTCAATATCTCCCTCTTGACTGTTTCACTGCTCCAATCTAGCGGCAGATAGAAAGTGAATATCCCACTCATTTGTCGTCAACCTCTTGGTTTTAACAATTCAATCATTTTACTTTTCGTGCTTGCCTTGTGCTAGTAGTTCACATCTAATTGTTTATCGAGCTGATTTTATTATATTAAAACTTAAAGCATGGATGTCGGCGGATTTCGTGGTCGAGGTCGAGGTGAAGCCGGCGAAAGCTCTAACAGTAGAGGTTCTTTACCAGTGATTCCATTCCGAACTGCTGAAACCTTACGAACTATTCCGAAGGAAATTACCATTACAACGGGTGATAATGCTGGTGGAATGAAAATCGTCACCAACTATTTTCAACTTCGAGTTCCAAATGATCAGGTAGTATATGGTTATCGAGTTGATTTCGAACCGAATGTTGAATCCATTCGAGTTCGTAGAGGTTTGGTTTTTAGTCTTTCGGCTGTTTTCAATAAAGCTTATATATTTGATGGTGGTAATGAGATTAAATCATTACAAGATATTAAAACCACCACCACAACTGAAGCTACAACTCGAGATGGTAAAACTATTTCCATTCGTATTAAACCAACGTGGACTGTAGGTTGGGGTCACGCTGAGATGCTTCGTCTTTACAACACTCAAATGCGTCGAAATCTTGTCTCTCTTGGATTCATTAATGTTTTTCGTAATCATTATGACATAAATGCTCGAAGATTGTTATCTGATCATGATATCGAAATCTGGCCTGGTATTTCAACTGCTGTCAATGAGCACGATGGTGGTATTCTTATGTGCATTGACATATTTCATAAGATAATTCGATCAGAAACTGCCTTAGATATATTGCAACGATTGAAATCTAAAAATCCATACTTATTCAAAGAACTTGCTCAAAAAGAGTTGGATGGTAAGATTGTTATGACTAAATACAATAACAAGACTTATCGAATACTCCACATTCGGTTCGATAAAAATCCCGTCTCTTGTACCTTTGATCGACGAGGAACTACCATCACCCTCAAAGACTATTACAAAGAGCGATATCAACATATCTGTACAGATGAACAACAACCACTTTTATGGGTATATCCGACAACTCGACATCAATGGCGTCCGAACAACGAGGACATCCTATTGATTCCTGAGTTTTGTCTAATGACTGGATTGACTGAATCAATGAAAAACAATTCCAACTTTAAACTTGGTCTTAATGATGCAACTCAAAATGAACCCCCTGCTAAAACAAACGCACTTATGGCATTCATGAGGAGAATGAAAGAGAACGAGACTATTCGTAAAGAAATGGACAATTGGAGTTTGGGATTTGAAGACAAGTTAGTTGAACTCAATTCCCGACTTTTACCTGGCGAAAGAATCCAAACTTTCGGTGAAGTTGGTGAAAGTTCTGGTGTTCCATATGCTCAACATACAGGTAACTTTGAAAGAGAAATTCGATCAAAGAAAATGAAAAATCCAGCAAAGATGGAAAATTGGTGCTTGATTGCTCTTCGAAAAGACAAAGCTATTATTGATGATTTCTTCGCTCACTTGAAACGTGTCTGTGTTCCTCTCGGGGTAGAGATTGGTCCACCAAAAATGTTCCCAGTTGACAATGATAGAGTTCAACTTTATCTCGAGGCTTGCAAGGGAATTCCCGAAGCTTCAAAGTTCTGCATCATTGTTGTTCCTATGCTGACAACGCAACAACGCTGACCGTTACAGTGCTGTCAAACGGTACTTCTGCTGCGAAAGACCTGTTCCATCTCAGGTTATAACTACTCGAGTTTTAAGCAACAAGAAAAATCTAATGTCCGTTGCAACTAAAATCCTCATTCAAATGTCGACCAAACTTGGAGCTGAACCATGGGGACTTCACATTCCGGTGAGAATCAACTTATTTCTCGCCCAATTAGGGACCTTATTAAGTAGTATGAAGGTTAGATCAGCACCAAAAACCGAAATCATGAGACTAAAAATAAAATTTAGAAAGAGATTGGAAAAGTAATTTTCCTGACAAGATTGTTGATGAAATGAACAACCTGTAATTTGGTTTTAAGAGGGGTCTTCTCAGTTATCTGAGGTTTACGGAGATATAATTTATAATTATTGCTGTAAAGACATTATTCTCTCATTCTTTTCCATTTTCAGCTAAAAAGCACCATGATTATTGGATATGATACTTACCATGAGAAACGAGGCCATTCTGTCGGAGGATTTGTCTGTTCAACTAATGGTTCTGCTACTACCTGGTTCTCCCAAGCTACTTATTACCATTATGGAACTGAAATGTGTGAAAACTTTTCTAGTAACTTCCGAGGTAAAGTGAAAAGTTCACATTTCGATTTGTTTTGATACATTTTTTTCTCTGTCATATTAAGCTGGATTGAAGAATTGGTATCAGAAGAATGGTGCATGGCCTGAATCTATTATCATCTATCGTGATGGAGTTTCAGAGGGACAGATTCCTCACGTTTATCATGCCGAATTGAAGGAACTGCAAAAAGTTCTAACTGAGGAGGAAGGATTGACCAAAACTGCCTTTGCTTTCGTTATTGTCAGCAAACGAGCTAACGCTCGATTCTTTTTGCTCGAAGAGAAAGACCTAATGAACCCTCCAACTGGGACATTGATTGATTCAATAGTTACTCGAAAGGAAAGATATGATTTCTACTTAATCAGTCAATCCGTTTCTCAAGGTACCGTAAACCCAACAATGTACAACATCATCGCTGATAGTACAGGATGGAAGGCGCTTCATCATCAACAATTGGCTTATAAACTTTGCCATCTTTACTAAAATTGGGCTGTAAGTGTGACCTTTAACATAGTTTCTCACCTGATTGATCTTGATATCAATCTAATTCTGTCTTTGTCTATTATCCTCCAGGGAACCATTACTGTCCCAGCTCCGTGTCAATATGCCCACAAATTGGCCCATCTTACAGGAACCGCTTTGCACAAAGAGCATCATCTCGCTCTATCACACACTCTTTTCTTCCTCTAAGTTTCTATCGATTTTGCTTCACGAATTTAATCTTCGTGACTTTTTCAGCTATCTAGATATTAATACTTATAGTTGGTCACTTTCTCACTAATTGTAAACCTAAGTTTGGTATTTACTTTTTTTTATTTGAGGAACTATTTCTGTTCCAGTTCCTTGGACCAAACAATATTAATTTCGATTAAATTGTTATTTGAATAGGAAATTTACATTGAAAAAATGAGATTTCCAGAAAATTATTAGGTGCCCACTTGAAGATTCCCCCCGAAAAAATGGGTTGACCTGGAGAATTTTCGATCGCAGAATTGGACTCGTGGGGTGTTACTTTATATAAATCCGGAAAAAGTCCGGTCAAAAAAGTCCACAAAAAAATTGACGCGATTAAAACCAAAAAAAAGTTAAAGTCTCGATTTGACAAAAAATCATGAAAAATTACTGAATCACCATAGAGTTCAATGATAAAACTGAAATTTTTCATTATTTATATAAAGTAACACCCCACGAGTCCAATTCTGCGATCGAAAATTCTCCAGGTCAACCCATTTTTTTCGGGGGGAATCTTCAAGTGGGCACCCTAATAACATTGTTTGGTCTAAAATTCTTATTAATAGTAATATAATTATTCTAACTATTAATTTACTTTTGAGGAAAATCGTTTTTCTTTCAAAACCCAGAATTCAACTTAATTTTTGGTTCGACTGTAATATAATATTTAAATCACTAATTGTCAATCTAATTAAATGCCTGATTCGAAAGTGAAAATTAAACTTCAATCATTACCTTTGATTAGCTTTTTATTAGGATTTTATGCTTAAACAGCTCATTCAATTAACTTTTTTAGGTTTCGCTCGAAAGTTGACCTCTCGTCTTAAAGTCAATGAAGAAATGGACCAATGAAATATCGGATAATCGTAGCACCGAGTAGAGATAAATTTCTCATTACAAGTTATCAAGATTCTCTATCAATTCTTAGGATATAAACTATGTCATCTTTATTACAATTGGGCACTAAGTTGATCAGCTAACTACTCATAATTGTGCTAATTAAATTTCGTGTTTACTTTTGTTTATTTAGGTAACTATTTCTATTCTAGCTTCTTGTCACAATATAAATTCAACAAATTGTAATCAATTGAACGATGTTAACAGGATAAAAATATCGAAATTAATCACCAATATCCTTGCAAATTAACTATCGAGGATTAAACATAATCCAAAGGGAACTTATATCATCTTTTTATTAAATCTTTGCTCATCAATAATTTCTAGTCAATTGTTTTCTTATGTTTCCATTTCTAACCGTTAACTTGGATATTGTAGTGATCACAATTAATTAATTATCTAAGTTTAATGATCTGATTGTATGAGAGCTCCAATTAGTCCAATGTCACCTCTAATTGAATAATTTTGGAGAGAAAAACAAACAAAGATCGAGATATTCAGGGTCTAAAAAGTCACCTATTCTCGTTAATTAATTAATTAATTGTCTTACTATCTTCCACTTGACTGTTTTTTTCCACCTCCCATCCACTGGACAATCTTTAAATTCACATAGCAAGTGAATATCTTCATTCATTTGTCATCAATCTTTTGTATTGTTAAATATCGTTCTTAACTACTATTGGGTAGTATTCATCATCTAATTAGTTTTTTTTCAAGTTGGCTCAATAATAATTAACATGGATGTCGGTAGATCCCGTGGTCGAGGTCGAGCTGGACCTGGTCCACCTGAAGCTGGCGCACCTTCAACTAGTGAAGGTTCTGTACCATCGATTCGCGTCCGACCTGCTGAGACCTTACGAACTATTCCGAAGGAAATTACCATTACAACGGGTGATAATGCTGGTGGAATGAAAATCGTCACCAACTATTTCCGACTTCGAGTTCCAAATGATCAGGTAGTATATGGTTATCGAGTTGATTTCGAACCGAATGTTGAATCGATTCGAGTTCGTAGGGGTTTGGTTTTCAGTCTTTCGGCTGTTTTCAATAAAGCTTATATTTTTGATGGTGGTAATGAGATTAAATCATTGCAAGATATTAAAACCATCACCACAACTGAAGCTACAACTCGAGATGGTAAAACTATTTCCATTCGTATTAAACCAACATCGACCGTTGGTTGGGGTCACGCTGAGATGCTTCGTCTTTACAACACTCAAATGCGTCGAAATCTTGTCTCTCTTGGATTTATTCAGGTTGGTCGTGACTATTATGACAAAAATGCTCGAAGATTGTTATCCGATCATGACATTGAAATTTGGCCTGGTATTTCAACTGCTATCAATGAGCACGATGGTGGTATTCTTATGTGCACTGACATGATCCATAAAATAATTCGACGAGAAAGTGCCTTAGATATGTTGCGACAATACTTATCTCGAAACCGAGACAACTTCCGAGAGGTCGCTCGAAAAGATTTACCTGGTAAAATTGTAATGACCCGATATAACAACAAGACTTATCGAATTGATGATGTTCTTTTCGACAAAAATCCCGTCTCTTGTACCTTTGATCGACGAGGAACTACCATCACCCTGAAAGCTTATTATCAGGAACAATATCAACAGACCTGTAGCGACGATCGTCAACCTCTTCTATTGGTACAACCAACAGAACGACAACAACGAGGTGGTGACAATAAAGAAATCCTATTGATTCCCGAATTCTGTCTGATGACTGGTTTAACTGATAATATGAAAAACGATTTCAACTTTAAACGAGTTCTTGGTGATGTCACCCGAATGGATCCTCCTGCTAAAACAAACGCACTTATGGCATTCATGAGAAGAATGAAAGAGAACGAGACTGTTCGAGCTGAAATGGGCAATTGGAGATTGGGATTTGAAGACAAGTTAGTTGAACTCAATTCCCGACTTTTACCTGGTGAAAGAATCCAAACTTTCGGTGAAGTTGGTGAAAGTTCTGGTGTTCCATATGCTCAACATACAGGTAACTTTGAAAGAGAAATTCGATCAAAGAAAATGAAAAATCCAGCAAAGATGGAAAATTGGTGCTTGATTGCTCTTCGAAAAGACAAAGCTATTATTGATGATTTCTTCGCTCACTTGAAACGTGTCTGTGTTCCTCTCGGGGTAGAGATTGGTCCACCAAAAATGTTCCCAGTTGACACTGATAGAGTTCAACTTTATCTCGAGGCTTGCAAGGGAATTCCCGAAGCTTCAAAATTCTGCATCATTGTTGTTCCTAACAACAACGCTGACCGTTACAGTGCTGTCAAACGCTATTTCTGCTGCGAAAGACCTGTTCCATCTCAGGTTATAACTACTCGAGTTTTAAGCAACAAGAAAAATCTAATGTCCGTTGCAACTAAAATCCTCATTCAAATGTCGACCAAACTTGGAGCTGAACCATGGGGACTTCACATTCCGGTAAGAAGTTTATTCATTTTGTTTCATTTTATCTTCTTTTTCATTTCTTCATATTTACATTTTGTTTTTTCTTTTCATTCTGTTTCATGCTCAGCCAAAAAGCACCATGATAATCGGATATGATACTTACCATGACTCTGAGAAACGAGCCCAATCTGTCGGAGGATTTGTCTGTTCAACTAATGGTTCTGCTACTTCCTGGTTCTCTCGAACTACTTATCATCAAAATCGAGAGGAATTGTCAGCTAACTTTGCTAGTAACTTCAGAGGTAAATTGTAGAGTTCTTTTGGTTATTTCCCATATGTATATTTATATTTTCTTACATTTTTTTTAATATTTTCTAATTTCTTTCTAGCTGGATTGAAGAATTGGTATCAGAAGAATGGTGGATGGCCTGGTCGTATTATCATCTATCGTGATGGAGTTTCAGAGGGTCAAATTCCTCACGTTTATACGGTTGAACTGAAGGAAATGCAAAAAGTTCTAACTGAGAAGGAAGGATTGGCCCAAACGGGTTTTGCTTTCGTCATTGTCACCAAACGAGTCAATGCTCGATTCTTTTTGGCTGAAGGAAGAGATTTGAAAAATCCTCCACCGGGATCGTTACTTAACTCAATCGTTACTCGAAAGGAGATATGATTTCTACTTAATCAGTCAATCCGTTCGCCAAGGTACCGTAAACCCAACAATGTACAACATCATCGCTGATAGTACAGGATGGAAGGCGCTTCATCATCAACAATTGGCTTATAAACTTTGCCATCTTTACTACAATTGGGCTGTAAGTACATAACCTTTAATGCAGATTTTAATTTCTCTCTAAAATCCTCTAATTAATCTTTTTTTCTACTCCTTTCTCTTTCGCATCTTCTAGGGAACCATTACTGTCCCAGCTCCGTGTCAATATGCCCACAAATTGGCCCATCTTACAGGAACCGCTTTGCACAAAGAGCATCATCTCGCTCTATCACACACTCTCTTCTTCCTCTAAGTTTCTATCGATTTTGCTTCACGAATTTAATCTTCGTGACTTTTTCTTATTTTTCGAAAAATTTAGTTTCCTCATATACGATTAGTTTTCTATTTCTTTATCATTAGTTTATTAGTTTCCATTCATTAGAAAGCATAATTTACTCTTTGAATACACTTTTTTTAATACATATACTTCTAGTAGATTATTTTACTTTTTTGGTAACATGATATTCAATTCATGTTCAATTTATATTCATAATAACCTCTTTTCAAGTTAATCATTAATAACTGACCCAAGAATTTCGGTACAATTAGTCAATTGTTTGTTCAGCAATGGAAATCAATCAACTTTTATTAATACAACGCGCAACAATTAATATTAACCAATTCTAAATCGACGAACCATCGGTTCTTGATGTTCCTGTCCGAACGATACCTGAGGAACTCGTTACGAAAACCCTTGAAATCGGTGTACCTGTCCATCTTTACAGTGATCAAGCCTGTAGGTTCTATGGTTAATTGATTTACCTACAAAATTTATCCTTAAATACTAGTAGGTTGATCAACTACTCATATTTGACAACATTTCGACACTAATTGTAATAATTAGATTTCACTTTTTTTCCAGTCAAAGAATACACTTCATTTCCTATTCCATTTCTTATCCATCAATATTCACCAATGATTGTTATTCAATTGTTTTATTAATCTTACATATTTCCATTTATGAAATTAAAAGTTTATTTGAATATCCATCAATTTAATTTAATTTAATTAACTACAATGTAATTAATTGTCTTAACATTCGATGGATTGATTTAGAAAAAAAGTTACAATTCTTTCATTGATTTACTTTTATTCTTTTAAAAGAAAATTTTTTGTTCTATTCTCCATTCAACCTTTTACTTCTATTCCAGTGTTTTGTTTACATTTAAATTATTTCAATCAACGATAATTTCGATGTAAATTAAGTTTCTAAATATTAATATAACATTTAAATCACTAATTGTCAATCTAATTAAATGACTGATTCGAAAGTGAAAATTAAACTTCAATCATTACCTTTGATTAGCTTTTTGTTTGAATTTTATGCTTAAACAGCTTATTCAATTTACTCTTTACTTTTGGATTATGTTAATTGTTGATTGTGTTTAATTTTCTGTTGCAGTTATAAAAGTTGACGAGCTGATTAAAGCAACTTTGGACCAATCAGATTCGAAAGGTTTTTTGGTCGAAATATTTTCGGTATAAATTGGACGCTATTAACGATGTTGATCTTATTTTCGTTTTACAACAACAACAAATTACTACAATTTACAGTTATTATTATTGTGTTTTATTATCATACAATATGGAAGCTCGACCTCGTGGAAGGTCATCATCGAAAAGTCCACCTTCAGCTGAATTTCCACCTAAGCCGTTGTCTTCATCTGATGTTTACCGTGCAGCCGAACCACCGCTTAAAACTAAACCTTCGGGTTTATTGACGAAAGTTGGTGAAGGTGGAATAGCGGTTCGTCTTTTTAGTAACCATTTTCGACTACAAACACCTCAAGATGTGATAATTTACGATTATCATGTTCATTTCGAGCCGAATGTTGAATCATTACGATTTCGACGCTCACTAATATTTCAAAATCGTGAAATGTTCAATAGCAGTTACATATTTGATGGAAGTGAATCCATTAAATCTCTCCATGAGCTTACAGGACCCATCACAGTTTCGGCAGTTGATAAACATAATAATGAAAATATTCAGATTACAATTAAACCCACAGGACGAATTGCCTGGGGCCATCCGGAGATGATGCGTTTCTACAACACCCAAATGAAACGTAACCTGACTCACCTTTCAATGACTCGACTTGGGAGAAATTTTTTCGATAAAAATCAAGCCAAAAGGATTCCCGAACATTCTGTTGAAGTCTGGCCTGGAGTTCTAACTGCTATTAACGAACATGATGGAGGTATTCTTATGGTGGTAAATTGTTTGAATAAAATAATTCGAAAGGAAACTGCTCTGGATATATTGAGAAGAATCTGGTCTCAGAATCGAGACAATTTTAAAGACTTTGCTCGACGTGAGCTGGCAGGTTCGATTGTCATGTCAAAGTACAATTCGAAAACCTACCGAATCGATGATATCATTTTCGATAAAAATCCAGAATCATATATGTTTGAGCGAAAAGGAGAATCTATTAATCTGGTTACTTATTATTTCACTCAATATGCGATTAAAATTCAAGACACTAAGCAACCGCTTCTCATGGTTAATCCAACGGATCGACAACAACGCGGTGGGATAACCAAAGATCTTGTTCTGGTCCCGGAGTTGTGCCTTCTAACGGGAATGTCAGAGAATATGAGAAACGACTTCAACTTTCGCAAGGAATTGGATAAGCACGTTAAATTGGACCCACCACAACGAATGAATTCACTGAAAGATTTCATCAGGAAAATGATATCAAATGATAAAGTTCAGGAAGAAATGAACCAATGGAATCTTCGTTTGGAACCTGATTTGGCTCAAATTACTGGACGAATTTTGGGAACAGAGAAAATTCTTATGGGAAATCGAAGTGCTGAAGATGGTATTCTTTACGACCAGAAGACGGGATCATTTGAGCAAAGTATCAGGTCAGAGAGCATGAGAGCTCCCGTTACCCTTGAATACTGGGTTGTTGTCGCTCCGATGAGAGATCGATCTATGGTCGAAAGTTACCTGGACATGTTAAGACGAGTCGCAGGTCCATTGGGTGTTAAAATTTCCATTCCAAAGTTTTTATACCTAGAAGATGATCGAACCCAAACTTATCTTACCGCTTGCCGATCAATTCCCTCTTCCGCTAAATTGGTACATGTTGTGGTTCCCAACAACAATCGCGATCGCTACAATACCATCAAAAGATACTTTTGCTGCGACCAACCTTGTCCAACTCAAATTCTAACCAATCGAATTCTAAGAAAAAGTCAACTATCAATCACTTCTAAATTGCTCTTCCAAATGTCCGTTAAAATGGGTGCTCAAGCTTGGGCTTTAATCATTCCGGTGAGTATCATAATTGTGCTAATTGCGCTTATTTTCCCTCTTCATTTTCATAGTCGTATAACAGTTTGTACTAAATCGCTTTTTCTTTGTCGTTAAAAATATAGCCCAAAAATACAATGATCGCTGGATACAACACCTATCGAGATACCGTTAAAAATGGCCACTCTGTGGGTGCTTTTGTTTGTAGCACCAATGCCGAAATAACTACTTGGTACTCAAGAGTTTCTTATCATAACAATTGGGAGGAGATGTCATGTAATTTTGCTTCGAGTTTAAAATGTAAGATAATTCAAGTTCTAATCGCAGTTCGAACCCATATATTTATGCAATTTTTTCTCTCTCTCTATTTTCCTTTGATTAGTTGGCCTTAAATCGTGGCATTCTATTAATGGCCGTTTCCCTGAGAAAATACTCATCTATCGTGATGGTGTTTCCGAAGGACAAATTGGTTACGTTTATCATAATGAGACCAGAAGAGTAGCCGAGGTCCTAAGCGAACGGGAAGATTTGAAAGACACCAATTGGTGTTTCACAGTTGTCAACAAAAGAGCCAATGCCCGATTTTTTGCCGTTCGTGGTGGAATCAATGATCCAGTAGTCAATCCAATACCTGGAACGGTTATCGACTCGGTGGTCACTCGAAAGGAGCGATACGATTTCTATTTGGTCAGTCAATGTGTTCGCGCTGGTACCGTTAACCCAACAATGTACAACATAATCGCCGACAATACAAAATGGAAGCCAATTCATCATCAAACGATCGCATATAAATTATGTCATCTTTACTACAATTGGGCTGTGAGTAATTAAGTGCTAATTATTTTTGTTCAATGAAACATTTGATTAACTTTAATAAACTTTTACTATCAATTTATCAACAGGGAACCATTTCTGTCCCAGCGCCTTGTCAGTACGCTTACAAATTGGCCTGTTTAATTGGAACCAGCGTCCACCAAGAGCCCAGTCATGCATTAGCTAATCAATTATACTTTTTATAAATTAATTATTACAAAATGAAAACCAATCAACCAACAAAAAAAAAAACTTTTCCTATTCTTTTCAATGTAAAACTTTTTCTTTTCCAAAAACTCCAATGAAAGCAACTGAGACTATTAAAAATGATTCTAATTAAATGATGAAATAAAAAACTACTCAATTCACTCAACAATCAACTAATTATCTTCTCTCGCAATTAACTAACTACTTGAAACTTTTTCTCTTCGCCATAATCTTAACCCATTCACTTGAGAGATATAATCTCGTCTTCAACAATCAATGTAACTCTAGTTTCTTTTCATGTTTTAATTGTTTTGATCTCAATTAACTAATGAACAAGGAAACTAATCTAATTGTAGTAAATATCTAAATACAATTAACGGAGAAAATAAAAGAAAGGAAAGAAAGAGAAAATCATAATTACGAAAACAAGTTATCTCTTTTTCTTGACATGCTCTTCATTTATTTCTTGTTTATTTTTGCTCAATTCTGATTCCATTTTCCTCCAAACAACAACTTCACTTTATTATTCAACTTATCAACTGACCATTTAAGAGGTAAACTGGGCAATCCGGTATTAACCACAGTAATCAGGAAGTGATTTCCAACTAAATTATCTTAATTGTAAACCATCACCATCATCATCAAGATCTAAACAACAACAACAAACACCAAACACCAAACAAAAGGTAAGATTTGATTTCTACGTGTTGATTGTTTATTTACGAGGCGATTTAAAGTTAATTTGGTTTGGTTTTTTGTTTCTTCTTCTTCTTGTCTTAATTGTTGTTAATTCCTATCAGTGTTTTTTAATCATCAACAACAACATTCGGTCAGTTTATCATGTCATTAACTGTAACTGCTCCTGGTAAAGTGATTCTATTTGGGGAACATGCAGTTTGCTTCGGAAAGGTTGGTCTTTATTTGGATTGTTTTTCTAATCTTAATTGTTTACCAATTAAGAAAATTTCTTCTAATTACAATGGTTTCATAATCTTCATTAATTAATCTGTTAATTTCCATTGGGATAATTATGTTAATCTAATTGCAATTCGTTAATTGATATCATTTGATTTCTCTCTTGTTCCGTTAACTATAGGAAGCGATTGCCACTGCTCTTGATAGGAAAACAACCGTTGAAATTGATTGTTCATCTCAATCTGATTATCTTTGTTTAAATTTGATTGATTTAATTTTTTTCGTGAAATGGCCATTGAGTCAATTGTCCAAAATTAAATTGGGTAAGTATTCATGTATAATAATTACAATTAGAATCTTTAATTACCAAGAAAAAAAGGTAAACATTACAAAGATTTTTGTTTCCTGTTTACTAATATGTTTGTTTGTTTGTTTCCTTTTTTTTAGAATTGGAAAGTTCAATTAAATGTGATGATGGTGATAATCAGGGAATTGCTGGTTACCATGATGATATTGGAAAGAAATTATATGAAATTGTGCTCACTGGAATTAATTGTTCCAATAATGGTGACATAAAGAACGACATTGCCTCCAAAAATGATGTTATTCTATCGGCAATTGAAAGCTCCAAATCATTTCTATTTCTTTACTTTTCAATGGCCTCAAGCTACTTGTGAGTAGTTAATTTACTCTAGTTAATTAGTTGATTATCTCAACAATAACAACTAGTAAAAGTTACGAACAACATTTTCTCAATAACGTTCTGCTTTACATTTAAATATCTTCTCTCTTTCAAAATGTTTCCATGTTACATTAATGGTTAATTTTGTTATTATTCCAAACATTAACTTAGAAAACAAGAGCAATTAATTCCTATGGAGGTTAAATTATCTTCCAATGTTCCAGTTGGTGCTGGTCTTGGGTCATCTTCCGCTTTCAGTGTTTCCCTTTCCGGTGCTTTATTGAAATGTTTCCTTGGCTTCCAACCGGATAATCAATTGATTAACAAATGGGCTTTCCAAAGTGAGAGATTATTTCATGGAAAACCTTCCGGAATCGATAATAATATCGCCGTTGCCGGGGGCACATTAATGTTCAAAGATGATTCTATTTATCCATCAACTAATATGAGATTAAAGGAAATTGTTCTCGTTGACACTCAAGTTAAGAGGAATACGAAAACTTTGGTCTCTTCGACAATTTCAAGAAGACAAATGGTTAATATCATTTTCCACTCTAGAGATTGGAAAAGAATTAGTTTTTTTCCTCCTCCATATACTTGAGAGAAGGATTAGTTTAATTTTAAATTGTTTTCTTTTTTTTCCAATTATTCCAAATTTAGTTTCCTGAAATCATTAATAATGTTATGGATGCAATCGGTGATATTTCAAGGAAATCATGGCAATATTTAAATGGAGATGATTCATATGATTTTAAAGTAAGAATCATTGGTTAATTAAGCGCAATTAAGCGTTTTAACGGTTAGATGTTTCCATTATTGGGAATTGATTTACAATTTAAATTGTGCACACATCATAGTGTGAGCGATGTAAAGTTGATTGTTGATTAATAGGCGAAATCTTTTCTTGCTGGTTAATTATGATTCCAATTTGATTAGTGTTTTTTGTTTTGTTTTCGTTGATTAACTGATATGATTATTTTATATTTTTCCCTTAAATTTTTTAGACTTTGGTTGAAATTAATCAATGTTTACTAAATTGTCTTGGTGCTGGTCACTCGGCAATTGATCAAGTTTTATCGATTGCCAAGAAATATGGTTTCCAGGGTAAATTAACTGGAGCTGGTGGTGGAGGATCAGTAATCATCTTTATTGAAGGTAATATTCCTCAGATTAATTGGGAATTTTGATTCGATTTAATTAGCTTGCGAGAAGTTTGGTTAATATTCCATTAATTGTTTTTATCCCTCTTTTTGTTGTTTGTTGATTTAATTGTTTAGATGTTCCAGGAGAATCAGTGGAGGATATGCTTTATCAGCTTAATTCTAATGGATTTAAAGCGCAAACGATTAAAATTAATTGTCCAGGGATTTCATTCCAATGAATCTTCACCCTCGGTTACTTCTTTCAATAGAAGAACATGCAATTGAGAATTGGCTGTTGATTTAATCAACTGATCAATTTCCCTAAAATGACCAGGATCAACATGAATAACCTAAATTGAGAAAATGTGACAAGGGAGAGAGAGGGAGAGAAAAAAAGCAAATAGAACTAAATTAGTTACTTAATTGTTGATTATTTTCCTACAAAAGTCTCTAGATGATGATTTATATAACTTTTGTTTACTTTTATCTGAAACAATTTAATCTCGTGTCAAAGAAAACACGTTTTAATAAGCTACAGTATTTTGCTGTATGACTAATCAAGCTTTCGATTAAATTGTAATATAAGATTTTAAATAATAATTATGATGGAAAAAAATGATATAATTACCATTTCTAATTGTCCATCTTGGTGAATGGTGTCAAGTTCAATGTCTTTGGACAAAGTTCGAAGGCGAGCTTGATGTTTCTTCGAGCACATTACTCGTAGTTTCATTTGAGCTCGTTCGATGGGTACAACTTTCTGTAATTCTTTCATCGCAACAAGAGCCTGTGATTTGTTACTCTTATTTGGCTTAACCGAGAAATGAATTTGCTTTAAACTTTTCTCAATCATGGTAACTGGATAAGGTCTCTTGGTTTCGGGATTGATACATTTATCGGCGATAATTGTGGCGATATCTTTGAATGCTGATTCCAATGAGGCTTGTCTTTCTTTCTCGCTAATCTGTAATTCACCTTTATCCAAGATCTAAAGGAAGAGATTAGGAAAACAACAAACAAACAAAATGAATTAATGATTTGGGTAAAAAATTTGAAGTGAATAATCAAGTTAATTAGTTGCTATTTGGTTATATCATAGGTTAGAATTAATTGTTCAAAAAAACAGGTAAATGATTAAGAAAATACTACTTTTTTTCAAGGTGAAAAATGAGTGATTATGTCAACTAATTATCATAGTTTCAATTTGCTAAATCATTGAGAAAATAATTTGATTACGCCTGATTGGTTTTGTTTTGATCTTTTTCAGTAAATGAACCAATTAAGAGTAAATATTGAAACTGACCAGCAATCAGTGGTAATTAAACTATTCTTTCAATGATGATGATATTCAAATGGAAACAATTTGATATGATAACAATTAAATCTCTTGAAGAGCTTTTTGTGATCATCATCATCACAAATCTAAGTAGATAAGTGAATTAATTATTAACTTTTGATAGTTTAAAATGTAACCTCATGGTTTGAATTATCAGTTAAAATTATCTCCATTCTTCAAACTAATTAGAGAGAAAGAGAAAAGAAAAAGATGTAAACAATTAAATACTTGAATCTAATTAGATTATCCTCTGATGATCTATAACGTATAATTCTCAAAGCAAAATGTCTCAAGATGAAGCAATAATAATAATAAGCTAATACCATCCAGATTGATTAAAATCCTAAAATGACACAAATTTTTAGTTAAAAAGATGATCAATTGTAACAAGAAAAAACTTGCAAATCCTTTGATACCTCAATTAGAATCCAAGATGAGCAACACCAAGAGAGAAAAATAATTGAACACAAAATCACAACCAAACAAATGACTTTTTCTTCCTGATTGCCAGTAATTCTCATCTCTCCAACCATTAAATTCCTTCAACAATTAACATCTATCAATGTACCTGTAAGCAAACTTTCTCGTGGTCATCGGTTGCAAATGCTTTGATGAGATCCTCTTTCTTGGCGACTTGACCCTTGGATACATTGGTGAAAACAGTGCGACTCTGAAGTACTTCATCCAAATCTTTCTCCCTGCAAGAGAAAATAACATAATTAGAGACAATAATTAAAAGAAAACCAAAACACAAAAAGAAAAGAAAAAGAAAAATTAACAACGTGGTTTTCTCCATGTTAATTATTCTATTCCATTAATCTACTTACACTTTACTTCTGTAAGAAACAACTTTATTCTTGTAACAAGCGATTTCAAATCGAATTCCACATTTTTTCATTCGAACAATGGCCACGTTGGTTAAGCGAATTTGATTTGTCGGAGTGAAAATATTAGACATGATTAAATTGCGTATTCGTTGAAACAATTAAACAACAATCGAAATTGAAAAGACAAAAATTCCAAAAATAGAAAAGTAAACAAACTTTTTCTTCCCTTCGACTTTTCCCCTTCCCTTTTTTTCTCTTTCTTTTTTCTCTTTCTTTCTTTTACCCGGTTAACATGATTTTCCAACAACAGGTTAAAGTTTAATTTCTTTCCTTTTTTAATTATTCTAATCAATTAATCTAATTCTTTCAAATTAATCAATTCTAATATTCTATTTTCAAACATCTTCTTCTTCTTCTCCTTGTATCTAAATTGTTTTGTTCAAGTGTAAGATTAAAATGTAAATAACTGTTAACCCAAAGGAGCGAACGGTCAATCATTTTGTTTTCAATTCTTTTCCATTGTTGATAATTAATGTTTGATTCTAATTTTTGTTGGATATTTGTTTTTCTAATTTTATCTTCTACTGGCTTCTTTTAATCATCTTCTTCTAATTATTGTGTTAATCTTTAATTGTTTTCTCTCTGGTGGGTTAATCACTTCTTCTCGGCGCCTCCAAGCTTCTCATCTTACTCCATGTTAATGCTAAGGCTTATTTCCTCTTCCTAATCTTTCATCATATCTTCAACTTGTCAATTTAATCTTACCTTACGTTTAATTACTCTATTAATCATCCATCCCTAATTGTCCATTATCTCACTTATTCTCACTAATTAACCGTCTCACTATCTCCCAGTTAATTGTTTCTCTCCTCCTCCCCCTTAACTGGTCAAGCTTTATATTGACCCAACAGTGAATATCCTAACTCATTTATCGTCAATCTTTTGTATTGTTAACTTCAATTTTTTTCCTTCTTCAAATTGGCTAATCACTTTTTACCAAATTATTGGTCCTTCTCATCATCACCTAGTTTATTTTTCTAATTTGTGACTCAACAATTTACGTTCATAATTCTCTCTAATTAATCTAGTGAGTAATTTACACCTATTGATATTTAGTTAATTTCGATAAGCTTTTCGATCAACTTTAATCTCTTGCTGATGTAATACTTTTTCTTTGTTTTCCTAATCATTGTTTTCTTTTCTTTTCTTTTTTGTTTTGTTTTGTTTTCTCTTTTTTTTGTTTATGTTTGGTTTGGCTATTAGACTCATCATGGATGTCGGTAGATCCCGTGGTCGAGCTCGAGGTAGACAAGGAGGTTCCGAAGATACCGAATCAACTGGCGGAGATGAGCCTACAACCAGCGGAGGCTCTGAAGGTGAACCAGCGACTCGAGGTAGAGGTGCTTTTCGACCTGCTGAAACCCTACGAACTATCCCACCAACAGTTACCAATACAACGGGTGATAATTTGGGTGGAATGAAAATCGTCACCAACTATTTCCGACTTCGAGTTCCAAATGATCAGGTTATATATTCTTATCGAGTTGATTTTAATCCAAATGTTGAATCTATTCGAGTTCGTAGAGGTTTGGTTTTCAGTCTTTCGTCCGTTTTCAACAAAGCTTATATTTTTGATGGTGGTAATGAGATTAAATCATTGCAAGAAATCACAACAACCACCACTACCGAGGCTACAACTCGAGAAGGTACAACAATTGCCATTCGTATTAAGCCAACATCGACCGTTGGTTGGGGTCACGCTGAGATGCTTCGTCTTTACAACACTCAAATGCGTCGGAATCTTGTCTCTCTTGGTTTCATTCAGGTTGGTCGTGACTATTATGACAAAGCTGCTCGAAAACGACTATCTGACCATGACATTGAAATTTGGCCTGGTATTTCAACTGCTATCAATGAGCACGACGGTGGTATTCTAATGTGCACTGACATGATCCATAAAGTTATTCGCCGAGAAAGTGCCTTAGACATGTTGCGACAGTACTTATCTCGAAACCGAGACAACTTCCGAGAGGTCGCTCGAAAAGATTTACCTGGAAAAATTGTAATGACCCGATATAACAACAAGACTTATCGAATTGATGATGTTCTTTTCGACAAAAATCCTGTCTCTTGTACCTTTGATCGACGAGGAACTACCATCACCCTGAAAGATTATTATCAGGAACAGTATCAACAAACCTGTGAGGACGAACGTCAACCTCTTCTCTTGGTACAACCAACAGAACGACAACAACGAGGTGGTGACAATAAAGAAATCCTATTGATTCCTGAGTTCTGTCTGATGACTGGAATCACTGAGTCAATGAAAACGATTTCAACTTTAAACGAGTTCTTGGTGATGTCACCCGAATGGATCCTAATGCTAAAACCAGTGCACTCATGGGATTCTTGAGAAAAATGAAAGAAAATGAAACTGTTCGAGCTGAAATGGGAACTTGGCGATTGGGATTCGATGATAAATTGGTTGACATTAATTCCCGACTTTTACCTGGTGAACGAATCCAAACTTTCGGTGATGATGGTGAACATTCTGGTGTTCCATATCCTCAACATACAGGTAACTTTGAAAGAGAAATTCGATCAAAGAAAATGAAAAATCCAGCAAAGATGGAAAATTGGTGCTTGATTGCTCTTCGAAAAGACAAAGCTCTTATTGATGATTTCTTCGCAAACATGCGACGTGTCTGTGTTCCTCTTGGCATTGAAATTGGTCCACCAAGAATGTACCCGATCGACAATGACAGAGTTCAATCTTATCTTGATGCTTGTCGATCAATTCCCGAAGCTGCAAAATTCTGCATCATTGTTGTTCCTAACAACAATTCTGACCGTTACAGTGCTGTCAAACGCCATTTCTGTTGTGAGACACCTGTTCCATCTCAGGTTATAACTACTCGAGTTTTAAGCAACAAGAAAAATCTAATGTCCGTTGCAACAAAATCCTCATTCAAATGTCGACCAAACTTGGAGCTGAACCATGGGGACTTCACATTCCGGTAAGAATTTTATTCATTTTGTTTCATTTCATCTTCTTTTTCATTTTGACTCTTCTTCATATTTACATTGTGTTTTTTTATTTTCATCCACAGCCAAAAAGTACCATGATAATCGGATATGATACTTACCATGACTCTGAGAAACGAGGCCAATCTGTTGGTGGATTTGTTTGTTCAACTAATTACTCTGCTACTACCTGGTTCTCTCGAACTACTTATCATCAAAATCGAGAGGAATTGTCAGCTAACTTTGCTAATAACTTCAGAGGTAAATTGGAAATTTAAATAAATTTCGATTTGTTTTTATATGAATATTTCATATTAGTTTTTTTATATTTCATCTTTAATATTTTCTAATTCATTTTCTTTTCTTTTTTTCGTCTCTTCTTAGCTGGATTGAAGAATTGGCATCAAAAGAACAATGAATGGCCAGCTCGTATCATCATCTATCGTGATGGAGTTTCAGAGGGTCAAATTCCCCACGTCTATCAGGTCGAATTGAAGGAAATGCAAAAAGTTCTAACAGAAAAGGAAGGATTAGCCAAAACTGCCTTCACCTTCATAATTGTCACTAAACGAGTTAATGCTCGATTCTTCTTGGCTGAAGGAAGAGAATTGAAAAATCCACCTCCAGGAACATTGATTGACTCAATCGTCACTCGAAAGGAGAGATATGATTTCTACTTAATCAGTCAATCCGTTCGTCAAGGTACCGTTAATCCAACGATGTACAACATTATTGCCGATAACACTGGATGGAAGCCAATTCATCATCAACAATTGGCTTATAAACTTTGCCATCTTTACTACAATTGGGCTGTAAGTACATAACCTTTAATGTAGATTTAGATTTTAAACTCCTCCTAAAACAATTAATTCTTATCTAATTGGTTCTTTTTTTCTTTTCCTCTCTCTTTCGCATCTTCTAGGGAACCATTACTGTCCCAGCTCCGTGTCAATATGCCCACAAATTGGCCCATCTTACAGGAACCGCTTTGCACAAAGAGCATCATCTCGCTCTATCACACACTCTCTTCTTCCTCTAAGTTTCTATCGATTTTGCTTCACGAATTTTATTTTATCTTTTCTTGATTTTCGAACAATTTAGTTTTCTTATATACGATTAGTTTTCTATTTCTTTTATCATTAGTTAATTAGTTAATTCATTCATTTATCATAACTCGTAGCTCTTAGTTAACACTTTGAATACACGTTTTTGTTTCTTTGTCAATTTTCAAGTATTTTTGAAACTTTTTTCTTTTTTTCTTTATGATTTATCACCTTTCAGCATCTATATCATTTATCTTTACTTTTATCATATCCAAATTATCCACATTATTCCAACACATCACCAATATAATCAACTAATTATCATTCCTGATCAACTATAACCACCTCATGAATATGATTCCTTGCCAAAGGAAATGAATACCCACCGACTTTCGATATGTTTTTTTTTCTTCCTTTATTTTGATTTACTAACATTTAATACCATTTAGACTAGAGAATTAACTCCATTAATTCATTACTTTAGAAATTAGATAATCAATATCTAATTAGTTTATTTTCTTCTTTCTATTTCATTTTTGTCTTCGTCCAATTTTGTGTTTTTTTTTGCTCTTTCATTATTTTCTTGTTTTTGTTTTTGTTTTTTGTTTTTTGTTCCCATTTTTTCATTCGTGAAGCAATTATTATCTAATTTTCTATTATAATTCATTATTTTGTGTGTTTTTTGATAATAAAATTTAATTAAATCCCAATTTTCATATTGTTTCCTTTTAATTTCAACTGATTACCAATTCAAAAGAGAAAATTTAAACTTCGCGCTCTTTCTGAGATTCGAATCCAGAAAAGATCATATTTGTATCGGGAAAACAATCATTGACTCCACATGTTTTGATTGAATTTTAAATTTTCAACTCAATTAATGTGAACAATTAATAGTAATTATATCATCTAATTTAATTGTTTCGAATGTAAATAGATAAATAGATTACTTGAAGATAACTCAAAAGTAAGTGTTCGATTTTCTTTCTCAACATTAATCTGTTTGATTCGATTTAATGTTGGCCTGTTGTTTTTTTCTTTTCATTTTCTCTTCTAAATTTCCAATGTGTTTGTTTCTTTGTGATTAATTTACATTTTAATTGATGAATTGGAATAATTTTAATCTTTTCATTTGTTTATCTTAATTTACTCCTTATTATATGACGTCATCTACTTTAGTGGACGAAAATGTTAAAGAAAAGCGTAAAATAAAGGCTGGTGCCTTTCAAAGTTTCTCATTCAGTCGACCTTTGCTAAATGCTATCATTCGTAAAGGATATAAAACACCAACACCGATTCAACGTAAAACAATACCACTCATATTAGATGGTAAAGATGTCATTGGTATGTCCAGAACTGGTAGTGGTAAAACATTGGCTTTTCTTGGACCCATGATTGAAAAGTTATCTCGTGACTCAGGTAAAATTGGTTTCATTGATTCACACGATTTAATTTATTCACTTTACTTGTTAAATGGTAAATTTTTTATTCTCTCATCTTTTTTTCTTCTTACAGGTAGAAGTTGTATTAAAGGTCTTATATTGTCTCCAACAAGAGAACTTGCAACTCAAACATATAAAGTTTTCAAAGATCTCAACAGAGGAACTGGATTAAAGGCTATTTGTATTCTTGGTGGTGATGCTTTGGAAAAACATTTTGCCTCCATGCACACAGTTCCAGATTTACTGATTGCTACACCAGGTCGTCTTCTTCACGTTCTAGTTGAAATGGACATGAAATTACCCGATATTACAACATTGGTCTTGGATGAATGTGATAGACTTTTCGAGATGGGTTTCAGTGAACAAATGACCGAGATCATTAGACGATTACCTGAACACCGACAAACTTTACTATTTTCAGCAACTTTACCTCATTCAGTAGTTGAATTTGTTAAAGTTGGTCTTCATGATCCAGTTCTTGTTAGGTTAGATGTTGAATCTAAATTATCAGAGAATTTAACTTCTTGCTTAATCTATTGCCGAGATTCTGAAAAGATCGCCTTATTAATGTATTTACTACGTTTTGTTATCAAACCAAATTCAATGACTGTTGTTTTCACTTCAACCCGTCACCATGTTGAATATCTTGCTGCAATTCTGGAAAAGGCTTCAATCCAGTGTACAACAGTTTATAATGCAATGGACCAAGAAGCTCGAAAAGGAAACACAGACCTATTTCGAAGTGGAAAAGTAAAAACAATGATTGTCACCGATCTTGCCGCTCGTGGTATTGATATACCCTTTCTAGACAATGTGATTAACTTTAATTTCCCAGGAAAACCTAAACTTTACGTTCACCGAGTAGGTAGAGTTGCTCGAGCTGGTCGTAGTGGTACAGCTTATTCACTGATTTCCACAGATGAATTACCTTATCTACAAGAGCTTTACTTTTTCTTGGGTCGATCGTTTAAAATTGCAACTAATCAGTCACAACTTGAAGATTCTCTTATTGGTAAAGCACCTCAATCAATTATTGATGAAGAATGTGACACTTTAACCAAATGGCATGATTCATTTATCGACCTACAAGGGATGAGGAAAGTTTGCGAGAATGCAACTCAACAGTACATTAAAACTCGAGCAGTTCCTATTGTCGAAGCTGTTAAAAAGGCTAAAGAATTATCTAAGGCTCAAATGTCCATTCATCCGATTTTCAAATTAAACTCAACGATACCTGAAGAGGAAGAAAAGAGAGACGATTTTCTATCATCATTGAAAAGTTTCAAACCAAAATCAACCATATTTGAAATTGGAACAAATAAGAAAGATTATGCTGATATAATGAATCGTAAAAGAGATAAACATGATAAAATAGTGGCCAAGGCTCGACGAGCTGCCGAAACTACCGAAGTTGAAGAAGAGAAAGATTATAAAGATGAAAGTTTCTTCCTTCCCTATCGATCCAATGACCATTATTCTGAAAAAGGACTCGGAATTGAGAATAGTTTTACTAAAGATTTGAATGATGCCGTTTTCGATATCGGAGGCGATGATCAAAAGACACTTAATAAGCCAAAATCAACCACTAAATGGTGAGTAAACAATTAAACTGATGAAGCTTTTCAACTCTTAACAGTCACTCATTAAATTTAGATTAGATTTTCAAGAGATTTTAAACTTTTGTTGCTTTTTCTTCACTTCATCATCGTTATTTTTTATCTCTTCTTTCAAGTTCTCAATTTAATCTAATTTTCTTTACTCTCATTAATTTTTTTCTCTCTCTCTCTCATCTTTAGGGATCGTAAAAAGAAAAAGTTTGTTGGTTCTGAGTCAAATGATCCTAAAAAGAAAAAGATTAAGACAGAATCTGGAGCTTGGATTTCGGCCTCATATAAATCTAATCTGTACAAGAAATGGCAAGAGAAAAGTAGAGCAGAACAACAAGAAGAAGATGCATATGATGGTCAAGAGGAAGGTGAAGGAGATGATGTCCAAGAAGCGATTCGTCAACGAGATCAAGATATCAATAAGAAAATGGGCGGAAGAAAAACACGTAAAGGATCGAGTAGAGGTCGTGGTGGTCAACGGGTTAAAAGTGAACTTAAAAGTAAAGCTGACCTTCTTAAAGAAAGACTGGCCATGGATAAGAAGAAAAAATTTATGCAATGGAGACGAAAAGAGAAGCTCAAAAAGAAAGGAAAATCAAAACAATAAACTGGTGCAATTTTGTAATATATTATATAAATTTGTACTTTTCGAAAAGGTAATTTAGTCGCTAATTGTCTTCGAACAAGCAAGAAACAATTATTTTTGCCAACATGAGATGAGATCGACTTTCCATTCGCACTCATAACATTTTGTCATGTACTTTTTTCTTGCAAAAATTCTGTATCACAATCAATTAATTTCTCTTTTCTCTCTCATTTTCCATTCTAACCTTTCCCTATACAATTTACCTAATTTACTCTTTACTTTGATATTTTTTTCCATGATGGTTACCATTACTTGACGAATACTGGTTTTATATGTGGTTTCGCCTCTTACCCTCTCACTTATTACTCTTTCTTTTTTTCATCATGTTCATCATCAACTCTGCAAATGTATTAATGAAAAAAAAAGAAAGATTCATCTATTCCAAAGGAGTTTCTCTCTTTATTTTTCTCACTCTCCCCTTTTTTTTATTCCAATCAAATTGAAAATTCCTCAAAGGGCAATGTCCACCCTATCGTGACTGAGCTTTTTTTCTTGTGCGTTGTAATATCTCATCAAATGATGATGATGATGATCATCATCATAAGGAGAGAAAATCTCTTTTCTCTTCTTCTTTTTTTGCTTCTCCATCTTCATCTTTTTACCTTAGCTTATTATTATTCTATGTCGATCAATATGTCATCTAATCTTAACTAAAAGTAATTTACTTTTTTTTCTTTTCCCTCATCATTTAAATTAATCTCGTTTTCCTCTCTGTCCAATATACTCACTTAAAATGTTTCTTTTTTTATCTTCAAGGTCACAATTACATGATTATGATGATTGGTTAAAACTAACGAACGAGAGTATCAATCAGTGAAGGACCGAATTTGTTTACAATCAGATTATCTAATTGCTCTCAGCTGACTTTGTGTACATTCACTGGAGGAATGACAAGTTACATCTTTGTCAATTTTTACCTGATCTTATATCGACTCTCATGACCATAAATACACATGATGATTACCTTGCTGATTGGACTGCAATTAAAAGATGAATATGATTGATTTTCAACAATCAATTTGTATTTCAATGGAATAAGAAGAGAAAGAAAAAAAAAGGATTGGAATTGGATGAGAAGGGTATGATCACGAAGAAAAATATCTTTTCTTCTGTTGATTTGATTAACTAATCAATGATTAGTTTATTGACCCTTTACTTTTTTCTCTCTCTCTCTCTTTTATTAATCAAATCAACTAATCAACCAGCAATCTTTTAAATACGATTCTTGTTACTTTTTCAATGGTTTTGCCATTTTACCTTTTCCGAAAAGCTATCATATTAATAATTAACCAATTCTGTTGCCTATCTAAATTTTCACTCAGAATGTTGGGTTAATTTTCTCATCCTTTGCAATTTTGTTCAACCACAAAATGATTAATTGTATAATTTAACATCTCTGATGAGAGTGAGAGAGAAAGTTAATTGTAGAAAGCAATGAAAACTTTTAAAATTAACATGAAGATGCAATTGAAACATCTTATCAAGTGGATTATATATTTTCTGCTTCATCTTGACTCTCACTTTTTTTTTGAGGCTCCAAGGGTTTCAGAGGGTAGTTTCATCTCACCATCTCCATCATGATGAAGATGGTGATGAACTATTTATGTGTATAATTCAACATGATGACGATGATGGGGTTGATAGAAAGAGTAACCGAATACAAAAAGTTGAGAAACACCGAAGAAAATTCTGAAAAATTGATGATAACCAGAAGATTGAAATTCTGATGATAATGATAAAGATGAATCCGTAATCAGTCAACGGGAAATTAAATGTCATGTAATAATTGTTATCCTGTTAATCTTGTTGATGATTCTCAATAATAATACCAGATGACCGGACATGATTTGCATCTAAAAAGTGAAACTAACGATGAAAAACTTTTCTTCTTCTTCTTCTATTATTAGTTACCCTTTTAACTGACCTTTTCATCGTGAATCTTGATTATCATCATGTTCAAGAAACTTTCCTTACATGATGAATTCATTATTCATCCTCAACCTGATCAGAAATGAAAAGTGAAAGTTGATGTTGAAGCAACAACAACAGTGACATGATCAACATCCCTTTTCTTAAAGTAAGTTCAATGTGCCATTTGAATTAGTTGATTAATCCAACTAATCCAACCAAGAGAGAGATAAACAAACTTTAAAGGTAAAAGAAACTGATGATGATTTAAACAGATGATAAACTCTGATCACCTGTTTAGGGTCAACAAGGGTACAAATGTTTACTTGTTACACCGGAATATTAATCTCTCTTTGAACGGTTTTTTCTTCATCATGATGATCTTAAAGATAAATAATAATCAGTTAATCTTATCAATTAATTCACTTTTTTTGTTGTTTATTATCTTCAATTGAGAATCCTAGGTCAGAATAACTCTCACTTGAATGATTGGGAATCACCTCATCATCTTAATTCAACTTGAAATACTTTAAATCGTTTTCATCTTGAACATTGAATTACAATCATGGGAAATTAACCTTATGTATATATTCAGATTAATCTGTAATAACATTAATCTCGATAAGAACGGAGATTAACCACTCAGAGAGTAAGTAACTGAGAGAGAGAGAGAGAGAGAGAGAGAGAGAGAGAGAGAGATAATTATATAACTTTGATGATGATCAAGGGATGATAATTGATAGTAAATCCCTGTTAACACTGTTATATAACATTATTTAAAGAGCCTCAAGTAAAATGGTTCCAATGGTTTACTATCCAAGTAACAGGTTCCTTTGTTAATCTAACCCCTGATACTTAATTAATTAATCCTGTCAGTTACCTTTTATTTATTTTGCTTTTATCTTCAGGTAAAAAAAAAACGAGTCATTTGTTACACAATAATGATTATGATTAAATCACTAATCGGTTTCATGATTCAGTTAATCATAACGTTATTGATGATTCACTTTTTGTAAATAATTTGTATTAGTTTAACTTGGAAACTGAATTTATTATCAATCGTAATCGTGATCGTTTCTTGTTTCAATGGTTATTAATTGTTCATCTTTCAGGTAAATTAACTGTTAACTGTTCATTCTGGTTCTCTGGTTCTCTTGATAATTAACGGATGACAACATGATAACTTTGATTCCAAGATTATCTAATCAATCAGCAATCTATCAATGAACTTAAATTGTGGTTTTTTTTTCATAATTTTTTTCTTCTTCTTCATCGCTTTTAATCAATCACAATTAACTGAGACCAGTTAATTAACAAATGGAAACAATTTAATGTCCTTTAAAGGTTGTTTGATTCTAATGAACTCTTTACCTTTTTTATTTATATATTTATCATCGTAATCAATCAGCTAATTAAAAATTAAAACTAATCAATGGAATCAAAAGTTAGGAAAAAGTTAAAAAAAAAAAAAGTTAATCATAATATATTGATTATCAGCTTTTCTGTTTAGCTTTAATTGTCATTATCATTTAATCATGAGAGATGTTTAATTAAAAACCGTTTTCTTTGAATGTAACTGTAATAGTGATAACAATTAATGATAACAATTAAGTAAACATTTTAAGCTTTGACAATTAACTTGAGCTCTTGTTAATTATATTGAGTAGATTTGTTTTTTTTAATATGTAATCATAATCTACTTGTTGTAATTGAAATTGATCAATTTGTTGACAAGTTTTCCAGTAAATTGTTTGATTAATTGATTTTGATTTAAACATGACTTTTGTAATTATAATTGTCACTTGATCGTTTCAATTATCACGACAATTAATCAATCAAAAATGAATTGCGATAAAAAAGGAGTCTCATATCGTAACAATTAGTAGCCTAGTTAACTAATGATTAACTAAATTTTCGTTATGGTTTTAAATTGTGGCAAAAAAATCACAATTTGTTTCATCAACTTGTCAGTGTAATTAATATTCAATTCAGTTTGCTTGAAAAAAACTGGTTAGATCAATGGAAATGATAATAAAACAAGGTAATAGTAAAATGCTCAAGACACACATACAACTACATGATAGTTAGACCAATTAACTAATTCAGTTGAGTAAATTAATTACAATTAACATGAAATTGATGCTCCTACTTTAATTTTACTCTTAAACTTGTAGCTGATCATCATAATCATAATCATCATCTTCGTCATCACTTGTTGAGGTAAAATTCTAGTTTTACTTTCTTACAAGTTCGTGGTAAAAGTGGCCTCACTTTCCGCCTTTTTTTCACCAAATATAAATAGAGCTAAAGCTTTGATTGTGACCTTGACAGTGAAAAGAGAAAAAGAAAGAGAATGATGAAAGAAGAAGATGAAGATGAAGATGGAGTAGAAGAAGAAGAAAAAAAAGTTGACTTACTTAACGTTTCACTCTGAAGCTCAGGTAACATACATAATCTTTTATATATATTACAAGGTAAAGAAGAAGCAGAATAATAATAATAATAATAATAATAATACTATTATATTGGTATAAGAGGTAAAGTGGGAGTGAAAATGAATCATGATGATGAACAAAGTTTTCTTTTAGTGAAAAAAAGCCTCTGTGGTTTCCATGATTATCATGAAGAAATGGTCATGTTGACCTTAATGTTTATAATACAAGCCTAGTTTTCTCCTAGTAAATTGTCTTGTATTTCAAATCAAATTAACGATTCGAGATTCGCCCTCAATTCTGCCCACTATCTTAAAGAGTACATGAGTAATGTCATCATTTGGAACTCATCTTTTTATATTCTGAATGCGAAACAAGAAAAAAAAAAGAAATCAAATAGATGATGAAGATGAACATTTACTTTTTCATCATCATCATCATGTGAGTTTATCTCTTTCTTTCTTTCTTTTTTTTCCATCTTCTCTTCATCTTCTCATGATTATCATGAGTAATTCATATATATATATATTTATATTTATATATATTAAGGATAATACGATGAAGAGGATGAAAAGTTTTTCCCATTAACAAGGTTCAGGTTCATGGTGAAAACCTGACACTGAATTTTCATCATGAACTTGTCTCTCCTTTTTTTTCATCATTATCTTCACCATCACCATCACCATCATCATCATTATTAAGTCATTTTATTGATGATTATCATCCATGGTGATCATCCATCTCTGATCATGGTTTTGTGATCATTTACTGGAGTGTGATTAGCGGAACCTGATATACAGGTATCCTTGTCTTCATCATCTTCATCATCTCCATTTTTTACCTTTCTTTTTATCTTCTTTTATCTTTTTCTTTTCCTTCCACTAACCATGTAGTTTAATCTTAAACAATCAATGTAATTAACAATTATCATCATCTTCTGTTAAAGCGTAATTAAACATTTTCTCTCTCTCTCTCTCAAAATCCATTGAGATTAATTGAATTTTTCCATTTTTCTTTTTATCGTTCAAATAACAGTAGTATCGTAATTATAATAGATATGAATGAGTAAGAACGTGTTAGTATTTTTCTAATTGTCATCATAACCAATCAACTTTATCATTTAGAGTAACAATTAACTTAATTGTCATGTATAATTATCCCTGTTTACCTTTACCCGATTCTCTTGTCTTAATAATTCATATTTTTCGGTAACATTGAGATGGTTCATTTTTGATTTGGGTGAAAGATTAAGAGTACAATTAGTTAATAGTGATCAGGGATTATTATTATTATTGGGCGATCATGATTATATATCAACCAGAACGTTACAATGAATCAATAATTTATCATCATCATCACCATCAAGTGTGTAAATGATTTAACAATGGGAAAATTAAGAGATGAAAATGAAAAGTAAATCCAATCAATTTATATTTGGATATTAATCTGATTGTTTTCTTGGCTTATCCTCGCATTGGATTAACGATTTTTAATCATTTGCTTGTGGTTCTTGTTTTTTCATTTTTTTCTTAAGACTTGTTTACAGATCTAGTTTTCTCAATGATTGACCATTGAGATGACCACTGATGAGTGAGAGAGAATTGGAAAGAGAGACTGGTCACCATCATTGGATATTCATCATTAAATATAAACCTGATTCCATCAATTCACTAATCATGGCAGTTAATCGGTATCAATCTAAACTCTACGGCTTTTGGCCTTTTCCCCTGCCCCTGAAAGTGCATCTTCTTATCTTCCGTAAGGATCTTCCAGGTTCCAAGAATAATGTTTTTGTATTTGGTCATTAATGTCCAGTTTGGGGATAAAGAGAGTGGACACTCATTATGTATATATAAATAAAGGAAAAAAAAAGTGAAAACAAATTATATATATTTACCCAACGATGGACCTTATAACTAATTGTTGACCATTAAATCATTTTCAATGATGTCTGTTGATTAACTGATTATAATCTCAGGTTAAACTAGTTGGTTGGCAATTTGATTGATCAGCATTTGTGGTCATCTCTTTGGGTCGTTAGATATCCGATTAGCTTTAATAAGAGAAAAAAAAATTATGAATAAGTAGAAATTATTAAATCATTTTGAGAGAGAATATGAACAAAAATTAAGAAGAAGATGCAGTTAATCCTTGTAATCAGCAAACTCGATAATTAATTTCCATCAATTAGTTTGTTAACTCGCTATTTAAAAACTGACGCTCTCTCTCTCATTCACTGTCGCTCTCTTCTTTCATTTCTCTTTCTTCACTCTTACCTGACGACTCTCTCTCTCCTCATCTTACTCACCTGAGGTTCTCTCTCATCATCATGGTCTCTCTCTCTCTCTCTCTCTCTCTCTCTCTCTCTCTCTCTCTCTCCTGTCTTTATTTCGTGAGTCTGTAAATAAACGTATATTAAATCGGTTGTCCAGCCGAATTGGTTAACTCATTTCTCTCATCATCTCCCTCATTTCTCTCTCACTCACTTTAAAAAGAAGAACAAAAAGTACAGTTTAGTTTAAGAATTTTACACTTAATCTTTTTGATTCCTAAACAGAATTATAAAAGAGAAAAAAAAGGAAACATAACAATTAAAACAAATTCTCAAGTTCTTCTCATTATTTCTCTGTTTCTTTTAATTGTCATTACTTTTACTCTTCACCTTGACCAATTGACCAACTACACGTCACACAGACATTTCATCTCCTTTGTTACCTTTCTCCTTTACTCTCTCCAGTGTTTATCTCTCTCTCCCTTTCCCTTTATTGGTGTGTAAATAATAAAGTAATTGGAGTAACATTCACACCGATTAAAAAAATAAACAAAGAGAACAAGAAGATTAATAGTAATTAGATTAATTGTTATACTTTTACCTTGATTGTTATTAACACAGAGAAGAGAATCTCCTTTTCTCTCTCTCTCTCTCAGTTTCTTTCTTTCTCTCTCTCTCTCTCTCCCGCTTTCTCTTTCTTCCTCTGTCTCTCTTTCTATCTTTTTGTGTGAGTGTCTTTAAGTCTTCAAGTTTTTTTTTCTTTTTCTCTTTTTTTCTTCTTTGTTGCTGTTGCTTTTTTATTCTCTTCCTTCAAGTTTCACCTTCTTCTCATTCATCTTTTTTTTTTGTTCGTTGTTACCTTTTCTCTTTATTGTTAATTGTTAAATCTTCTTCTTGTAGCTTAATTGTTGTCTTAATTATCCACAATTTCCACAACCTCTTTACTATGGCTCTAAAGGTGACCCAGGGCCTACTATCAACAAGTTATTATCCATCATCGTTACCACTTTTATCACCAACATTTCGCAAACAATTGACCCAATCTTGGAGTAAATTGGTTCGAGCTCATCGAATAAATAAATTCTGTGACCGTCCATTGACAATACGAAATAATAATATTTCCACTGTGACATCTACTCTTTTACTACCTTCTTCATCCTCAACATCTTCATCTTCATCATATTATTCAACACCGTTATCTACCAAATCAACCGCCGTTTCCACAAATTCATGTCCATTAGATCAACTTGATGATCAACAATTTAGATCGATGTTCGATACATGGGACACTCAAATCCCATCGAATGATAGTAATAATAATAATATCAATGAATCTTCAATGACTGGTCAATGTCCATTTTCTGGTTCCAAAGGATTCCAATCAATTAGATCCCATGAAAATATTAATATTAGTATAAATAGAGACAATTATTTAAATAAAAATAGTGATGATTCAATTAGTAAAAGTGTTAAATCATTCGATGAATTACCAACACCCAAAAGTTATCCAATTGTTGGTACAACATTGACCTTAATGGCCTTTGGTGGAGCAGCTCATCTACATGAATACTGTGATTCCCGACACAAGGAATTAGGTCCAATTTATCGTGAGAAATTAGGACCAACTGATTGCGTTTTTATCGCTGATTCTTCAATGGTTCAGAAAGTTTACTCCAATGAGGGTCGATTCCCTAATCATTTAGTACCCGAGGCTTGGACCATTTATAACGAGATGACCGGTATAAAGAGAGGCCTTTTTTTCATGTAAGTAAAACACTTTGATCGTCATTCTAATTACCTGATAATTTTGCTCTAATTTCAATTTTAAATCTAATCAATCACCGGTAAGAGAAGAAAATGAATGAGAGTCATTTAAATATTTTGCTTTTTCGCCATCAAAATGTCAATTTCTGTATATTCATGTAATAGAAATTCAATTTTATTGAGGTTGATTTTCATTAGAATTTCATTAAAACGATGAAACATTCGTTCTAACCTTTACATGTAACCAATATTTTCGCTCGATATTGACATGAGATCAGATTCATTGAAGTGATCTTTGAATTTCATCCAATTCCCGTTAATCTCATTTCAGTTTCATGAACGATGAATCTCCATGAAATTCAATTCCATATTGGAATTGACTCTTTACCGGTCAACTCCAATGTTCAGTCGCAAACTTTTCCCTCTCTCTCTCTCTCTCTCTCTTTTCTTACTTTTTGCTGTTCGACCCCGAAAACAAATTATTTAGATCATCATATTAATCGCCATCATCTTCATCACCATTAATTAGTTAATCAACAGGGTAACCATTCAGAATTTGTTTACGTTTTCTTATTCTTCAGGTATATAATTTCTTATTTTTTGTTTCTGCCTTAAAGCGGTTAACTTTTTTTACGGTTTCATTTTCTATTTTATTTGTTTTCTTTTTCATCTTCATCTTAATTCTTAATTGTAAACAAACAAATTAATTTTTTACCTGTTTAATTAACTAACTGTGCCTTACCGTTAGAGTTGCACTCATATTGAATATATTGCCAAGAGGTAACTTCCGTTGGAAAGGCCGACGAGTAAATCAAGTTAATCAAAGTTGATTAGTTTAAATTAAATTTAATTCTCAAATTTCTTCCTTTATTTTCATGATGGTTATTTATCATTTCCATCATCATCACCACCACAACCTCCCAACTCCCATAATCTTCTTCCTCTTAATTAACTTGATATTATTTCAACTGAGGCTCGAATCGAATTCATTTTGAATTTTCTTTTTTTCTTTTTACTTTCTATTTATCTTTTCAAATTCAATGATTAGATTCATATTCACTCATCAGGCTCTCACTCTCACTCTCACTCTCCCTCTCTCTCTCACTTTCTCTTCTCCTCTGTCAAATATTATATCTAGAAGATGAACAAGATGATTAACTTGTGGATAATGATTATCAGTGAAAGTTATCGTAACGACAAACTATGTTGCCCACCGTGGTTAACCTTGGGCTTGAGGAAGAAGAAGAAAAAGAAAGAGAGAAAGAAAGAGCTTTACCTTGTGCCTCAGTATTTTTCTTCTTTTTTCTTCTCTTCATCTTCATCTTCATCATCTTCTTCTCATCATCACCATTATCAGCATCTTCTCTTGGCTAAACTTAAGAGACAGTGGGCCAGTAGTTTAAAAGGAAATGATGATTACGATGAAAAGTTAACAGAGAGAGAGAGAGAGAGAGAGAGAGAGAGAGAGAGAGAGATTAGTTTCTATATCCGGAAATATCTTTGTAAGATACTCTGACCTTGATAATTAACTAATTATAATCGTTTATTAGAAAGAGAGACAAATTTTAATCTTAATCATTAGATATCATCGTTTATCCAATGATAAATATTGAAAATCACGGAAGAAGATAAATTAACACTTGGAACAAGATTATAGTGATTAACAACTTTCTTTTGATCTTAATTTGATTTCTATCTGATAATTAAATCACTCTCACTCACTTTCTCTATTTATAACAATTAACAATGATACATGTTAATCCAATTAAATCTAATGTTAGATTCAGTATATCATCACAATAATAATCAATATTTATTGATAATTGTTCAGGATCAGATGACTTATTTTAAGATTGACACCTGAAAATGCTTACATAATATTGAACAATTTATTAATTGTGATTAAATTAATTAGTAATCAACCTTGTAAACTACTATTTCTCAACAATTAATTACATTGTTAAACCTGAATTGAAAACAAATTTCTTATTATCAATGAAATTATATTAAATTTGTTAGAAAATTAATTAATTAAATTTCTTCTCTCTATTCAATTCAATAATAATTGTTTACAATACTACTTCACAATTAATAACAACAATTTACTAAATTGTAATCATTACCAACTTGATAACGATAAGGATTATTGATAGTTAAATGGTATTGATTTTACCGTTAATTGTTGATAAAATCAACATTGATTGTTACTCTAAATAGCAAATTGTATCTTCATCAGGTGATTAGTTAAACAATCAACAAAAATTAATTCAATCTCTTGAAAAGTAAATTGAAGTAAATTGAAGTTTTAATTTTTATCCATTGATTGATTGGGAGAAAAACAAAACTTTGTTTACAATTTAAATTGTTTGTATTATGAAACTTTATCCAAATCATAGTAGTAACAATCAGTTAATTACAATAAAAATGTCTAGACCAATCAAGGTCAAGAGCAAATTGTTTATTCACAACAATTTAAATTGTTATTGTATTTAAAAGACATTAAATTGATTGGGATTAGGGTTGTGAATGATTTAAAATGCTTCCAGTTAAATTTTATCCATTTGAATTGAATTGAATTGAAAAAAATTAAGACATGATGATGATCACAAGAGGGAGGAAGTTGATTTGATTGCGAAAACTTAAAAATAAATTGTTTGATTAACAATTAGTGAGAAAAATGTTAATGTTACAGAAAATGAGGTGAAATTTTTGTTTACCGTTAATTTGTATCATCGTCATGATCATCATGCTAATCGTTATTATCATCTTGAAATACGTGACGTTTGAACAGTTTGATATCGTAATCAGCTCGACCTAATATCGAAGTGACCATTACGTTGTTGTTGTTGTTGTTGTTTACATTAAATAAGGAAGACACTCTAATCTTTTTTTATCAGATTATCTTTCAAAATTTGTGACTTAATCTCAATATCAATTGAAATTTTCTAATCGTAATTCGTTTCAACGAAATTTTCTCGACCCTTCCTTACTTTTTCTTTTCTTTTCGAAACTTTTTCGCTTTTCCCAATTTAATCTTGCTAATGACGAACTTTTTTACTCTTCATCTTATCATTTTCTCCTCTCGCTGGCTTTACCCTCTTCTGTTGACGATAATTCGCCCTTAGGGATGGACCTGAATGGGAAAAGCGTAGAAAAGGATTGAATAAAATTTTCCTCTGTCAACCAGTAATCTCCGATTATGCCGAAGCATTTAATCAAGTTGTTACCGATGTGATAACCAAATGGAGTGATTTGGTCAATCAAAATGAACAAAATATCCAATCCAATCAACCTCGTTCAGGACTATTAACTCAACTCGAACAAGAACTTTATAACTGGTCAATTGAATGTAAGTCTACGATTTTGTTTCTAATTTTATATTCTCAACTTTTCTTTCAACTTGATGTTACTTTCAATATTCTATAGGAATATTGTTTTGATAATTTTCGATAGGTCGTCCTCTTTTTACCTTGAGTTAAAAGGCCAAATACTAGGGTCGATTTTGTTTGAACTTTAGGGTGTGTTCTTGAGTTGCCATTGGTCAGATTTTTCCTCTCTCGCCCTCTTGATTTCCTTGTAGTTTGACCGGTTTCACGAGTGGACTATGCTAGACTCTTGGAACTGGAGACTTTTGAATGGTGGTGGTTTCGATTAGGGTCAAGGGTTAAGGCCGAAGCTTATTAATATTTTCTCTTTTTCTCATCCTCATCCTCTCTCTCTCTCTCTCTCTCTCTCTCTCTCTCTAATTTGCAGAATCTCTCACAGAGATGAATTGAGGTGCATTAACGCATAACTTAATCTAGAGAAAACTAATTATCTGAAATAATATTTAACTTCTAATAATAATATTGATTATTTATATATTCAATATTATTCCCATTGATCCATATGAGAAGATGAGAAATGTGAAAAAGTAATGGAAAGTTGCCCTTAGGGCTTCAAGATAGAAGGTAAAAAAGGTAAACATGAAATATGTCATAACCTTGAATAAGAAGATGTCAAAGTTTAGGTTTGCGTAAGAAAAGGGGGACAATGTGTGACCTGGTTACTCTTGTTTTGCTTTTTGTCGGATAGAGATTAAGAAAAAAAAACCAACTGAGGATTAAAGCGTTTTAAGATTAACACGTTGAAACGAAATCACGAACTCGTTATATATAAATAATATTGAAAGAAAAGAAGAAGAAAATAAATAAATAAATAAAAAGAATTGAAACAATTCGAGAGGGACAAAGATCTCAATGAGGTTCAATTTTTGTTGAGTTTCTCTTTTAAATGTTAATAAAGATGATTAACTAATCAACATCAATTTGGATCATGATTAAATCCTAAAAGAAAAATTTATACGCAATCTAATGGTGTTAATTGTAGTTATCATTAATCATCAATGAGCAATTACTTTCATTTCAAATTCTGTTAATCGTTAACCTTTTACTCTCACTAAATTTTAATTGTTCAAAGAGAAGATGATGATTATCATCCATGGACATTCAGTGTATATAAGGTTGATTGATTTTCTATGTAATTTGTTAATAAAGTGCCTAGAAACAGTGATGAACCTTTTTCCTTTTACCAAGCAAAATTTCAGACAGGATATTACCTGAAACATGATGAAGATGATGATGATGATGATGATGATGAACAAGAAGATGAAGATGCAAGTAAACTCGTTGATTCTTTAAGAGTTAAATATGTATAGATATTAATATCATGATAATCTACCTGAAAGAAGATAAAGTGAGAGAGAGAGAGAGAGAGAGAGTGGGAGAAAATCTCTCACCTTATGTTAATTTTATCCAATTTCAAGGTCAATCTCTAGGATGTTGGATTTATATTCAACGATGCAGAAACTTTTCATCATCATCATCATCATAAATCTTAGTTGAATGATTTCCCAGAAGGAATTAGGCCAAAGTGCGCTGTTCCCCATCAATTTTTTTCTAACTTGTTCGCCATCTTCTTTGCCTAATTTTAGTCAGATCTTTGTCTACCTGTAATAATTGGAAAGGTAAGAGCAGAAATTACCTGTCATTAAGATTCCAAATTTTCTCCAACCAAACTTTAACCCACTGATAACTTACAACAAGAACCTAGATAATTATCTTAAATATTAATAATAAGTTAATACTTTTTTTTCTGGTTAATTTGTTATGTGTTTTAAACAACTAGGTGATTAGTTTTGACCTTTGCTGGTTTATTATCTTATTACTTTGGTATTATGATTTGTAATTAAAACAAAAGAACAAGATAATTAACCATTTCCACAATCGTAATTTCATCTAAGTAAATACACACTCGTTGAGGTTTTACCTTTTTCTTTTGCTCTTCTCTTGCTTTTTCTTGCTTACGGGTAAATAATACATAGGTGGAAATATGAATATGTAATATCTTGTACATGCACTTTGAGAGAGATTATGTTTTGCATAAAATGGACATTTACGATGAGATGATAATCTCTCTCTCTCTCTCTCTCTCTCTCTCTCTCTCTCTATGTATGTGTGTCTGTGTACAGTGAGTGTACTACAGTCTGATGGACATGATAACAAGAGGCTTATTATTTACATAAACACGAATTTGCTTTGTTAAGGTAACGTACAATGTGAGATTTGTGTATGTGTGTGTGTCACCTTGTCGTTAGCATACAGGAAATGTCTTCAAGTGCAAAAGTCCAAGGTGAAAGTAAAACAAGTTGAAGAAAAAAGCGAAATTGAAATTCACATGGTCAATTGTCAGCGGAAGTAACGTAATAATAATAAAGTCCTTTGGATGAGAGATTTTAAGAAAGAAAAAGAGAGAGAGAGAGAAAAATAGAGAGAGAAAATATTAAATGTCTAAAGAATTGATGAAATCGCATCATCGTAAATAATGAAACCGTAAACTTGACCTTGAAATCGATTACGACTTATTGTCCGTGTCGAAACTAAGTAACTTACAATATGCTCTTTTCCAATCTCTCCCATAGCTTTGAACTTTCACTTTCTCTTTTATCATCATCCGTTTTCCTTTTTCCTCTTCTTCTTCTTCTTCTTCTTCTTCTTCTTTATCATCATCTTCTTTCTCTACCTTTTGTGTATGAAAAAAATACCTTTTCTTTTTACTTTCTCAAGGCCAAAGAAACTGGGATCTTCTCATTTAGATAAAACCGTCTAGAGAAGAGGGAACCTATTTCTTCACCAGACTCTAGGTCATGGTCATGGTCATGGTCATAGTTACCTTGATTCCTCTTTTGCTCCTTTAACTATAATCATCCTCATCCTCATCCTCATCTTCATCTTCATCTTCATCTTGCCTCTTTCTCTCCTTTCTTTCACTCTTACTTATTCTTTAGAATTTTTTTCTGCTCAAATTCACTCCATAGATTTTCATTCTGCTTTCTTATTTCTAAATTTTTCCAATTTTGTAATAACCTTCAAAATTCAATCTATGATTAACTTTACTTAATTATCAACTTAACAATTTGCAAGCTTAAGCTTATTTACTTTTCTTAATCATGAACTTTATCATATTTTGAATTCTCTCTGTTTTCTTTTAGCATTAGGAACCATGATTTTCGGTCGTCGATTGGGCTGCGTTGAAACGTCAAGTGAATTAAAGTATAAAACTCATAAAATGGAAAATGTTCATCTATTTGTTCAATGTGTTCAGCAATTGTTTGTCGAATCTGCGAAAATGACACTTTTACCCGCACGATTAGCACAACGTTTTAACCTTCCCGTTTGGCAGCGGTTCATGGCAGCAGCAGGTCAAGCGCTAAACTTAGGTAGGTACAAAAATCGCGACGAATTTTTTTTCTGTCGATAAGATGTGATCCAAAGTAAATCAATAAATATCTAACTAAATACTCTAAAATTCTTATTATTAGCTCGAGCTTACGTTGCAGAAAACGTTGCAGCGACACGAGACAATCCTGAGAATGGATCTAGAGGAGTCTTGGAAATGCTTCTAGCTCAACCTCGAATAGATCAGGATGAACTGATCAGAATTATTATTGACCTATTCCTGGCTGCAGCCGATACGGTAAGCCAATCAATAGAAAACAAAAACCTTTGATAATTTCAACAATTAACGAGGACACTTTGATTTTCTCATCTCACCTTTAGACTTCACATGCAACCCAATGGGCACTTTATCTTTTATCAAAAAATCCAGAATATCAGCAGAAAATATTGGAACAGGTAGAATCGGTTGTCGGTAAAAATGGAACCGTTAAAACTGAACATCTTAAACATTTCACCTTAGTTAAAGGAGTAATCAAGGAAACACTCAGGTAATTTAATCAATTCTCTATCAAAACTGTGCAATAATCGTCAAATTCAATTCCAATCATCAGAATAATCTGAATGATGAATCGCAAAAGTTTCTCTCATTCATGATTATCACTAATCTCATTGGGAATAGTTTGACTGTTGAAAGATAATTTGTATCTCAATGGTGTAGTTAAAGTTAATTGTGATTTAATCTTGTTAATTTGTAACAAGGAAAAAAAAAGAAAAAAATTATTTATTGATTGATCAGTTATAATAATAATCCATCAAATATTGTTGACAACCAACTGATTAAAGAGTAGCAATTATTGAATGGAGATTCATTCTTAATGATGATAATAATTGTGACATTAAATGTTAATTTGAGACAAACTTGGTGATTAAATTGTTATTAATTAGATTTTCATAAGAATAGATTGTTAATAAGAGATGATTTGATTTAAATACCTTTTGCAATTACGTCAACGACAAGGATTAACCACCAACGTCGTCATTGACGTTGCAACGATATTAATCAAATTTTGATCAAACAATTAATCCTTTTCAATTTTTAATGGTTAATTAATTTTGATATGTTGAAAAGATTAATTGTTAATTTAGTTGTAGAGGGGAAAAATGGTTCAAGGGGATTGTCCCTTTTACATTTAAATTTCACATTGATTTGGAAATTAGTTTATTAGTTATGACAATATTTTGATTGACGAAAATTAAAATCATTTGTAATTATTGAGATTTAATTGTTACCATCTTATTGGTAATGTTAATTTTTACTTCATTTGGATGCAAATATTATTTGAAAATGTTTTCCATTCATAAGAATGATAATAATTTTCACCATAGACATGATAGAATGAATTTGAATGAATCAACTTTGATTGCAAAATCATTTGATGATTTACAAGGTAACAATATCTTGATTGTCTTATGATGAAACTAATGATTGATTAATCACTTAAGGGGAGGATAAGATCATGATGATAGTCAGAGTGATGAAAGAGAAATCATTTCGCTCTTCTCTCTGTGAATAATTGAATGTAAGAAATTAATTAAAAATCAAAACTAATCCCTGGAAATGTGGGTCAAAAGGTTACTATCAACACGTATTCAAATGTATTGGAAATATTATCATGATCAATTTGATATTACTCTCACAACTTTGGAGTTAACATTTTTTCCTGGGAGGGAATTCCTAATAAAAAGAGATCTTTGAGTTGATAATTCATTGATTAAAGATAATCTTTTAAGCCTTCTTATTAGAAACTATATCTATGGATAACTGAGTGAGAGAGAGAGAGAAAGAGAAATTAATTATTATCATATTGCGTAAGAAATTGGTGGATAAATGATGGGATATCCATCAGTTAAGAAGAGGGTGGGGTCATGGAAGATGATGGAAAAGCCTAGAAAGCAGATGATTTATTCGGTGAGAGAGATAAAAAATTCTGAAGAAAAAAACTCAAGTACCATGAACTTTTCAATATCAAGCACGCAGACAGTAAATGCTTCTAATCATTACCCTGTTAAATTGAAGCTTCTGGCAAGATTTCATGTAATGTATATGATTTTTTTTTCTCAACCAATTCTCTTAATCTTTTTCATGGCTTCATAAGTTTTTGAATAACTCATCTTCTTCATGAGATTAACTGAAATGTAAATCAGATACATTCTCAGGTAACATGATGTATGTTAAAGTGAGAGTGAGAAAAAGGATTTTACTCAAAAGGTTTCGAAATAGTTTTATTCTTAGACCCCTTGGAAACAGCATCTACCTTTTTAATGAACTTCATGGTCAATATATTAATTGAACTGTATCCGTGTCCGGTTTTTATCATTTCTTAATTCTGGTTCTGATAAATGAGAGAAGAAGAAAAAAAAAGTTCTGTTGAAAAGTTTGCTTATCCCCCTTAGCAGCCAATATCTTTTTAATTAATCTCATCATTTCGGAATCATCCTAATCATGATGATCATCAATTTAACATCATCATCATCATGGGCGTGAATTTAATCATATGGTAGACTTGGTGTGCTCTTTAACAGGGTGAAAGAGAGAGAGAGAAAGGAAATTCAGAAGCCGCCGGAGGCTCATCATGGCCGATTAATGAAGCGATTTACGGATTTTCTAGACAGAAAGTCTGGCAAATCTTGTTAATAATCATCTCCAAGGTTTCCTTTTCCATCATGTATCATGTAACCATGGAAAGATCTGATGATGATTATGGAAGCTAAGGAGAGAGAATGAGAAACTCAGATTACGTCACGTGAATCATGGAGTATATTGAGATAACCTTTTTCTTTCTTATTGAATATGATTAAACTTTTACCCAATCGAATGGCAGAATTTTCTTTAACAATCATGAAACTTTAATCCTTCGATGAAAATTCAGATTAATCTAAGATTTATTCTCTTCTTTGGTGATTAACATTTACTATCTGGTTTGATCAACTGTCAATCATTGGATTACAAATTCACTCTTTCATCTGATCCATCGTTCATTTTATTGAATATTTGATTGAGTTATCGATCAGCAAGAACTTTTGATGAGCCAAACCTCGGGTTTCGTGTTAAACTTAACACGGAAAACCAACCCCTCGGTGGTTGATGATCATTCAGTATGTCAACAAGAACTTTTTTCTTCTTGTTGATTTTTCATTTTTCATTCATTTCATTTACGGTTCCGTTTCAAGGTTCTTGAGTTTTCTTCTTCTTTTTTTCCATGATTCTAATCATAGCTTTGATTTTATCTTCTTCTTTACCTTTGGGTTTCTTTTACTCTGATTCCGTGGAGTAAATTTATCTCTGATCAATCACTAGAACTTTTTTTCAGCTAATTTAAGAATTTTTGATTTCTTAATTCATATTTTTCTGTTGAGTTGATTATTTCATTTTATGTCTGAACTTTTACTCTCCTTCTTTTGCTGATAAACCCTTTGATTCCCCTGAAGAAAAAGAGTCTTATATGAATAATATAACTTGGACAATGAATTTCTGATGATTTTTTTTCTTCTTGTTTCAGACTTTACCCTGTTGCTCCATTTATTAGTCGTAAACTTGATCGTGATATCGAATTAGGAGGATATAATATTCCAGCCAATGTAAGAAATTATTTCTTTTTTGATTGATTCGAAATTTCGATCAAATAATTGAACCCAATTAACTAATCTTATTGTTTTCTCTATTAGTCTTTAATCGGCATCTCATTGTATACAACGGGTCGAGATGAAAAGTATTGGCCTGACGCTAAATCCTTTAAGCCTGAACGATGGGTTAGAGATGAATCGAATAGGAAAATAATAAATTCTCATGCAAGTTTACCTTTCGGATTCGGAATAAGATCTTGTGTTGGTCGACGAGTTGCCGAAATTCAAATGCAATTCTTACTATCAAGGGTAAGTGAATAAAGAACTTAATTAAATTATAAGCAATTCGAATGAAGAAAACAAAGAAATAAACAGAAAATCAACTAACACAATTATTATTATTGTTTCTATTTGACAGATTATTCAAAAATTTTACCTCGAACCAGGAAATGCTGATGACATTGGAATTAAACTTCGTATGATAACAACTCCAGAATCACCGATTCACTTACGATTAATTGATCGATCAACAGTTTGACCATAATGATTTTATAATAACTGAATTCCCACCCAATTGATTTTTCATATACTATTAATAATATTCATCGAAAGAAAAAAAAAGAAAACTTAATCATCTTCATCTTCAACCAACAAATCAAACATTTAGATCATGACTTTTAATCTTAACTGTAAATCGTCTCGAAGTGTCTCTGGAAACGGAAACTTTAATATCGCAGTTTGTGATTCACTGGATTTCACCATTAACCCACCGTTTTGTGATCTTAAATTCAAATCAATTCAAAGTCATCGATAAACTAATTATTATAATAATAACTTTTTGTTAGATGGAAATAAAAATACTGACAACAATCAACACAAACTCTCAAGAATCTCATCTCACCAGAACTTTTTAATCTTTTTCTATATCAATTTCTTAATATTCATCAAAATGTATTCTCGATTTTATCTTCATCATCCATCATCCATCATTAATTATTACATGAAGAAAAAAAACTTTGACGCAACAATTAAAATTATCCCTCCAATGGACATCGATTAAGAGACAAAGTGATAAACAAGATAAATCGTAATCTATTTACAAATGGAATTGATTGAGAAAATTTCTATTGTATCATTAACAATACAAATTATTTTTACATCGAAATCAAAAATGACTCATCTAATTAAATGGAATCACAATTTAACTAATCAATTGGGATCACAAACAAACAATTCTTACCTTTCCAGCTAATGTTCATCATCCAAGACAATTACGATTATCATGTATTAATATTAATAGTTAATCAAACTTAATCCTTTCCATTTCTCATTCTAATCCATTCCTTTTTCTTATTATTATGTGTACTTGATGAAAGATTATCCATTTCTATGATGATTATAATAAGAGATATGCTTAATTGTGATAAACTTTGTCAGTTAATTGTTTTACCTTTTATTTGTATTCTAAAATCCAATTGAATGTTTATCAAACTCTTAAATGGACAAAGTAAAGAGACAAAGACGAAAAATAGAAAACAAAAAAGTAACAATTTGATAATCAATCAAATCCATGATAAAATCTAATCAATTGTAATCTGATCAACTGTAGTTAATTGTAAACAACAAATATTTACATTAAATGAAAAAATTATAAATATACAAGGTAATAAATTAATTCTCGAACTCCAATTATAATCAATATATTGTTGGTTTTAATGTCAAACGTGAATGAGATGAGGAAGCTCATTTATCCAATTGTTTTGATCATCGTGATGGTCATTTGTTAATTGTGATCAATTTCGGTTTCAATTAAAGTTTTCCCAAGTATTTGGACTATTAGAATTAACTAAAACTATTGAAGTTTTTTTGGAAAAGTTTTTTCAGTTTTTATTTGCGACGAAAAAAAAAAATAATAATAATATGATCAATTTGATTCGCTTCGGTTTTGTACTATTCGTTTTGATCTGTAACTTTTTCCCGTCCGTTTTGACCGCTTATAGGGGACGATTAACGCGAGGAGAAGGTCAACCTTCCAGTGGTGGTGTAGTTCCTGTTTATTATCCACCTTATAATCCAATTGATATGGAACAATTTAGATCAATGAAGGTTCTAAGTGAAATTGAACGTCGAATCCCGATGACATTACAAGAAGCTTTGAAAATGGTTCGAAGGCAAAAGATGCAAAGTTGTGTTGCTCTCATCATTTGTACTTTGGCCTGTGATCCCAAATCTCAAGGAGCCGCTGGTGATGAAGCTTATAAACAGTTAATTCACTTTAGCCATGTAACAAATAATTCAACAGTCAAATTACCCGATCATCAATTGAAGGATATCGCTTTGTTCAGAGATGCCGAAGCCAAGGGAACGTCACATCGAAATAATTGTGACCTTTGTACAAAGGACTATCCTCGATGTCGAAAGCAGATCACCGATTTACTCAAGATGTTCCTTAATTTCGATATTTCTGATTGAGTTTTTTATTCTCTCCAGCGAGATTAATAGTGTTACGATATATCGAGCGTCATCTTTGTAACTTTAACTGTTTGCAAATGATTAAAATGTTTAATTGAATGATGGAAAAAGTTGATTTGGTTCAATCCAACAACTAATTTAATCTGATTATCACCATGTATTTGAACTGTATAATTTTGATCACAAATCTATGATTATATTATATATACCTAATTAATATATGTATTATTTATATGAATGTATTATTAGTACAACTTCAATTGAATTGTCAAAATGATTAGAGGAATCGTGATAGTTATAGAATTAATTTTCTCAGAAGCTTTTGAAATCTGATTATTTCAAGTTCTATTGATAGGAAGTGAAACTGGACTTAGATGACCACAGTTTAGTTGACAATTGTTTAGATAAGTACCGATACCATCACGTAATTCAATTCTGTTCAAATTTTTAACTTCAAGTCTCATTTGGTCCAATGTTTGATTAGAATCAGCAATTGGATTATCACCGATTAAATCGGGTTCAGAGGGAAATGCATCGTCCCCTGGAAGAAGTGAAATCGCACCATCAGAATATTTTGATATAATAGGTAGCCATCTTTCCACGCCAAATTTTTCTCTCTCACGAGAAAATTTTTCGACTTGATCGAATTTCGTCAAATTGTTCAAACGGCCTAATTCATACACCTGAGGTGGAGCCAAATATACTTTTTTATTGGTGTGTTCGTCGATTAATTCAGACGGTGTACCCCACTAAAAGAAAGAAAAAAGAAAAGAAAACTCAGAAAATTGTGAAAAAAAGTAACGAATTGCAGAAAGTGGACTATTCACCATTAGTTTGGTGACTTCGGTATTATCGAGAACGACTTTCGGTTGTTTATTTAGGCAGCAAATATAGAACATTGTATCAAATCTTTTGCGACCATAACTAGTAGGAGTTAACCAGTCTGACCATTCGTAAAGTGACCAAATATTGGGAACTTGATTGGTCTGATCACATAGATTAATGAAATTTGATCCACTTTCCCGAACCTTTTCATACCACTTGCTTAAATCGCCATTTTCATAGGCCTCAACTACACGAGCCTCTGAAGGAGATGAGGTTAATAAAGCGACACCTGAAATAATCAATAAGAAAAATATTAGTCTAATTAAATCCGATTGTCCATTTTTAATAGTTGAAGTTAATTGATTACCTGTTTCTTCAAAAGTTTCTCGAATTGCTGCTATTCTTAAGGCGATCTCTGGGATTAAAAGATTATCAAATTCATTTGCATGAGTATCAATTTCTTGTAAAATTGTTGGATTTTGAATCATCGGTGGACGAGGTCCAGTTACACGGGATCTAATGTCTTTTATCAATGTTTCTTTGTTGATACCAAGTCTTTGGAAAAGATTCCACCATTTAGATGAATAATCGGAAATTTCAACATGTCCACCGGGGAAAACATAAGCTGAGGCCATGAAAGATGAAAGGTTACTTCGTTTAACCATTAGAACACGATAATCGGTTGATGTTAATTGTTTCGTTTTTGATTCCAAACTTTCACCTGATTTATTGGTGAATGAAGATCGAGCAATAGAAATAAGAGTCGAAGCCTCTTTCCATGGAGCTCTGGACATCGCAATAATATCTAGTTTCAGTTCCCGATGAGCCACGAAAAACTTAAGCCAAAGTACAATCAGACTCTGAAATCAACGCATCAAAATCAAAACAACATGAGAAAATATAATAATTATAATAACAACAACAAACGAAACTTGAATTTGATCAAATTAGGAAACAATCATGCTGTTGATTAATGGAAAATTAGAAAGACATTACTTACCTATTAAAGAATCAACTAACACCAGCAACTAATGTGAAGATAAATATAGATTATAATTATCCGAAAGTTAGATCATCATGACAAAAACACTTGCAATTAACGTTAAAAAAAACAATAACAATTCAATTAAGGTTGTAAATGGAAACCTAGAAACAGGTCCAATTATAATACAACTTAAGGCAAAACGAGATCCACACAATTAAATAGCAACTTGACAAGATTCACTGGGTTATTGTACCATGAATCTAAATCAATTTAATCAACAATTGGATTAATTTTATCATAGCAACAGTTGATTGTTGTTAAATTGAAGACGATCAAACAATCAGATGTAAACACTTATCTGAAAGGTATAAACATTTAAGGATGTACATTAGATAAAATCACCACTAATCATGAGAATAATGGATACACTCAGAATTTGACTTATTCTTGATTAAAGCAATTGAAAATATCAATAGTTAATTAGTCAAATGATTAAATTAAAACTGTTATTTTCTCAATTTGATTGAATCTTTAATTAGCTCATACTTTTGAAATTCGCGCTTTACTTAACAGGTGGAGAATCGATTTTCAGTGCCATCTTGTGGTCTTCAAAATAAACAAAAAAAAACTTTTCTTAATCCAGTTAATCTTACAATTAGACTTATAATTTTACCAATTAAATTAGACCTGTTCTCCAATTTTATTTAGAAATTTTCCATTGGTCTTTAATCCAAGGGATCCATGTAATTCAATATATAATATTATGTTGTAACAAAAAGTAAGCATTTCAAATTGTAACTTTTAAAAAAATATCAGATTATAATTAAGTATAAAAATTGATTAAAACAAATAATTGGAATCACTTATCAATCAGAATTGATTATCATCACTGGAATTGTATGGAGTTAAGAGCGTTTGTATGAATCTTTGTTATTATCAAATTCTATCTAATCCAATTTGCTATCACAGTCCAAGAATATTGATTGTTTTAACTGTTAATTATTGATTATTTATCTCGTTGATTTATTTATGCCAATTGATTTGTATTAATTGATTGTCCGTTTTGATGTGGTGAAATTGGTAAGAGCCAAAATGTAATGGAAACTTGTTCAAAATGAAAATAGTTGGTTTTCAGGTTAAATTGTCTGACAATGATAATGATTGATTAGGTTTAAAGTTTAGATTTAACTGAAGATGAAGGAGCTGGAACTGGACTAAGATGACCACAAGTAAGTCGACAATTATTTAAACAGGTACAAACAGGACCTCTCAATTCAATCCTGTTTATATTAGTAACTTGAGATTTCATTTGAGCCAAAGTTTCGGGAAAATCGGGAACAGGTTTAAGGCCAATTATATCGGGCTCAGAGGGAAACGCATCATCCCCTGGAAGAAGTGAGATCGCACCATCAGAATAAGTAGCAATTACTGGCATCCATCTTTGGACGCCAAATTTTTCTCTTTCACGAGAAAATCGCTCAATCTCATCGAAACTCGCCAAATTATCCAAACGAGCTAATTCGTACACTTGAGGTGGAGCCAGAAAAACACCTTCATTAGTATGTTCATTAATTATCTCAGAAGGTGTACACCACTAAATTAACAGAGAGAGAGAGAGAGAGAACAAAAAGAACAATTAACAATTAAAAATCTATTTGTAAAACAAAACACCAACAAAGAAAAGTTTACCTTCAACTTGGTAACTTCGGTATTATCGAGAACGACTTTCGGTTGTTTATTTAGACAGCAAATATAAAACATTGTATCAAATCGCTTATGACCAACGGAGATCGGAGTTAACCAGTCCCACCATTCGTAAAGTGACCATATATTGGGAACTTGATTAAGTTGCTCACATAGATTGATGAAATTTGATCCATTTTCTCTAACCTTTTGCCGCCATGAAACTAAATCAACATTTCCAATATTAACATCATCAGTTGATTGATTTCCATAAGGTACTGAAGTTAATAGAGCCACACCTAAGATTAGAGGAAGAAGAAAAAGTGAACACGAAAATTAGTTGGAGTAATTAAATTGAATAACACTAAATGGTAACAATTAAGTTGCAGTAGTGGTAATACTTTGAGAGTTAATTGATTTTGATGGTTTTTCTTTTCGTTCCGTTTTTATGATTAAATTATAATGACAAATGAATTGAATGTAAAACATTTCGAAACGGGGATTAACTATTAACTTCTATTTTGAGATGATAATGAAGGAAGAGAAAAAGATGAAGAGGGAAGAGTAGGGAGAGAGAGAGAGGAAGATAATTTGAACGTGTTATTGTTATTAAAAAGAAAAGAAGAAGAAAAATAATAGAAGATGTTGATTGCGACGAAATTTTTAGCAAGGACGATTGAGCAAAAAGCTTCTCAATTAAAGTGATTGGCGTTTGGTAGTTAATGGTAGTGGAAGGTTGATTGACTAACGAACAATCGAGTTAATATTGGTTTTTTTCCTTGATTGTTACCCGAAAATTTGGTTAATTCATTGGGGTTTATTCATCGACAGACTGATTAATGATAAAATGGCGAATTGTTAATGATTGATTACCTGTTTCTTCAAAAGTTTCTCGAATTGCTGCTATTCTTAAGGCGATCTCTGGGATTAAAAGATTATCAAATTCATTTGCATGAGTATCAATTTCTTGTAAAATTGTTGGATTTTGAATCATCGGTGGACGAGGTCCAGTTACACGGGATCTAATGTCTTTTATCAATGTTTCTTTGTTGATACCAAGTCTTTGGAAAAGATTCCACCATTTAGATGAATAATCGGAAATTTCAACATGTCCACCGGGGAAAACATAAGCTGAGGCCATGAAAGATGAAAGGTTACTTCGTTTAACCATTAGAACACGATAATCGGTTGATGTTAATTGTTTTGATGAACGAATTGTGGCCTTTTCTTCATTTGGTAAAACGCGACTTGAGACAATTAAATTGTGACCCAAATCAACTCCAATCTTTTGGGTAACTGAAGCTCGGGCAACAATTATAAGAGTTGCTGCTTCTTTCCATGGAGTTGATGACATTTCCTTGATTATTATTATGGGTTTTTCTTTGGATTAACTTTGTTTTTGTTCACAGGGAAAAAAACTGGTCAACAGTAAATCTGATCAAAGATTAGATTGGAATCACAACGCACAGTAAATTAATCCAATGTAGAAAATGGTTTCAGGTAATACAAATGAAGAAGAAGAAGAAGAAGATGATGATGATGATGATGTAAACTGAGGAGGAAAAATAAGGTTGTTAGATTAGTTATTAGAATTTAGAAAAAGATGAATCATTTAGCAATAAAATCTATTTTTTGCTGGACACATACAAAGAGGGAGAGAAAGAGAAAGATGGAGATAAAGCAAAGTTCAGGTAATAGAATCATGAAAATGAACGTTAGCTTAAATTAACAACAATAAACATATTTGATTGTCTGCAATCAACAACTGAACACCAAGTTAACCAGAATGAGAGTTGAAAGATTGTGAAAGCAAATGAGAGAGTAGGTCAACCAAATAGAATGAGAAACTCACCTGAAGACAATCAGCTAACAAGAGAGAGAGAAAGAGAAAGATGGAGATAAAGCAAAGTTCAGGTAATAGAATCATGAAAATGAACGTTAGCTTAAATTAACAACAATAAACATATTTGATTGTCTGCAATCAACAACTGAACACCAAGTTAACCAGAATGAGAGTTGAAAGATTGTGAAAGCAAATGAGAGAGTAGGTCAACCAAATAGAATGAGAAACTCACCTGAAGACAATCAGCTAACAAGAGAGAGAGAAAGAGAGAGAGAGAGAGAACCAACTTGACGAAGATTCTATTTGGTGATGTATTTAACTGAGATGAAGATAATCCAGATCAATTAGCACCACAGGAAACAATTTAGATGAACCAATAAAATTAAAAACAGTTGAATAAAAGACAATTGAAAAATTCAATATTTACTCAATCTAATCATTCACTTTGATTGTATTGACAATCAAATAGAATCTTTATATCTCAATTAAGATGTTGAGTTGAACTTGTGGTAATGATTGTTCCTTAATTGTAAACAGTTAGTTTACTGAAAATTAATTGCTACTCAAGAGACAATCTATTAGTTGATTGTCTGACGATCTAATTGTCAACGAATTTGAAATCTGCGCTTTCACGGAGAACGATTTTCAGCGCCATCTTGTGTTTTCTCTTGGAAATAAATAGAAACACGAACTCACATGTTAACATGTGAGAGGAATTTGGTTTGATTTAATTTTTAAAAGTCTCTCTTTGTTTTCTAAATTTAATTAACTTGTTAATTTATTAATTATTGTGTCTAATTGTTTATTCAAAATGGGTAAACGTACTAATAACAATCAATTACCGAGTAATTTACCTCAACTTCAGAATTTGATTAAAAGAGATGCGGCTTCTTATAAAGAAGAGGTTTGTTTTATTCTCATTGGATTTATTTTTTTTTCTTTCTAAACATTGATTAATTTCATTTCAATTTAATTAATTGTTATTTGTTTTCTTTCTAGTTCTTCCTACAATTTAATCATTTCAAGGCTCTTCTTCAAGTTTTCCAGTTTAATCCATCTCTTTTTGAGAAAAATTTCATTGATCTTGTTATGTTCATAGCTCAAGTTGCCCATTGTTATTTACAAGAACTTAAAGATTTTCCTAATGATTTAATCAATATTCTTAAAAATTATGGTGGATTATTGCACCCTGAAGTTAGAGTGGTAAGTTACTGAACGAAAAAAACAATAATAATTTAAGAAAATAACTCTAATAATCAAATTAATGTTATCCTAGGTTATCTGTAAAGCTTTGATTCTGTTGAGAAACAAATCTTTACTTTCTCCAGCTGATCTGATGCCTCATTTTATTGATTTATTCCGACATCAAAATAAGTACCTTAGAGATTTTATCAAAACTTATATCGTTACTGATATTAAAAATCTAAATGCTAAACATAATGATATGAAACAAAACTCGGTAAGTTAATTTTAGATATTTCTTGTTTCAATCTTAATCATTAGACTACAATTACGATTTGTTTTCTATCATCATAGGCCTTGCAAAATATATTATTCACTGCAATTAAGGATAACAATTTAGTCGTTGCTAAAGCTTCATTGGACACACTGATTGAGTTGTATAATAAAAATGTTTGGAAAGATGCTAAATGTGTAAATGTGATTGCTAATTGTTGTTTTGCTAAATCCGCAAAGGTGAGTTTTGATTTCTTTCTTAAAATGATTTCCTTTATTTAATTCATTCAATTCTATTTATCTATCAGATGCTGGTTACCGCTCAAAGATTTTTCCTTGGAACCGATGAGGATAAAGGTGATGAAGACTCAGATGATAGTGATTCAGAATCTGATGGTGAAGTTAACGATAAAGTTATCAAAGAAATGGCTCTGGCTAATCGGGTGAATAGGACAACACGGAAAAGGAAAAGGTTACTCGAGAGAACCAAGAAAGTTGTCAAAAAATCGAAGAAGGGAAAAAAGTCTGTCTCATTTAACTTTTCTGCAATTCATTTGATCTATGATCCTCAAGGAATGGCAGAGAAATTATTCCAATCGCTAGAGAAGGTTAATCATCGATTTGAGATAAAACTTATGACAATGAATTTAATCTCTCGATTGATTGGACTTCATCAATTGTTTGTGTTCAATTTTTATCCTTACCTTCAACGATACCTGAACCCTCACCAACGTGAAGTGACCAAAATTTTACTCTACACCGCTCAAGCGGCTCATGAACTGGTTCCATCTGAAGTCTTATATCCAGTGGTCAAGGGAATCGCCAACAATTTCATCACCGAGCGTAACTCATCTGAATGCATGTGCGTTGGTCTAAATGCAATTAGAGAGATTTGTTCTCGCTGTCCACTAGCAATAGATGAAGATTTACTTCAAGATTTGACCGACTACAAATCGTACAAGAATAAAAATGTTTCCATGGCGGCTAAATCTATAATCCAATTGTTCCGTACAGCTAATCCTGAACTTTTGAAGAAAAAAGATCGAGGTAAACCAACAGAGGCCAGTATAGAATTTCGAGCCAAACAATATGGTGAATTGGATGCTAAAGATTTTGTTCCCGGAGCGGAGTGTTTAAATTCTGATGGTGAAGAAGAAGATGACGAAAATGATGATAAACCAGTTAAAGGAGATAAAGATGATTCTGATGGATGGGTTGATGTGAGTGATGCAGAAGGAGATATCGAAATTGAAAGTTCTGATGAAGAGGAAAATGACACTGAAAAGAAAACCTTGTCGGTAGCTGAGGCTAAAGAAAAAGCAAGTCACATCTCTACAACCCGAATTTTGAGTGGAAAAGAAATTGAGAAAATTCAAGCTGCCCAATTAGCCAAACAATTAAAAGCAAGTAAACCTCGGCGACTTGAGAAAAATGATGACAGAGTCTTAGCTGATTTAGCGAAAAGGAAAAAGGAATCAGTTTCAATTAATGACATTGAAAGATTGTACAAGAAGCCAAAGAATACAAAAGAAAGTCGATTGTCCACAATTAAGGAAGGAAGAGAAGACCGAGAACAATTTGGTGGACCAAAACCTAAATTAAATCCATTTGCAAGTAAAACGAAAAGAGAAGAGGAAAAACAAAGCGTTCGCTATGATTAAGCCGAAAATCGTTGCAAAAAAGAAAAGATCATTCAGAGAAAAAGCCGCTGCTCTTAAACATTCGTTAATACGAAAAATTAAACACTCAAGATGATCGAATTAAACTTTTTCTCTGTTACCAAATGAACATTTTTCTCAACTTTTTTCTTTAATTAACAATCATTTATTATTGGAAAATTTTGGAAAATTGATTAATAAGTGTTAACCAGAGATAAACAAAATAGTTGATAATACGATGAGAAACAATTGTCTGTTCCTTAGATCATTGGAAGATGAGTTGATTGGATTGATGAAGAAATTGGATAATTGTTGTTAGAAAAGACCATTGAAAGGAAGTAAGTAGGTTTTTGAAAAGATTCATTGATGATTGGAAACCCATTGGATAGAATTAGATTGACTTGGTCATTTGAATTGATAGAATTTGATTGAAAATTCCTATGAAAGGAGATCCACCTCACATCTTGGTGTCGACTTGTTACTATTAAATTGTTCTGATTCATTGATCACTTTTTCTTTGATTGACTGGAAATATCCTCTAAATTGTAAACCATAATATTGATGAATCTCAATGAAGGGTCTCCTTGAGAATAATAATGATTTCCCTTGATTGTTGGTATTGGTTTCCTCTAAATCAATTAGATCTTCGCGTGATGAATTGAACGGATTGGACCGTTGAGGTCGATCGTTATTTGATCCTTCCTCTCGAGTTTCATTAATTCGTCTTCTCTCAGCTAAATTAATCTCATCAAGTTGCCTCTGTAATTCAGCGACAACCATTTTAAGATAGGAATAGGAAGCCTGAGATAAACATTTCATCCATTTCTCTTGGCTATCAGAATTATCGGTGGCAAAAATGTAATCACGACAATCAGCGAAAACCAATTTAAAGGCAAACAAATCAGCCTCACTGTCATCAATATCTATTCGAGATCCTTCAAGTAGAATACATCCAAGAGGTTCTTTATCGTTCTTTTTCTCAAAATAGAATAAACAATTTCCCTTTAATATGCACCATCTTTTCTGGAAGTTACGATTCACTTCACCTCTTTTATAAAGATAGCCCTCAACATCGGCCGGAACCATATTACTTGTACTATAACGAATTAAAGTTTTCTCGTTAATCTTCATCCTTTGATTTTCTATTGTATCATCCAATGCAAACCGATGGAATTAAATTGATTGACGTGAGAGAACCAGAGATTATCTTGACAATCTGATGGGTGTAACGTGATCGACAACAGAGAGAGAGAGAGAGAGAGAGAGAGAGAGAGAGAGAGAGAGAGAGAGAGAGAGAAAGAAAGAAAAAACCAATCTAAAGGAATTAAAAGAAAAGAACAAAAAAAAAATCAACTTGAGAAATCACAATTCAATCAGTAGATCTAATTGAAAGGCGTCAACAGTGAATAACATTCACATGAAAAGAGGAATTAGCTTACTTGATTGAAACAATTAACCAGAAATGAGGCTTTAATGGATAAGTAATTCCAAGTAATCAAAATGTAAACCAGGAATAATCAGTGAGATGAATTAATGGAAAAACATTGAAAACAACAACAAAGCTGCAATTGATGGAAAACCTGAGTAAATATATAATTATGATAATATTGTAAAGATGAGAAGAGCTGGAGAGATTACAAATGATGACCAGATAATTGTTACAAAGGGAAGATTACAATTAATTATAATAAATAAAATCTAAACTCCAAATGGTTAATAGTAAATGTGTAAATCAATAATAACATTGATCTGCTGAGAGGTAACCCTAATCAACTTGAAATCACCTCTCAGCTGAATCAAGTATAACCATAACCATGCAGTTGAATCACTCTCACAGGTAGAAAGATGATAATTGTGATGGAAAAGTGTTGATTTAATCTGAGAAAATGAATAACAATTAAAAACAATAATCAATAAGGAAAATAATTTTCAACCATTTGGAAAAGCAAACAAACAAAACTAAACATAAACATATGAAGTAAACAAGAAGGCGGTTAATTTGATATCATCATTACGATGAACGAAATTAATTTTTGGCAATTAAAAAGTTAATCAAATTGACACGTTTCGTCTTTATGATTGATTCTTATTTAATTAGAGACAATTTCTTTACAACAATCGGAGATGATCAATATTGATCACTGATTACGTGCATATATTGAGTTGTTGTATTGATGATAATGTTAATCTATTAAAAGACTAACGGGTAACAATTAACTATTTACAGGTTAATTTTAATTGTTTACAATTCAGTTTTACACTTGGATTGATCTTTTGATTTAATGATTTAATTATCACAATTTATTAACAATTGTCAATATGTCAACTTTTCCTTTCACTGATAATTGATGATTTTTTTTTTCAATTGTTTCAAGTTGAAATGAATTAATTACTAGAACTCAGATCATTCAATTTGAATTCACTGAGTAAACAATTAAAATTAATTCAACTTGTCACATCTTCATTAAACCATTTTAAGTTGACTAAATTAGGTTGATATGATTAATTAAATCGATTTCGTCTATTTAATTAGTTTAATTGTTTACATTTAACTTATTTATTTAGCTCTTACAAAGCTTAATCAGTTTCCGTATCCGATGAAATTAAGATCTCATTAGTAGTTTCTAGTTACATGTGTAACAATATGGGTTTAATTATAAATTCAATGAAAGTAACACGAGTTTAATTGACAATTGAATTAGTGTTTAATCAGTCGGTTGCCATTTATGATACGCAATTATGATTTATCGGATTAACAATTTTCAAAGAGTAAGCGATTAATGGTAATAACGATTGACTGATTAAAGAGAAATTGGTAAAAAGATTAAATCGATAGATAAAGTGAATATCGACCAGAATTTCAACTCGTGAAATTGAATTGAAAACCAAAGGAAAGTTCCGCTTTAGGACTCATTCCATTATCGAGTTGATACCGAACAATCAAATCGATAATGAATGAACGAATTTCAAAATCAGATGACTTAACGATGGAAATATTTGGAAACTTCAGTGATGATTATTTTTTTAATGATAATAATAAATGTGATCAAATGTAAATCAAATAGTTAATCAAGTGAACCAGAATTCCGGAAAAAGATACGATGAGGTTGATGAACGCGCTGCATTTGATATTCGATATTTTAATAATGGGAAAGAAAAGTTTTCGAAATAATAATAAATTATTGATTAGCCTACGTAAATTTTCATAACTTTTATTCACGATTGTTTTATCAATTATCTAGGCTACATTTTTTTTTTTATTATTTAAATGTCGACTTAAGTAAAATCATTGCATTTGGAAATCATAGAGAAGATGAGAGCAAAATCGAACAATTAGAAAAAAAATGACTTAAAATTTGGCGAAATGATAAGACTAAGGCAAAGGAAGAGAAAGAGAACAGAAAATAATGGGGGATGATTAGTTTAAACGATGGATTTACAGATAAAATCACAAAGACGTTTTCCATATTGATCAGGGTGAACTGTTGAAATTTCAGCTGAAGTTCCATGTTTAACACTCTTTGCAGCTTGTGCAGTTCTTTTCCTCAGACCATATTGGGTGAGAATATCGACAAGACCCATGAAATAGATTTCCTTTTTTCCATTTTCTATCAATAAACACAAAGAGAATCAAATGATTAGATACATGAAAATCAAAGAAGGAGAAAGAGAAAGAGAGAGAGAGAGAGAGAAAAGTAAATGATTGAACATCAATAAACTATTATGTGTATTCAGCATTCATGCAATTCAATTGTGTGAAGGGTAAATGTCAGGCTAATAATGGATTTATTTTGATAACCATTATTTACTCTTTGCTATTTTTTATACATACTAATATACTAAAGCATATATATTATGCAAAGAAAAGGAAGATGAAAAACAATTTATTTATTCAGCATTAAATCAGGAATATACTATGAATGCATGGAAAATCAACTAACCTGGGCTGCTCTCGATAGCATAGATATCTCGTTTAGGATCGATTGGACCTTTGTTGGATAACTCGTTTTCACTTGCATTGGAGCTTTTGTGCTGAAGTCTGGGTGAGTCAGGGGGTGTTGGTACCATGGGTAAATCTCCGGTTCCAGAAGCAGAGGGTGAACCAGCAATCGGAGGTAGAGAACCTGGATTACCTCCACTAGATTCACCATCATCTTCCTCACTACATGCATTACCAGAGGCTGCATATTCAACCAATTCTTGTTCATATTTGTCACAATCATGGATTCCTAGACACAATGAATAGTCCATAAGGTTCATACCGGAAAGAAATTTGGTATCAGCCTCTAACATGGTGAGGAAATTTTGTTTCGCCTGTGAAGGTAGATTAAGGTTGATCGCATCTTTAACAAAATCATTATCCTTCAGGGTGGGTAATGGTTTCTCTCTCCTTTCACTTGCTTCTCTGTCAACTGTTGATCCCTTTAAGTCATACTTCTTGTGAATTGGTATTGGTGCTGAAAGTATATTTCTCATCACAACAATATAAGTTTCCGTCGCTTCAACCGTTATCCTGTACATTCCAAGATATTGGGGTAACAGAGTTTTACCATGTCTTTCAACCACATAGGGATGGTACGATTTGAGAAATGAGTGCATTTGTTCAACCTCTTCCGAAGAGAGGGTTTTGAGGAGAAGAAAATTATCGTAAGATCCATAAAATCTTGCACCAGATCGACCAGAAGATTCACCGAACGGATCAGGTTGACATTTAGTCAAACTTCTGAGATACTCCGAGTCACTTAAGCAAAACCTTCAAGGATAAACAGATAGAAAAAGAAGAAAAGAACAAAAAGAGAAAGAAATAAATTAATTATGTAGATTAGATAAAATGGATGCAACTCTATATATCTCTTCCTCTCTCTCTATCTCTCTGCCTCACTTTACTTCATTCTATCATTTCCCATGTTCCAGACAATTTTCATGGTAGAAAAAGGTAAAGAAATAATCAACAGAATAGAATCAATCAGATTGTTGTTTACAGGCAATGGAACCAAAAATAGCGAAAAACAAAACACATCAGAATTTACTACCTCACCTATCAATCAAATAATTGCAACCGATTGTTATTCTCTTTCACCTTGTGTTTATATTTTTTTTACTTCTTTCGCGTTGATTAATTGTTTTACTTGGAAAAAGAATAATTTAGACTTTAAATGAACAAACCTTTCTCGTAGGTTTCTGAACACCAAGGACAATATTCTTTGAATTTGAAGTGAGACGGCATGTTTTCTTTGTTGTAAAGATGATTATCAACTCGTATCTTGGTGTATGCTTTGAAATCATCGGGCATCAGCATAACAGGAATATTAACATGAGTTAATTCATTAATTGTATGGTTAATACCCACATGAAAACCGAGAAGAGGTTCAGAAGCTCTGAAAACTTTGGCTTTCTGGTGTTTCACCTTAAGATGTTTTTCTTCAGCTTGAGCCCCTTGTAGGACATGATTGCAAAGGTAAAATAACCAGAGTTTTTTTCAATAAAACAGAAACAATAACAGAGAGAGAGAGAGAGAAAAGTAAATGATTGAACATCAATAAACTATTATGTGTATTCAGCATTCATGCAATTCAATTGTGTGAAGGGTAAATGTCAGGCTAATAATGGATTTATTTTGATAACCATTATTTACTCTTTGCTATTTTTTATACATACTAATATACTAAAGCATATATATTATGCAAAGAAAAGGAAGATGAAAAACAATTTATTTATTCAGCATTAAATCAGGAATATACTATGAATGCATGGAAAATCAACTAACCTGGGCTGCTCTCGATAGCATAGATATCTCGTTTAGGATCGATTGGACCTTTGTTGGATAACTCGTTTTCACTTGCATTGGAGCTTTTGTGCTGAAGTCTGGGTGAGTCAGGGGGTGTTGGTACCATGGGTAAATCTCCGGTTCCAGAAGCAGAGGGTGAACCAGCAATCGGAGGTAGAGAACCTGGATTACCTCCACTAGATTCACCATCATCTTCCTCACTACATGCATTACCAGAGGCTGCATATTCAACCAATTCTTGTTCATATTTGTCACAATCATGGATTCCTAGACACAATGAATAGTCCATAAGGTTCATACCGGAAAGAAATTTGGTATCAGCCTCTAACATGGTGAGGAAATTTTGTTTCGCCTGTGAAGGTAGATTAAGGTTGATCGCATCTTTAACAAAATCATTATCCTTCAGGGTGGGTAATGGTTTCTCTCTCTCCTTTTCACTTGCTTCTCTGTCAACTGTTGATCCCTTTAAGTCATACTTCTTGTGAATTGGTATTGGTGCTGAAAGTATATTTCTCATCACAACAATATAAGTTTCCGTCGCTTCAACCGTTATCCTGTACATTCCAAGATATTGGGGTAACAGAGTTTTACCATGTCTTTCAACCACATAGGGATGGTACGATTTGAGAAATGAGTGCATTTGTTCAACCTCTTCCGAAGAGAGGGTTTTGAGGAGAAGAAAATTATCGTAAGATCCATAAAATCTTGCACCAGATCGACCAGAAGATTCACCGAACGGATCAGGTTGACATTTAGTCAAACTTCTGAGATACTCCGAGTCACTTAAGCAAAACCTTCAAGGATAAACAGATAGAAAAAGAAGAAAAGAACAAAAAGAGAAAGAAATAAATTAATTATGTAGATTAGATAAAATGGATGCAACTCTATATATCTCTTCCTCTCTCTCTATCTCTCTGCCTCACTTTACTTCATTCTATCATTTCCCATGTTCCAGACAATTTTCATGGTAGAAAAAGGTAAAGAAATAATCAACAGAATAGAATCAATCAGATTGTTGTTTACAGGCAATGGAACCAAAAATAGCGAAAAACAAAACACATCAGAATTTACTACCTCACCTATCAATCAAATAATTGCAACCGATTGTTATTCTCTTTCACCTTGTGTTTATATTTTTTTTACTTCTTTCGCGTTGATTAATTGTTTTACTTGGAAAAAAGAATAATTTAGACTTTAAATGAACAAACCTTTCTCGTAGGTTTCTGAACACCAAGGGACAATATTCTTTGAATTTGAAGTGAGACGGCATGTTTTCTTTGTTGTAAAGATGATTATCAACTCGTATCTTGGTGTATGCTTTGAAATCATCGGGCATCAGCATAACAGGAATATTAACATGAGTTAATTCATTAATTGTATGGTTAATACCCCACATGAAAACCGAGAGAAGAGGTTCAGAAGCTCTGAAAACTTTGGCTTTCTGGTGTTTCACCTTAAGATGTTTTTTCTTCAGCTTGGAGCTCCCCTTGTAGGACATGATTGCAAAGGTAAAATAACCAGAGTTTTTTTTTCAATAAAAACAGAAACAATAACAGGAGAGAGAGAGAAAAAAAAGAGAGACAAAGTTATAAAAGATATGAGGATAAAGTTGAAAGAATAGACAAAAAATGAGTTCTTGTCAAGAGCAGAAAAAGATGAACAAAAACAAATAGAGTATGATGATGATGATGATCAAAAATTCAGATTCTAGAGAGAGAAAGATGGAGAGAGAGAGAGAGAAAAAAAAAAAAAGAGTATAACCCAAAACAAGCTAATTATCTGTTGGAATATACTGATTGTTGTTTGATAAAAGAAAATGAAGACTAAACAATTTGTTGATGACAATGACTAAATAATGGTTAACACAACCAGGAAACAGTAAAGGAATAAACAATCACAGTAAATGAATTAAATTCACAAGCTCATGACAATTGAACAAAAATATAACCAAAAAAATGAACAATTTATGAAAAAAAATCTTGAAAACATTGAAGCGAAAATGTAAATAGAAACTACGCCATCTATTGAAATGATAATTCACTTTTCGATGTGACAATAAATTTCATTGATTTTTTGGGTCTTGCTTTACGTTTTTTTTCTTGACTAATTAGCAAAAATATTCTCTAAAAACAAAACTAATTATTAAAAAAAGAGCATATCATTTATTAACACCCGAATGAACCTAAAATGATGCCATCAAGATCGACCTCACCATCATTGCAAATCAGATGATAAATGATTTACACCTAAAAATAAAATGGACAAAATTGTTGGTAGACTGAGAGAAATGAATCTAATTAATTGGTGAGGATAATCTAACATTATTGTTTAGTACTAATCTCTTATCAATATCCACTTTTTGATACGATGAGAAAAACAATGACTAAATATGGTAAAATTGTTGACAATTGACTGAGACAATCAAGTGAATCAAGTTTAGTAAGAAAAGCAAAAACTTACCATCATTTAATATTGTGAAGAGTCTCAAAACAAAACCAAGAGAGAGAATAAAAAAAAAGAGATTAATTTGATTGTTGGTCTTTCTTTTTTTTTTGTTTTGTTTCTCGCTCTTATTATTGGTAATTCAATATCTTAGATATGCTGATAATGATATTGATGATGATGATCAATCTTTTTAAATCAATTGATTAACAGAACAATTATTTAATGATGATAGAGAACCAAAAACACAAACAAAGAGAGAGAGAGAGAGAAACAAAAAGGTGATCAAAATGGTTATGTAAACAATTAATCTATTCCTTGGCTTCGTTTCTCTTTCAACCTTTATGAAGTTTCAACGCATGCCAATCATATCATGGAAAAACAAAATGACTGATTACACAGAACAACAGAAAACAAGGTAAAACCTCTGCTAAGCATTTTAAACAATTAACAATTAAAAGAAAATATATAAAATTAAATAAACAAAAAACAGAAAAATAAACAATTTAAGTTAACTCAATTTAGATTATAGATTTGCATAGATAAACAAAGAGGGTAAATCTTGTCAATTATATGTAGTTACACGTGTAAGGATAATAATCGATCAGTAATCGGAATAATCATTCAACACTTATGATTTAAAACTAAACTGTAACAATATTTCAATTATGTATTTAAAATTGGAATGTTAATTAATCGTTAGTTTCATAAACTAATTGAGAAAAAAACGAGAGAAAATAAAAACATTACTTTTTTAAATTCTAAAGCTTTTGGTTCAAAGGTGCAATCTTAGATGGCGCTCATGAAACTTGATACTCTTTCGAAATCAAATCAACTTCATGAGAGTTTCAATGATAGTCCAGTGGTTAGAATTGAGCTAATCGTCGACTGCTTGTGATATGTTCGCATATTCCTTGTATACAATTTGACTATTTATTTGATAGAAAACGATTTACTAACTTCCAATGATGAAATATATTAGACAAGCATATGGCTGATTCTAATTGAGGAAACTAATAATTCTGAGGAAGTTAATTTTGTCCAAAGATTAGTAGCTTATTGCTCTTAAAATTTCATCCCCATGAATTGGGTATTCGTTTTTCATCACTTTTTTGATAATTATTTTTCACATTTCCTTTAAATCATTGCTTAAGTAATAAGATTCTGATAATCGAATCAGATTTAATAATATTCTTTTATTTTCATATCAATTGACCGCGAAAATGTGAGTATTAGTGTAGTATCAAAATAGATTATTGTTATCCAACTTATACATTTGTATTTGGTAATCCAAATTTTTTCGTAATTAGAATTTTTCTATTCGTTTCTGGTCAAACTCGTCGAAATCACAATCTATCACCAAGTAGCTCTAACAATTTTGCGAAAATGGTTTTTCTCTTTACTTTTAAATCGGAAATGTTAAAATTTTTCTTTTAAATGTAGAACATGCTGATGAGGTAAAGTTTGTTCATTAATAATAAATTATTATTTATAATAATAATAGTTAATAAGTTCATGTAGATTCACACTATTAGTTTGGAAAAATCCACCGTTTGATAATTTTAGTTTGCTCATTTGGTTTGTTTGCAAATTGAACTAGAGCCGCAATAGATTCTTAATAATTTCTGGCATTTTATTTCAATCTTTCAATTTATTTCTATTATAAACTTAGCACTTGGATTGAAAATTAGTAAGATTTAACTGCGCTTTAACTCGTACCTTAATAAATAACAAACATCACCAGATGATCTTATGACTTATTCCATCTGAGGAAATATTTGTCGAAAGATCATGGAAGCTTTTCCCTTTATGTTTGATGCGATTCGTTAGAAATTAGGTACCGAACCGTTGATTAAATAATACATTAAACTTACTATTATTCCGAACTACCCTCTTTCCTGATAAAGAATTGACTGACAGAGCAGCAGGTAATTATCAGAATATTAAATAGCAGTTCGATAAAGACTTTTATTTGTTCAGATTTGACATAAAAAGAGTATAAAAACTCGAGAAAGCAAGAAAATAAATCATAATCATCTTCTCATCTCTAATCAACAAGTTCATCAGAAAAAAAACAAAATGAATCGTATTTTTGGTTTTTTTACATTAATTTGTGTTGCAATATCAACAACTCAGTATGCCGAAGTGCACGCTTTACCTGCACCAATGGATCCTGGACGAATGGACATGGCAATGACAATGGATGCTGATAAACTAATGCAAAACCTACATGGAATGGGATTCACTAAACCCAACCAAGACAACAAACCTGAGGATGACGATAACTCTGACGTGAACGATTGGGAACCATCTAACGAAAGACAAACCGTAGAATCAGAAGACGATGAAAAATCATCATCATCTTCATCTACTGAAGCTGATTCCGAAACATCAAATGACGAAGTTGAATCTGCCGACTCCGCTCGAACAAGTGAAGACACTACTTCACAAGCAAAGGCCTCATCTGATGCTGAAAGTGACTCGCAATCATCTGAAAAACAAAAGAATAGACAAAAATCAACGAACACAAATACATCAACATCATCGACTAGTTCATCAAAAGGACAAACCGCAAAATCAACAGGACCAACATCAACTAGTTCATCTGCTACTGCTACTGACTCAAGTTCATCAGGTTCACATAATGGCTCATCGAGTGACGGAGAGGATGCTTCATCATCATGGACAAATAACGCTGCTTCTGCCGCTGCTTCTTCAGCATCATCTGCTGGTAGAGGACGAAACAATGGATCAAGACCATCTAACAATGGACAATCATCATCGGAATCAGCGAAATCAGGATCAACGGCGGCTGCTTCATCTAATGCTGCTACTGGCTCATCAGGTTCAGATAACGGTTCATCAGGCGAAGTAAACAAGGGTCAATCATCATCATCAACATCATCAGGAAACGCAAATGACTCTGCTGCTGCTACCGCTGCTAATGCTGCTGCTGCTTCAGCTGCCGCTGCTTCTGCCGCTGCCGCTGCTGCTGCTGGTTCTTCAGCATCATCTGCTGGTAAAGGACAAAACAATGAATCTGGAGCATCTAACAACGGTCAATCATCATCAGGATCATCAGGAACAGGATCATCAGCTGGTTCATCATCATCATCTCTGCTGCTGCTGGCTCAGGTTCATCAGGTTCAGGAAATGGTTCAGATAACGGTTCATCAGGCAAAGGAAACAATGCTTCATCATCATCAACATCATCAGGAAACGCAATGACTCTGCTGCTGCTACCGCTGCTAATGCTGCTGCTGCTTCAGCTGCTGCTGCTCGCTGCCGCTGCTGCTGCTGGTTCTTCAGGATCATCTACTGGTAAAGGACAAAACAATGGATCAGGAGCATCTAACAACGGTCAATCATCATCAGGATCATCAGGAACAGGATCATCAGCTGGTTCATCATCATCATCTGCTGCTGCTGCTGGCTCAGGTTCATCAGGTTCAGGAAATGGTTCAGATAACGGTTCATCAGGCAAAGAAAACAATGCTTCATCATCATCATCAACATCATCAGGAAACGCAAATGACTCTGCTGCTGCTACCGCTGCTAATGCTGCTGCTGCTTCAGCTGCCGCTGCTTCTGCCGCTGCCGCTGCTGCTGCTGGTTCTTCAGGATCATCTACTGGTAAAGGACAAAACAATGGATCAGGAGCATCTAACAACGGTCAATCATCATCAGGATCATCAGGAACAGGATCATCAGCTGGTTCATCATCATCATCTGCTGCTGCTGCTTCATCTGCTGCTGCTGCTGGCTCAGGTTCATCAGGTTCAGGAAAGGGTTCAGATAATGGTTCATCAGGCAAAGGAAACAATGCTTCATCATCATCATCAACATCATCAGGAAACGCAAATGACTCTGCTGCTGCTACCGCTGCTAATGCTGCTGCTGCTTCAGCTGCCGCTGCTTCTGCCGCTGCCGCTGCTGCTGCTGGTTCTTCAGGATCATCTACTGGTAAAGGACAAAACAATGGATCAGGAGCATCTAACAACGGTCAATCATCATCAGGATCATCAGGAACAGGATCATCAGCTGGTTCATCATCATCATCTGCTGCTGCTGCTGGCTCAGGTTCATCAGGTTCAGGAAATGGTTCAGATAACGGTTCATCAGGCAAAGAAAACAATGCTTCATCATCATCATCAACATCATCAGGAAACGCAATGACTCTGCTGCTGCCGCTACATGCTGCTGCTGCTTCAGCTGCCGCTGCTTCTGCCGCCGCTGCTGCTGCTGGTTCTTCAGGATCATCTACTGGTAAAGGACAAAACAATGGATCAGGAGCATCTAACAACGGTCAATCATCATCAGGATCATCAGGAACAGGATCATCAGCTGGTTCATCATCATCTGCTGCTGCTGCTTCATCTGCTGCTGCTGCTGGCTCAGGTTCATCAGGTTCAGAAAAGGTTCAGATAACGGTTCATCAGGCAAAGGAAACAATGCTTCATCATCATCATCAACATCATCAGGAAACGCAAATGACTCTGCTGCTGCTACCGCTGCTAATGCTGCTGCTGCTTCAGCTGCCGCTGCTTCTGCCGCTGCCGCTGCTGCTGCTGGTTCTTCAGGATCATCTACTGGTAAAGGACAAAACAATGGATCAGGAGCATCTAACAACGGTCAATCATCATCAGGATCATCAGGAACAGGATCATCAGCTGGTTCATCATCATCATCTGCTGCTGCTGGCTCAGGTTCATCAGGTTCAGGAAATGGTTCAGATAACGGTTCATCAGGCAAAGAAAACAATGCTTCATCATCATCATCAACATCATCAGGAAACGCAAATGACTCTGCTGCTGCTACCGCTGCCATGCTGCTGCTGCTTCAGCTGCTGCTTCTGCCGCCGCTGCTGCTGCTGCTGGTTCTTCAGGATCATCTACTGGTAAAGACAAAACAATGGATCAGGAGCATCTAACAACGGTCAATCATCATCAGGATCATCAGGATCATCAGCTGGTTCATCATCATCATCTGCCGCTGCTGCTGGCTCAGGTTCATCAGGTTCAGGAAATGGTTCAGATAACGGTTCATCAGGCAAAGGAAACAATGCTTCATCATCATCATCAACATCATCAGGAAACGCAATGACTCTGCTGCTGCTACCGCTGCTAATGCTGCTGCTGCTTCAGCTGCCGCTTCTGCCGCCGCTGCTGCTGGTTCTTCAGGATCATCTACTAAAGGACAAAACAATGGATCAGGAGCATCTAACAACGGTCAATCATCATCAGGATCATCAGGAACAGGATCATCAGCTGGTTCATCATCATCATCTGCTGCTGCTGGCTCAGGTTCATCAGGTTCAGGAAATGGTTCAGATAACGGTTCATCAGGCAAAGAAAACAATGCTCATCATCATCATCATCAGGAAACGCAAATGACTCTGCTGCTACCGCTGCTAATGCTGCTGCTGCCAGCTGCCGCTGCTTCTGCCGCTGCCGCTGCTGCTGGTTCTTCAGGATCATCTACTGGTAAAGGACAAAACAATGGATCAGGAGCATCTAACAACGGTCAATCATCATCAGGATCATCAGGAACAGGATCATCAGCTGGTTCATCATCATCTGCTGCTGCTGCTGGCTCAGGTTCATCAGGTTCAGGAAATGGTTCAGATAACGGTTCATCAGGCAAAGGAAACAATGCTTCATCATCATCATCAACATCATCAGGAAACGCAAATGACTCTGCTGCTGCTACCGCTGCTAATGCTGTTGCTTCAGCTGCTGCTGCCTGCTGCCGCTGCTGCTGCTGGTTCTTCAGGATCATCTACTGGTAAAGGACAAAACAATGGATCAGGAGCATCTAACAACGGTCAATCATCATCAGGATCATCAGGAACAGGATCATCAGCTGGTTCATCATCATCATCTGCTGCTGCTGCTGGCTCAGGTTCATCAGGTTCAGGAAATGGTTCAGATAACGGTTCATCAGGCAAAGGAAACAATGCTTCATCATCATCAACATCATCAGGAAACGCAATGACTCTGCTGCTGCCGCTGCTAATGCTGCTGCTGCTTCAGCTGCCGCTGCTCGCCGCCGCTGCTGCTGCTGGTTCTTCAGGATCATCTACTGGTAAAGGACAAAACAATGGATCAGGAGCATCTAACAACGGTCAATCATCATCAGGATCATCAGGAACAGGATCATCAGCTGGTTCATCATCATCATCTGCTGCTGCTGCTTCATCTGCTGCTGCTGCTGGCTCAGGTTCATCAGGTTCAGGAAAGGGTTCAGATAACGGTTCATCAGGCAAAGGAAACAATGCTTCATCATCATCATCAACATCATCAGGAAACGCAAATGACTCTGCTGCTGCTACCGCTGCTAATGCTGCTGCTGCTTCAGCTGCCGCTTCTGCCGCCGCTGCTGCTGGTTCTTCAGGATCATCTACTGGTAAAGGACAAAACAATGGATCAGGAGCATCTAACAACGGTCAATCATCATCAGGATCATCGAACAGGATCATCAGCTGGTTCATCATCATCATCTGCTGCTGGCTCAGGTTCATCAGGTTCAGGAAATGGTTCAGATAACGGTTCATCAGGCAAAGAAAACAATGCTTCATCATCATCATCAACATCATCAGGAAACGCAAATGACTCTGCTGCTGCTACCGCTAATGCTGCTGCTGCCAGCTGCTGCTTCTGCCGCCGCTGCTGCTGCTGGTTCTTCAGGATCATCTACTGGTAAAGGACAAAACAATGGATCAGGAGCATCTAACAACGGTCAATCATCATCAGGATCATCAGGAACAGGATCATCAGCTGGTCATCATCATCATCTGCTGCTGCTGGCTCAGGTTCATCAGGTTCAGGAAATGGTTCAGATAACGGTTCATCAGGCAAAGAAAACAATGCTTCATCATCATCATCAACATCATCAGGAAACGCAAATGACTCTGCTGCTACCGCTGCTAATGCTGCTGCTGCTTCAGCTGCCGCTGCTTCTGCCGCCGCTGCTGCTGGTTCTTCAGGATCATCTACTGGTAAAGGACAAAACAATGGATCAGGAGCATCTAACAACGGTCAATCATCATCAGGATCATCAGGAACAGGATCATCAGCTGGTTCATCATCATCTGCCGCTGCTGGCTCAGGTTCATCAGGTTCAGGAAATGGTTCAGATAACGGTTCATCAGGCAAAGACAATGCTTCATCATCATCATCAACATCATCAGGAAACGCAAATGACTCTGCTGCTGCTACCTAATGCTGCTGCTGCTTCAGCTGCCGCTGCTTCTGCGCTGCCGCTGCTGCTGCTGGTTCTTCAGGATCATCTACTGGTAAAGGACAAAACAATGGATCAGGAGCATCTAACAACGGTCAATCATCATCAGGATCATCAGGAACAGGATCATCAGCTGGTTCATCATCATCATCTGCTGCTGCTTCATCTGCTGCTGCTGCTGGCTCAGGTTCATCAGGTTCAGGAAAGGGTTCAGATAACGGTTCATCAGGCAAAGGAAACAATGCTTCATCATCATCATCAACATCATCAGGAAACGCAAATGACTGCTGCTACCGCTGCTAATGCTGCTGCTGCTTCAGCTGCCGCTGCTTCTGCCGCTGCCGCTGCTGCTGCTGGTTCTTCAGGATCATCTACTGGTAAAGGACAAAACAATGGATCAGGAGCATCTAACAACGGTCAATCATCATCAGGATCATCAGGAACAGGATCATCAGCTGGTTCATCATCATCATCTGCTGCTGCTGCTTCATCTGCTGCTGGCTCAGGTTCATCAGGTTCAGGAAATGGTTCAGATAACGGTTCATCAGGCAAAGGAAACAATGCTTCATCATCATCATCAACATCATCAGGAAACGCAAATGACTCTGCTGCTGCTACTGCTAATGCTGCTGCTGTCAGCTGCCGCTGCTTCCTGCCGCTGCTGCTGCTGGTTCTTCAGGATCATCTACTGGTAAAGGACAAAACAATGGATCAGGAGCATCTAACAACGGTCAATCATCATCAGGATCATCAGGAACAGGATCATCAGCTGGTTCATCATCATCATCTGCTGCTGCTGCTGGCTCAGGTTCATCAGGTTCAGGAAATGGTTCAGATAACGGTTCATCAGGCAAAGAAAACAATGCTTCATCATCATCATCAACATCATCAGGAAACGCAAATGACTCTGCTGCTGCTACTGCTAATGCTGCTGCTGCTTCAGCCGCTGCCGCTGCCGCTGCTGCTGCTGGTTCTTCAGGATCATCTAAAAGGACAAAACAATGGATCAGGAGCATCTAACGGTCAATCATCATCAGGATCATCAGGAACAGGATCAGCTGGTTCATCATCATCATCTGCTGCTGCTGGCTCAGGTTCATCAGGTTCAGGAAATGGTTCAGATAACGGTTCATCAGGCAAAGAAAACAATGCATCATCATCATCAACATCATCAGGAAACGCAAATGACTGCTGCTGCTATGCTGTTGCTGCTTCAGCTGCTGCTTCTGCTGCTGCTGGTTCTTCAGGATCATCTACTGGTAAAGGAAACAATGGATCAGGAGCATCTAACAACGGTCAATCATCATCAGGATCAGGAACAGGATCATCAGCTGGTTCATCATCATCATCTGCTGCTGCTGGCTCAGGTTCATCAGGTTCAGGAAATGGTTCAGATAACGGTTCATCAGGCAAAGAAAACAATGCTTCATCATCATCATCAACATCATCAGGAAACGCAAATGACTCTGCTGCTTCAGCTGCCGCTGCTTCTGCCGCTGCCGCTGCTGCTGCTGGTTCTTCAGGATCATCTACTGGTAAAGGACAAAACAATGGATCAGGAGCATCTAACAACGGTCAATCATCATCAGGATCATCAGGAACAGGATCATCAGCTGGTTCATCATCATCATCTGCTGCTGCTGCTGGCTCAGGTTCATCAGGTTCAGGAAATGGTTCAGATAACGGTTCATCAGGCAAAGGAAACAATGCTTCATCATCATCATCAACATCATCAGGAAACGCAAATGACTCTGCTGCTGCTACCGCTGCTAATGCTGCTGCTGCTTCAGCTGCCGCTGCTTGCTGCCGCTGCTGCCTGCTGGTTCTTCAGGATCATCTACTGGTAAAGGACAAAACAATAGATCAGGAGCATCTAACAACGGTCAATCATCATCAGGATCATCAGGAACAGGATCATCAGCTGGTTCATCATCATCATCTGCTGCTGCTGCTGGCTCAGGTTCATCAGGTTCAGGAAATGGTTCAGATAACGGTTCATCAGGCAAAGAAAACAATGCTTCATCATCATCATCAACATCATCAGGAAACGCAATGACTCTGCTGCTGCTACCGCTGCTAACTGCTGTTGTCAGCCGCTGCTTCTGCCGCTGCTGCTGCTGCTGGTTCTTCAGGATCATCTACTGGTAAAGGACAAAACAATGAATCAGGAGCATCTAACAACGGTCAATCATCATCAGGATCATCAGGAACAGGATCATCAGCTGGTTCATCATCATCATCTGCTGCTGCTGCTTCATGCTGCTGCTCAGGTTCATCAGGTTCAGGAAATGGTTCAGATAACGGTTCATCAGGCAAAGGAAACAATGCTTCATCATCATCATCAACATCATCAGGAAACGCAAATGACTCTGCTGCTGCTACCGCTGCTAATGCTGCTGCTGCTTCAGCTGCCGCTGCCGCTGCTGCTGCTGGTTCTTCAGGATCATCTACTGGTAAAGGACAAAACAATGGATCAGGAGCATCTAACAACGGTCAATCATCATCAGGATCATCAGGAACAGGATCATCAGCTGGTTCATCATCATCATCTGCTGCTGCTGCTTCATCTGCTGCTGCTGCTGGCTCAGGTTCATCAGGTTCAGGAAATGGTTCAGATAACGGTTCATCAGGCAAAGGAAACAATGCTTCATCATCATCATCAACATCATCAGGAAACGCAAATGACTCTGCTGCTGCTACCGCTGCTAATGCTGCTGCTGCTTCAGCTGCCGCTGCTTCTGCCGCTGCCGCTGCTGCTGCTGGTTCTTCAGGATCATCTACTGGTAAAGGACAAAACAATGGATCAGGAGCATCTAACAACGGTCAATCATCATCAGGATCATCAGGAACAGGATCATCAGCTGGTTCATCATCATCATCTGCTGCTGCTGCTTCATCTGCTGCTGCTGCTGGCTCAGGTTCATCAGGTTCAGGAAATGGTTCAGATAACGGTTCATCAGGCAAAGGAAACAATGCTTCATCATCATCATCAACATCATCAGGAAACGCAAATGACTCTGCTGCTGCTACCGCTGCCGCTGCTGCTGCTGGTTCTTCAGGATCATCTACTGGTAAAGGACAAAACAATGGATCAGGAGCATCTAACAACGGTCAATCATCATCAGGATCATCAGGAACAGGATCATCAGCTGGTTCATCATCATCATCTGCTGCTGCTGCTTCATCTGCTGCTGCTGCTGGCTCAGGTTCATCAGGTTCAGGAAATGGTTCAGATAACGGTTCATCAGGCAAAGGAAACAATGCTTCATCATCATCATCAACATCATCAGGAAACGCAAATGACTCTGCTGCTGCTACCGCTGCTAATGCTGCTGCTGCTAATGCTGCTGCTGGTTCTTCAGGATCATCTACTGGTAAAGGACAAAACAATGGATCAGGAGCATCTAACAAAACTCAATCATCATCAGGATCATCAGGAACAGGATCATCAGCTGGTTCATCATCATCATCTGCTGCTGCTTCATCTGCTGCTGCTGCTGGCTCAGGTTCATCAGGTTCAGGAAATGGTTCAGATAACGGTTCATCAGGCAAAGGAAACAATGCTTCATCATCATCATCAACATCATCAGGCAACGCAAATGACTCTGCTGCTGCTACTGCTGCTAATGCTGCTGCTGCTTCAGCTGCCGCTGCTTCTGCCGCTGCCGCTGCTGCTGGTTCTTCAGGATCATCTACTGGTAAAGGACAAAACAATGGATCAGGAGCATCTAACAACGGTCAATCATCATCAGGATCATCAGGAACAGGATCATCAGCTGGTTCATCATCATCTGCTGCTGCTGCTTCATCTGCTGCTGCTGCTGGCTCAGGTTCATCAGGTTCAGGAAATGGTTCAGATAACGGTTCATCAGGCAAAGGAAACAATGCTTCATCATCATCATCAACAACATCAGGAAACGTGACTCTGCTGCTGCTACCGCTGCCATGCTGCTGCTGCTTCAGCTGCCGCTGCTTCTGCCGCTGCCGCTGCTGCTGGTTCTTCAGGATCATCTACTGGTAAAGGACAAAACAATGGATCAGGAGCATCTAACAACGGTCAACATCATCAGGATCATCAGGAACAGGATCATCAGCTGGTTCATCATCATCATCTGCTGCTGCTGCTTCATCTGCTGCTGCTGCTGGCTCAGGTTCATCAGGGTCAGGAAATGGTTCAGATAACGGTCATCAGGCAAAGGAAACAATGCTTCATCATCATCATCAACATCATCAGGAAACGCAATGACTCTGCTGCTGCTACTGCTGCTAATGCTGCTGCTGCTTCAGCTGCCGCTGCTTCTGCCGCTGCCGCTGCTGCTGGTTCTTCAGGATCATCTACTGGTAAAGGACAAAACAATGGATCAGGAGCATCTAACAACGGTCAATCATCATCAGGATCATCAGGAACAGGATCATCAGCTGGTTCATCATCATCTGCTGCTGCTGCTTCATCTGCTGCTGCTGCTGGCTCAGGTTCATCAGGTTCAGGAAATGGTTCAGATAACGGTTCATCAGGCAAAGGAAACAATGCTTCATCATCATCATCAACATCATCAGGAAACGCAAATGACTCTGCTGCTGCTACCGCTGCTAATGCTGCTGCTGCTTCAGCTGCCGCTGCTTCTGCCGCTGCCGCTGCTGCTGCTGGTTCTTCAGGATCATCTACTGGTAAAGGACAAAACAATGGATCAGGAGCATCTAACAACGGTCAATCATCATCAGGATCATCAGGAACAGGATCATCAGCTGGTTCATCATCATCTGCTGCTGCTTCATCTGCTGCTGCTGCTGGCTCAGGTTCATCAGGTTCAGGAAATGGTTCAGATAACGGTTCATCAGGCAAAGGAAACAATGCTTCATCATCATCATCATCAGGAAACGCAAATGACTCTGGAGCTATCATGTTCGACCGTTCTTATTTGTCATCCTTTGTTAACTCAAAGGGTCAAAGTTGTTACTGCTACGCCTAACATAAGCTGCAATGTTGTCTGTACTAGTGTTTCAATCAAAGCATCTCAATAATAAATAATTGTTACTGTATTCTTTAAGATCAGAACTTTCATATTCTTTGTTCATCAGTTGATTGCGAGACTTCGCGGAAATTATGAGATTATACTGTTGAATTTCTTTGAATTGTATGTTGCATAGAAATTTACTAGTGAGTTTTATAGCATTATGGTTATAAATAAGACAGAAAATAAATAAAATCTAAGCATAAAAATATTTATATTCATAATTACCTCGCACACAAATCTCCTAGTTTGGTACTGATAATGCAATTAGCTCTAAAGTCAATTAGCCAAGTTTTTATTTTCATTCTAAATTGCAGGGATTGAATGTATTAAGAGAATCATTTATTTTAATTTTTACATTGTATGAAAACAAGGTGCAGACATTATGTGTTTATAACAATTTTCAATATGTTCTATCTGTTTTTTTACAGGTAAGTTGATAAAGGAATGAATAGCCATTACGGCAAGCCTCAGAAGGCTTAAATTTAAAGGAGAATAAAATTCAAAGGAAAGTAATAACAATAGATTATTAATATTTATAATAAAGTAACAAAATTTGTGTTTTTTTTTGTCAAGAAAAAATTGGACAAATTCCTCGGAGGCTTGCTAAAACGGTCCGTAACAAATGAGTACTAATCATTAGGTCGCGAATCCAATTTTTCCTCATCGGCCGGTTTCAGATGAAGTATTAGAGAAAAGGAAAAATTTTTATTAATTTTATTAATAATCGATGTTAAGCAATTAGAAAGCACTAAAGGGTGATCATAGTGAATTGTATGAATAAGAAATGTAGTAAACCGAAAATTTATGTCAGTATAGTGTATGGCTTACGGCCCAAAAATAATAATCAAGAAAGCTGAGAGATTTTTGCCTTTCATTTTGGTATCAACTTGGTCTGTATGATTTGATGAACAATAATAAGACAAAATTTCATTTTAGATTCACAGGTAAAGTTGAATAAATTAAAGTTTAACAGGAGCAACTAAAAACGTGTCATATAACTAAGAGCAAATTTCAGCTGTCTCTACATAACCACAAAGGGTTTTTTATCAAAAGTAGGTGAAATAACCTTCTCCAAGCCTAATGACACTAATCCGTTAGAGGGAGACTATGAATTCGTTGTTGCTTTAAGTGAGATGCTGCGCCACAACACTGCAGTCTTATCATCACGGCACACCTCCCTCTCCAGCCTAGCATGGCTACAGGAACCATTCATTGAGAATGAGATTGAGAGCAAGATATATTAGGTCATCCGGAAAGTTACCTAACCATGTTCCATTATCCATGTAGATAGAGCTATAATTCCAACGGAAAATTGTTTCTCGCATGCTAATTCCTAAGAAAACACAATTTCATGAAGAACAACAAGTCCGTGCAATTTTGCGGCCACTTCAGGTCAAAAATCGCGATTATCAAATTAAATAAGCTTTGTAAGGGCGGGTCTTTTCGAAATTTTTATTTTTTTCATCCATAGAATTAGAAAGAAAAGCTATCGAACATAACTTTACACCTTAGTTTCCCCGAGATATTCGAATTTAAATCAAAAAAGTCAAAAATTTCATCCCTTTGAACACCAAAAATGTGATGTTTTTCATGTGGAAGTTCATATAAAACCCTTCAATTTTTGACCTCAAAATTAAACGGACAAGTCATTTTACATGAAATTTGGTTTTCTTAGGAATTAGCCTACGAGAAACAATTTGCCGTTGGAGTTATAGCTCTATCTATAATGGAACATGGTTATGTAAAAAACTTTCCGGATGACCTAATAGATTGAGAGCGAGATAGAGAGTGAGATAGATAAAGAGAAAAGATGTTGGCGGGAAGAAAGACGGAATACAAATGATCATAAATAAATAATGCAAGCCTATAAGTAAAAGAGCTCATTGCTCCCTCAAACAACTCCCTAATGTAGTCACATGACAGAGCATAGTAGCACCATCTTCTAACAATTAGGAGTTAGAAGCGCAATATTTGGACAAACAGGAAAAATAAAATTAGGCATTTCGCCGTATGACCTTGGCTAGTATATTATAGTATATATACCTTAAGTATCATCGTGACTAAATATTATATGAATCCAACTTCTGGTTCATTGGTTATATACGATTTCATTGAGGATCCAACTTTGAACCCAGAGGTCTACTATTTTGTGTGTATAGTACTGTTAGTGACAAATATGTATGCTGAAAAAACATTGCTCTATCATCATTCTGTACGGCACTGTGAAACTTCCTATTACTCCATAAGCCTCTATGCAAAAATCGACTTTTGGATAGCTGTATCTTCTGAACTATGAGTTCCTCAAAAAACCCATGCACAAGTATGACACTCATATAAAGTAATACATACAGAAAAAGTTTGGTGGCGATCAGAGGGTGGGGCTATTCTAGAGTCTTACCTTCGATTGATACCTATTTCAAAAAATTCTGATTGGTGGGCCATTTTGGCAATCATCCTTTCTTTTGATTAATTGTTACAATAGTTGTTAGAATACAATAATTGTTAGTAATCGATGTGTTTACCTTTGGCCTCCAAACATGCTCGGGCATTGAATAAGTTAGCGAAGTAAGATAATAATGACCTAAATAATTCCAAATTAAATCAACCTCGTGTTTTATTGATTCAAATTTGTAATATTTTAGATCGGATTCACCACAGGCGACTTTAGCACCGAAATCGCGTTTCTCTCGCGAAAGTTTTTTAACGTTCGAACAGTGAAAAGTGCCATTATAATGTTGATAAACTTATTGGATATGAAGTATCCAAGGTGGGAAGAAGAAATTGTTCCAGGGTCAGGATATATTCACCTGAGTTCTTAGTTCGAGTACATAATTTCATGGTCTGGAAACTCATTGTTGCTTGCAAAAAGTGACCTGAAGTTGCAACTTCGAACTCGATTTTCACGAAAACTATTCATTAGGTCAGAAAGGAAATTTTATACAAGACGATTACGTTAAATTAACAGATTTGTTTACGGAATAACTTGAGAATGGAGAGTCTTTGAAAAGAATGGCACATTAAAAGTATTTAAAATGAAAACAAATTTTGCTCGACGCATCTTTTTGATCTAAGGTTTCGGTTGTGAATGAGATTTTTGATTTGCGATATGAAATCATGATTTTATAAACTATCGCTACTTGTTTGATTTTCGCAAGTTTACGAGTGAGTTTTCCTTATTACGGAGTTGATAGAAAAAATAAACAAAAATCTAACCAAGCATAAATATACATGCATTTACATACATGATTTTTCTAAATCAAATCATTGTAGTATGAGGAGTTCGACTGCTCCATATTTGGGAATTAGCGTCATTTTGCAATGTACAGGTTGTTTATTCGCACTTGACACTTCTTGACAGTACTGTCATTCCTTGTATTGCTTACAGATAGTATGCAGCAAAGCATTCTTCTTGAATTTTTGGCAGGGGTAGCTCTCAAGTAGTTCTATAAAACATGCAGGATTTTAGTCGGGAACTACTGTGGGCGGAGTTGTAAGCGTTAAATTGAACATTGAATCAAGTTCATTTTATTAGTTGACATTGCACGAGGGTTACTAAATCTACATGAACTTATTCACTATTAAATGACGAATTTATCCCACCCACAATTGTCTATCGGTGTATTCGGAAGTTTTTTTGCCTAACTATGTTCTACATAAATTGGAAAAAAGGAAAATTTTATCATTTCCGATCTAAAAGCGGCGAGAGAAGCCATTTTTGCGAAATTCATAGAGTTACTTGATGAAAGATAGTGATTTCGAAAGCGTTATAACCAGATAAGTTCACGACTAATCTCTATTAAACTATGTTCTCGAAGTTCAGCCCTGACAGAAATAAAATCCAATCCCTATAATTAGTAAGCTTCAACATAAATATTTTTCCATGTAATTTTTCAATTATTTACTTTGGTAGAATCCTTTGGATGAAAAATTCCAAACAGAAAAATCTTTAACAATACTCTAATACAAGTTTCAATGATCAATACTATTAGATTGATGCAGAATAAGCGAACCGATTAAGTGACGCAAACAATCAAGATAGTAATACTTAAATCATGTGGTCATTATACTCACAACTATACTGATTAATGAAAACAATCTTGACGATATTAATCAGCATTTTTTTCTCCTCCTTTTTCCCTCACTCATCATGATAGCTGAAAGATAGTTCATCTAGAGATGAAGATCTCAATGAGGAGGGAGAATGGGAGCCGAGAAAAAAAGGCTTCTCTCATGTCAATAAATAGAAGATGATAGAAGATTAATTCTTTGAGTCCGTTTTCATCAGCATGATTAATGACACCTTATTACGATTTCTTTACCAAAAATCTAATCAATCGAGTGAAAAATCAATCAATAATATAATTAACAGTATCATTTACCCATAAGAAAAGTTAACCGATCTAAACTATTAGAAAATGTGCGGGAAAAAGTTGCAAAAGCGAAATTTAACCCAATTAATTGAAACTGCGACAGTAATTACATCAACAATCAACATTTCATCATCTTCAACGGTTCCTCTGGATAATCATGACTCTTCATCCAATTGGAGTAAATCAGTTAAACCACAATTGTCGACAATCAGTCAAACCGGACCAATTAAATTGTCACGTCGTGATTATCTACTCATCTCTGTATTTGCTTACATAAACATCATAACCGGAGCAGCTTATTGTGTTTTGTCACCCTTCTTTCCGAAAGAGGTAATTAAATGATCTTGGTCTTTGTATCATGTAGAAAAATTAATTAAAGTTCATCAAAAAGTATATGGCTAATTATTGTCGTGCACGTTTCACTGAACCGATAAGTGATAATAAAATAAATCATCATTGATTGATTTCTTTCCAATCAACAGGCTGAATCTAAAGGACTATCTCCATCGACCTATGGTTTTCTTTTCTCCATCCAGGAAGTGATTGCCTTCATCTTGTGTCCAGTCTATGGAAAATTTGTAAGTTGACCATAAATCGGATATATTTTCATTCCAAGTGATTCATTTTTTGGAATCATATCTTTGATAGAATTAGATTTCAACAAGAGAAAAGAAATGAGTTGTATCTTGATGTTCTGTAACTTTTTCTTTTTTACTTTGATGATGAAAAGTAATTAATAAAGAAACTTTAATTAGCTAATTAGAGCAAATGTATCTTCTTCAATTAGGTTAAATCAGTTAAGTAACAGTTATATTAATATTAATAGTTATTGTAATAAAATAAATGACAGGCTATTATAATTAGGCAGTTTGATAATCTTAAATGTAAGTCAAGCTATTTTTTCTTATTATCAATTACTTGGTGTACCAATGAAATGTAATTAATGTGTTTATTTTGATTCATCAGTCGAGAAATTAATCAACATTTAACTATCTTACCAAAGAAAATCAGATTAAATTTACCTTGATTTCTATTTTGTTGTCAATAATTTGCTTTAAAAGTTTTTTTCTTTCCTGAGTACTTGTCTTTGTCTAAATATTAATTACTAATAAATCAATTAGTTATCAATTAGTTATGAGCAACTTGAACAAGAATCAATTCAATTAATAACATAATAAACACACAGTGAGCACATTGATTGACTCTCCATGTTGTTATCCGTAAATGTCATTGATTTTTATCAAACAAATTAACACCAGACTCGAAAGGAAGATGATGACGATGGTGATATTGGTGATGATAATCAACGAAGTGATATTAATCGGATGATTATGACCTAATCAACTTAAATAATAACTTCATTCTTTTCTTAATTGTCAATAAATTTAAGTGAGTTACAAGTGGAAAACCACAACAACCCACTCGTCTATTAATCGTTGAAAAATTAGCATAAACCAATATCACTCAATCATAATTTGATTGATAGAAACGAGGAAGAAAATTCAATTCTAACTGTAGTTATATCTAAATCACTTACAGATTGAAATTTAAAGAAAAATGCTCATTTTCTCATTCGTTACTGTGGTTACAATGTTTCCTAATTTCCATTTGATTTTTAGTCAATTTTCCCTTTACTAATCACAATCAGCTAATAATTTCTTAATTTGTGTACCATCAATTGATTAGTAGCATTTATTGTTAAAAGTTGTTTGTTAATTTGTCAAGGCTCACAAATGATTTGACTCTCATTCGTTTTTACACTTTTCTATCCAGTTACCTAAACTTGGATTTAGATTGACAATTTTAACTGGTATCTTTGTTGGATCAACTGGAATAATCTTGTTTGGGTAAGATAAATATTAGTCTTCTTTTAACAATTAATTTGTTTCAATTGTTTCATCTGTTTTTCAGAGCATTAAAATGGGCTCCAAATGGGACACTATTCACCACCTTTTGTGCCTTAATCCGATCATTTGGATCAATAGGATTAGCAGCAGTCTCAGCAACGTGTTATGCCGCAATCCCGGTCTATTATCCAAATCACATCTCTCAAGTATTTGTAAGCTAATCCTCTAAATGACTTTGGACATTGGTACTGATAATTTTCACTTTAAATCAATCTCTTTTCCTCCATAGGGTTTGATTGAGATGTGTTATGGTGTTGGTATGATCGTTGGCCCTCTGCTTGGTGGTTTCCTTTATGAGGTCTGGTTCTAAAACAAATCGATCAGCAATCTTTGATTTAATTATAATTGACTAATGAATCTTTTGTCTCTGACATATTTTTTCTTTCTGTTAGGTTGGGGGCTTTGATTTGCCCTTTTTCGTCTGTGGTGCTCTTCTTTCCCTTACATTTCCAGTACTATTCGTCCTCTTCCCGAGAAAAGCAAGTGAGTTCAATTATGGATTATCTGATTAACCAATTGAATTTCAATCAATAACGGTTGTTGAATCACATTCAAACTCTTCATTAATTTTAATATCAAGCAAATCTCATCATCTGATTAGACATTTATTAGAAAAAAATAACAATAGCAAGTGACGATGATGGAAAAACATAATTATAAATCAAAGGAAATTTCTGTTGATTTGTTGATTATTTTTATTTTGTTTTCTTCTTTCACATCCTTGATTGATATAAGACTCTCATCGATTGATAACTTGAATATTAACTATTCCTGCTTGCTTTTCAAACTGTTAATGATTAGAGAAAAAGAGACTACTAATTATCTTTATATTCATGAACCTTCACGATGAGTCAAGATCTTGAATCTCTAACTTTGAATTTGATTAAGTTTGTTTAATTGATGATTTTCTTTCATCTTTCATTCAGAATTGACCAGAAATGAGAAAAGTGCTGGAATATTCAAAGTTTTATCCAATTGGAGGATAACATTACAGATCCTCATAACTATTGTACTTTGCATCGTCTTTGGGTTCAATCAATCCATGTTGGAGCCACATATTAGAAGCGTAAGAATTTTCGACATTGAGTTCGTTATCATATATTGGGACATTCTATTATTTGCGTCTCATCTTAACAGTTTGCTAATCTGCGATCATCAGCAGTTGGATCAATTTTCTTATTATCTGGTCTATTTTATGGTATTTTTACCTGGATCGTTGGTCTGTTCATGTCGAGATATAAAGATGTCACTTTCATGAACATCGTCGGTTCTTCACTTATCATATTAGGGTTCATTCTGGTTGGTCCTATTTACCCTTTGCCAATTAAACCGTATGTTTGACAGTTTAAAGATCAAGTCTAACCTAATTCTAAATGGGAATGAAACTTTTCTACAGGAGTATTGTACTGGTTGTATTCTCTCAGATCGTTTATGGAATGGGCTTGGCCTTTTGTTTCGTTTCCAACTTTACACAAGCAATGAGGGAAAAAGAGTATGATAATTGGTAATCTAATGTTCCAATTTATCAATAACAAATTGTTCTTTTGATCTTTCAAGTTTATCTGATTTAAAAGACGATGTTGGTGCTGGTTCAATGATAAGTAGTCTTTTTGTTTCTGCTTATGCCCTTGGGTAAGAAATTGAAACTAATTTACTTTTGCAAAGTGAATTTTAACTAAAAGTTTCATCGTATATGATTATCAGAACTGCCCTTGGACCCATAATTGGAGGTTATCTTGTTGAACATTTCGACTTTCCTAAAGCTTGTTTCGGTATCGTTTTGTTGACAATTATAATTGTAAGTACATTGCATTATATTTTGGTTACCTCATGAAGTTCTGGATTTATCTCAAGTTCTAAAGAATTTTTCACTTTTTATTCCATCAGTTGTTGATTATAATCTTCACCATGTTATTCCATGAGCGTAAAAGCTTCGATGGTGAGAATAAGAAGAATAACTTCAATGAACAAATTCGTTATTGAGTTTAAAGATATAATTCACCAAAATCATAATCTCAATCAAAGAGTTAATTGATTACTCTTTGATTGTGAAATATAAACAAAGTGATTAGACAAGATTGAGTGGTAAAGATATTAACTAATAACTGTCGAGAAAACAGCAAATGTACAGGCTTGTGACTTACCGAAAGGAATCGAATATAAAAATGAGCTTTATTTTTACGATGGAATTTGACAATTTACATGTTCTATACTAATTTCTATCATTAAATTTCCAATACTTTACACATGATATAATTGTTTAACTTCAAATCCGTGTCAACTACTCGATTAAGACGAGCGTCTGATTTACAAAGTGATAAAAATCTTACAATTTTGCACCAAAAACAATATGAGATTTGCTAACAGTTTAACAATTAAGTAGTGGCTCAGTTTCTCATGTCATGAAATCAATTACTTCATTGATTAGTCTTCTCAATAACAATTTCAACCGTTCCAAGAACAATATCAGTTGAAGTTGATTCGAGTTTAGAAACATCGTCTTCGTCCGAATTAATCGAGTCTTTATCAGGGAAATTCTTTTCAACATGATCGGTATGGACTGTAACGATATTCTCTTGGCTCTGATAAATTACTCTGCTTTGCACTCTTGGAGTCGATTTGTTGTGATAATCGTCACTATCAGAAGACTCAGATTTTGACTGACAAGTGGAGTCTTGTGGTTCTTTTGTGGCTTTGGCCTCGGCCTCTGCACGAAGTACAAGATCCCAAGTATTTCGAGTGTAATATAGCCAAATCATTACAGAGGCAGGAAAGACGACAACAAAACCAGCAGCAATGTAAACAGTACCTGGAGAGTTCTCAATAGTTGCATTGAAAATTTTAGAATAAAAAACGGAAGAAATTAAAGGACCAGCCGATTCGATACACGAAAGAATAGCATAAATTTGTCCAATCTCATTTATACGGATGATTCTTGAAATTATGGATCGATTTGCAATCGGTAAAAGTCCTACAAACGATCCAAAAACAACACCAATGAAAAATCCTGGAGCACTCAGAACTAAACCTCTAGCAAACATGGAAGCAGCAAGAGAAACACTGCCAAGTATACCTATCGCTGTATCATGAAGATGAAATTTATGTAGCAAAATTGGGGGAGTAACTACGGTCACAATGGCGGGAATAGAAATGATTGACGCTGACATGTAGGAATAGTATTCGGCACTCCACTTGTACACTCTCTGGGAATATTGAAAACCAATCGAGTTTTCTCCCATGTAACCGATCATACAAACCGCCATTGAAACCATGATAAGGTGCAGACAAAATCGTCCATTGTGATCTCTTCTTTTGAATGCAGTATAAAAGGTACTCAATATATTGCGAACGTTGAAAATATCTAGAAAAATCTCACGTGCGGTTTTTTGTCCTCGATCACATTGTTTGGCTTTACGTTTCAAGTCGTGTTCATCTTTACCCTCACTCTCTTCACCATCTTCTCTAGTTTCCTTTTCTACTTTTTCATTTCCTGGATCATGTCCCTCGGCATCATCAAGTAAAACACAAACCCAAATCCCAGCGAATGTAGCACTAATCGTTGAGACCAAGAAGACGCCGATATAATTACGAGGTTGGTTTGGGAACCAAGGTTCCATTGCAAGTACAGCTCCACCGACAATTGTTGACAATGGAATCGCTGTAACGATTATCATGATAAGACAATGGAAAACAAAAACAATTAAACTCAAAAATCTTTTGGCATGATAACAACTTTTTCATCATAAAAATTCTGGTTTTTTTTCTACCAGCAAATAATCTGATTGTGTACTAACCTACGAATAGAAAAAGTTCCAAAATTGCAAATCGCAAGGCTCGATATTTGGCCGGAGTTTTACGAGTAGTGTAAGTGTAACTGCCCGTCATGATAACCACCAGACTACCACTCAAAGCGGGTGCAATGTATGCATATAACAAAGAAATTGGTGCTAATGAGAAAAGTATGAGTTTAGTTAATCTGATGAGATTAAATGAAAACATGATTGAAATTAGATTGCAGAAACTGTTTTATTTTGCTTTTTCAAGTTCAATGATAAGTTTTCTGTTTGATAACGATAATAATAATAATGTCGAAAGGTTAATAACCGTTCAACTCTTACCTATTTCGAAATGGAAACACTGATAGATTATTATGAGATTTTGTATAACCATGCTAAATGGAACCATTCCCAGAAGATAGCGAATGTGGCCTGGATAAGTGTCCATCCAATAGCCCAAAACTAGAGCGAAAAAAAATCCAGGAAGTGAAGTTATAATTGTTGTGTACATTTTCAGGGTAGTTCCTTTTTCTAAGACTTTATTTCGTAGCGATTCATAATCAGTTCCTGAATTTTCAAGGTTCATACAAATCGATTGATTAACCGAATAAGTGTTGATACAAAATTTATCTTGAGCAAGTTGATTAACGGTAACCGAGGGCATGTAAGCACCGAAAACTGCTAAAAGGAAGAAAACATCGATTCGAAGTAACTTAATCAACTCTACATAGTCACGGAACTTTAGTTTTCCCATAGTGAACAATTAAAGGTAATCAGAATGAATTTTCCTAATTTCACAAAAGACAAAATAGAAACTGAATTAAAAAATTCTCAGTTCACCTTTCCAAATACAATGTAATCACAACAATTAATCAGCCGATAGAAAATGATGTTTCCGATTAATCAGGCCATTGATTGTTTAATCAATGAAACCAAAGACAATTAGTAAATCAACTTGTTGGTCTCCCTCCATGACTATTGATTAATTTAAGGATTCATATCAGAGGCGTTGTTAATTGTTAATTGTAAATAACACCAACCTTTTCGAGTGCATAAATTTTGTCGATAATACAATTATCAATTCACATATTTTATTGATTAAGTACAATTAATATGCAACAAAATTAGATAATTTGTGATAAATTAATAATTATTAATATTATTTAATTACATGTAATATTGATGGATACAATTACTAGTATTTGACCATTTCAATTTGTCTATTAGTTTATAGAATCCTCTGATTAAGTAATAATTAAATCATCAACCGGAGTTTATATTATTAATAGTTAACACTAAACAATTAAAAGATAAAATAAATGGACAAATGTAAATAATATATCATAAATATTATCTTTTAACTTGACGATTAATAAATTATCATTATTGTGGTTCGAGCCAACTGATTGAATCTCAATCATTGAAAAACTAATAACTGTCATCTTATTAATATAATAAAGTGCACGACAAAAATTTAGGTTTTTCGTAAAAAATTCAGATTAATCATCATTTTGATTCTCTAATTTTGATCAAATTCATTTCACAATTAATTTGAGATAATTGCGATCAAAATCGGTCAATCGAAAAAATTTGTACCGAATGTACTTTAACATGGGACCTAATGGAAAATTACGGGTTTTGATTGATACTCAGAGACGATTGAGGCAAGAGTCGTGGAAATTTGTGTACCAATAGCTTTGTAGAGTGTCCACAATAGATTATAATTAGATTAATTAGGTGAACTGGAATGATAATTAATCTGGACATTCGATTTTTACAAGAAAAAAACCTAAACTTTTGTCGTTTACCTTCACGTACAAAGCGACTAACTTGGACTTATCTAAGGTCTCCAACCTAAGCTAACGCAAAAAAGAAACATACACTGCGTTGCAAAGCATTAAGACCAACCGTTAATATTGATAAAATCAAATATTCTCTTTAATCTTTTGAAGAAAATAAATTTATTGCTATTAGAAACATGAGAAATTATCAAAATAATAATACAGCCAAAGCCTTTGAGTTTGCAACCAGTTTTTAAATCATTCACACAGTTGAATATAATCAATGAGAGATACAGTTAACCCAAAGATATGATCATAAGTATTGTTCTCTCATTCAAGTAATTCAGTCTCTTACTGAACATCAACTGATTAGATATCAAAAGTTATCTTTACTTGATTATCATTAAAAACGCAAATGATTTAAAAGTGGTTGCAAACTAAAAGTCTTTGGCTGTATTTAATCAACTTCATTTTCTTCATATTCATGAACTTCAACTTCGATTCATTTTTCGATTATTATAAGCACAATTTGATACATTCAAGTAAATCAATTGTCTTGCATAATTATAATCTAATGGCGGAAGTAGGGCAAGAATACAATTTATTCATCAGTTCAAGTTGTTTGATTAAATGGTGTTTAATTTGCTCACCTTTCTATTAGTAAACCAATAAGCTCAATAGATGATTTAGAAACGTGGCTACAGTTACAATGATCAATTTATTATAAATTGCCAGTAGTTAAAAAATTTAGTTAATTATTTCATCTGATTGTTGAATTAGTCGAAATGGCCTTTGAGAAACTTCGTGGTGAAGTATTGGTTGATTTTAAGGATGAAATCGACAATTCAATCAATGGATTTGAAGTTACCTGGTCAAATTTATACTATCGTGTTTATCCAAGTAAATTTAGCCAAGTGGTTAATACTTTGAAAGGTCAACGACGAATATCGGTAACTAAAACGATTCTGAAAAACTGTTCTGGTACCATTAGATCAGGTCAATTTTCGGCAATAATGGGACCCTCTGGATCAGGTAAATCAACGCTTCTCAAATGTTTAGCTGGACTACAAGTGAGTGGATTAGAAGGTAACATCAAATTTTCTGGTTCAACTTCACCAATATCATTGATCTATTTACCTCAGGATGATAAACTCATTGAAAACTTGACCGTTCGTGAATCAGTATCTTATTCATATAGAATGAAAAACGACATCAGAAGATTAACAATTTCCGATGAGAAAAAGGTAACCACTTTGTTAAATCAACTTGGTCTTAATGATTGTGCTGATCGATTGATTAAAACTATCAGTGGAGGTCAAAAAAAGCGAACCTCAATAGCTCAAGAATTGACAAATTCACCCAACATTTTGTTACTTGATGAACCAACTTCCGGATTAGATTCATCCTCATGCTTCCAGTTAATTGAACTGCTAAATTCAATCATGAAACAATCTCCAATCGCAGTAATGATTAGCATCCATCAGCCTTCATCTCATTCATTCAGTGCTCTTCATGATGTTACCATGTTATCTCATGATGGACGAACAATTTTCTCAGGTAAACCAGAGAAAACAGTGGAAACACTTTTATCGGTAGGAATTCAAATTGAAAAGTTTACCAATCCTGCCGATGTATTAACCGAAGTAGCATTTGGATCTTATGGCCTGGATACTATCGATAAATTAGTTGGACAAAATGAAAAACGATCGAGTAAAGATCAACAACTAGAAATAATAGAGAGTGTCACCAGTAAAAGGAAGATGAAGATAAATGATAAACCTTTTCACGATTGTATTGATACATCTTGTGGTTCGTCATTGAACATCTTTCTCGCACTAACTGCTCGTCATTACACCTTTAATAAACGCGATAAATTAACAATAATCCTTAGGTATCTTTTCGGGTTCAACATCATATTCCTGTTGTCTACATTTTTCCCTGGGCGTGGACTTAGCGATGGATGCTTACCTGATACAGTTGGAAATGACCTTAAAAATGGACGCATTGACAGTATACAAAAATCGGTTCAGGGCCACTTTTTCATGACCCAAGAAAATATTTGTTGCCTCTTTTTCGCAATGTTATTCGTTATATTGGCCAATCTATTGCCTTTATCTGCACGGATTCCATTTTTCTTGCAAATTTTCACTAAAGAATATTCTAATGGCTGGTACAATCTAAAGATATACTTTACCTCACACTTTGCGGCCGAAGTACCATTCTCACTATTCTTATCGTTAATTTGTATCACTGGTCAATTCTATTCCACTTCTCAGCCATTTGATCGGCTCTTTGATACTATCATAGTTTTCTTAGCGACTTTCTTAGTCGCCCAACTTCATGGATTAGCTGTTGGTATTTTATTGATGGATCATATATTATCTTCCGTATTAACTGCACCAAATACTTTGATTCCGATGCTTCTTTTGTCCGGATTTTTTGTTCACATAAGCAACATGCCATACATATACCAGATAGTTTCTCATCTCTCATATGTAAGGTATAGTTTTGAAGGTATAGTGGCCGCCGTTTTTGGCTTCAAAAGGTGAGAATTGAGTTTACAGTGTTTCCTGATTGAAGAAACCAAAATTTCAAATGAGAGAACCTTTTTTTCACAACAATCAACCAAATTTAAAACAGAAACCAAATTTTCTATCAAGAAACCCTAATGATTTTACTCGTATACCAATTGTGATCAATTAATTGAGATTTTGGATCTTAATTTTTTATTGATCAATTTTGATCAAAAATCGTTCTAAAAATGAAGGCTAATGTGTATCATTCTCATAAAATTGATTTAAGAGTAATTTTAACTTAAATAAATGAATCACAATTAAAAATCGTTTTGGTTATTGATTTGAAAATTTGGTCTCTTATTTTGAAATTTGGTTTATTGTTATGAAAAAAAGGTTCTCTCATTTGAAAGTTTGGTTTCTTCAATCAGGAAACACTGTATGTAGTATTCTTGTAATAACATGATAAATTTACTTTATCTCAAATAGGTGTTCAGGTCAATCGCAAGCTATTCAGGTGGTTGAGGAATCAAAGAAACAGCTAGGAAGTTTCATGCATTCGATGTTCAAAATTGCCCGCGCAAACATCGATAAGTTGGTATCATCCCAGGAATCGAGACTTCTAGCAAATCAATCAGATGCATTAACCGATTCAATTATCGCAAGTTTGGATGGGCCTTTTTCAATAAGAGGCAGTGAATCGGTGTCATGACATTTTATCAGATGACTGATCAACACTATTATCAATCGATTCTAAAGCTTTTTCTCATCGCCGTTGCTGAAATATTGTTCATCGTTATCATAATTAAATTATTTTTTCGACGTAGTTCATAATCATCAGCACCATTATTGATGTGATAATAATCGATTTCAATCAATTTCTCTGTGAACTAGTTCTAATTAATAAAAGGACAATAATCATTGGGGAAAAAAGGATCTGCCATTAGATGGTCTTGTTATTTTTTTGGCATTCACGTTTCAATTTTACCAATTGTCAGAGGTTTTAAGCTAATTGGTAACCATTGGCCAGTTCTTGGTATTATCAAAGTTGTTATTGAATAAAAACAGGAGAAAATAATAAACGATCAAGATGAAATAAGATTGTACTTCGAAAGAGCAAAAAGTTTCAAGCAAAATAAAAAATGGAAAAGGATTCAAGCTAATTATAACAATCCCTTTAATGTTTTATTCCCTTTTGTGTCAACTTTTTTAAGAGATACAGTAATCTCTTGACTAATGCATAGAAAATGTGGTAAAGCCGCACTTAATTCTCAATAGATGGCGTTAATTTTTTCTGCCTTTGGCAGTGCATTTTTTCCTATTCAAACGCCACCTAGCGTGAATTAGCCGCGATTTAACCCACAATTTTATGCGTTAACCAAGTTATGCATTAGTCAAGAGATTACTGTAATTAAGTTACTGAATTTTGATTTTATGGGAATGATTTGAATTTTCTCACTTAATTTAAAATGGTAGCAATTCATGGATAACCAATTTACTGAGGTGATTTCACTCAAACCATATTAGTTTTCAGTATCTCCCGCTAATTGACTAGCGTAATTAGGTTTGGATTAACGAGACGAAAGAGATTAGTGCACTTTTTTAAACAGAGATTAGCCCGTTTTGTTATGTAGATATCGCTGGAATATGCTTTGAGTAAAACCACTTTCCCGATCGGCCATTAAGTAAATTGCTTAGTTTAACAGGTAAAAGTTCAGATTATTGTTTTTGGCTTTTATTTATTATCTTATCTCTCTATGGAACATTTTACAAACCGTTAAGATTAATGAGGATTAATCTATCTTCTTAATCGATTGGATTATAAGATTATCAGGTTAAAGACATCACAATAATACTCGATTTCCGATGAAGAACTCATAGATGATCTATTAATAGTTTGTCCATAAAATACAGTCGAAGGAAAAATTACTTTTACATTTTTGTATTTATACTTTTGCGCAGACAAAAGGATAAGAACGATTAGCCAGCTAATGATAAAGTTGAATCTTTCATCATTCTAATCATTGATGAATTGATGTTATCGGTTTTTACGTGAAGAATTTACAATTATCGTAAAACTTCATTTCCTCTGACTGTAGTAAATGATGACTAAATTGAATTAAATCATTGGTTGCAATAACGCCTTATCTTGAACTCTATTTTTGATTAATCCGTTTTCAGGTTGATAAGTTAATTATATAAGTGTCGTGTTTCATTTTGAAACTTTCAATATGCGTTTAATGTTCAATTGTGTCAATTTTTGTGGTTGTGATCAATTATCATCATAGGCAAAGAAAATATCGTGAATTGACAAAGTGTTGACTAAAATGCCTAAACTAAGCAAAAACGATCTGCTAGAAATCATTAGTCTTTTACGGCTTGATGTGTTCTTTTTGTTAGCTATGCTTGGCTCTTCAATGCCATCGATTACCATTAACCAATTAGCTCAAGACAAGTGGTGTCTCAACTCGTTCTCGGGAAACCGGTCAGTTTGCTTGGACCTGGCAAACTCTGGAACAGAATATGAGTCCTTAAGAAATGAAGTTCTGAAAAAAGCGACAACTTTGAAAATGTATACAACCATTTTAACTACGATTCCTGGTATACCCACATCATTATTTCTTGGATATTGGATTGATACATATCCAGGTCACATTCGTTATCTCCTAACATTCGGTCCAATTGCTATAGTCATTCAAGATTTAATGATTATTTACCAGTGCGTTCATTTTGAAACAGGTAAACATGAAAATATTATACTAATAACATGAAAGCTCAAAGTATACATGTATATGGGCAGATAAGATTATAACACCTAAAAGCCGATAAGATTTACATTGTAATCTATGTTTTATTTTGTACCTGGATTTATAAATAGATTTATTAATATATAAGATCGTCAAGCTTAATCAGCAGCAAAAACGCCAAGAAAAACGTATTTATAAATTAATTATGCAAAAATAGATAATTTTCTTTTCAATTGTGATTAAGTTTCTCTTCTACTTTCCATCTTAATTTAATTTTGATGAAAAACTCTCTTAATGTGTATTGTGATTTAGTTATAACTTTCAGTGTAAATACTAATAGTTATGAATTCATCATATTTTCTTAGGAGCGATGTCTTTATTATACACATACGTTGTACCCGCAATTACTTCGAGCTTGGTAGCAACTGGAGCCTTTACATATGCAACTCGAAAAACACCGGCCAAGTATCGAGCCATCAGATTCACCGTGTTGGAGATATTTGTCATTGCAGGTTCGTTGTCTTATTGGACATTCAATTCCAACTCGATTTTTAAAAGATTGAGTTAATATTTTTATCAATTTCTTTTTCAATAAAAGCAATGCCGTTATCTTCCTCTATTGGTGGTCTTCTTTTGGGAATGAAGCCTTGGTTATCTAGTCAACTTCGTAATTACGTCGGTGTCATTGTCGTAGCAGCTTCGTTTTCATTGTTTGCAATTATTTGGAGTGCAATTATGATCACAGATACAAGTCACGATATTCCAAACAAGAAAATGAGACAACAAACGATGAAAATAGTAAAGATAAACCCGAAATTCAATCAACCCCGATGTGATTGATATAAAGAAGGAGAAAACTTTGAATGAAAAGATTTCAGAAGTTTTCCAATTTGGTAATCTGATTAAAACTGTTCAAACAGCACTAAGACCTCGAGAAAATAACCAAAGAGCCGCTTTACTTATGATTATATTGTCAATGATCATTTGTAATATTGGTTACCTGGGTGAAAATGAAATCGGCTTACAATTTGCCCAAAGAGTGTACCATTGGAGTTCTGAACACTATTCTTACATGACTTCCTTTATGGTCATTCTTCCGGCAATTTTAATTTTCGCTACTCCGGCCATTTTAATCCATAAGTATAATTTACACGACACCGTTGTCGGAATCTTGGGTAGTTTATCTCTCGTATCATTGTTACTTATTAAAGGAATATTCTTGAATCAAACAGCTTTTCTAATTGGAGTGATTCCTGGTGGATTCATTGGCCTCTTACCCATCGTTAATAGGACAATCGTTTCAAGAATTATTCGTGCCAATGAAATTGGTCAAATTTACTCACTCATTTCAAGTATCGAACCTGCTGGACCTTGATATCATCTGTTCTTTATACGAAAATTTTCAATGCGACAATTGATGATTACCCAGGTACTGTTTACCTTGTGATTGGAACTATTTGCTCTTTTCCAACATTCGTGACAATTTGGCTCTACATAACAAAAGATCAGTGGGATTTAGTTCTAATTGAAGAAAAAGCAAAGGCAATTAGTGGGGATAACAACAATAACGATAATCAATCAACTTCCAATCGTGGCGGTGTGACCTCTAAAGCTCAGCATTGAGCAGTGCCTCTTTTCAAAGTGATTATAATACTTTCCAGATTCGAAATGAGCTTGACGAAAACAATCAACCAACAACATGATAATCGGAATTGAGAGAGAGAAATTTAACCACTACCGAAATATCATCAATTTGCAATAACGAACAATAAATTCGAAAGAGACTGTTAGACTTCAATCGTTCACTGAATAGTTGAAGCAAACCATTTTATAATCAATATCAAACAATTAATCACCAACAATTAAAGTCACCCTATTTACTAAATTTTGTCAATTTTAATTGATTCACATATCAACTCATGGCACCAGAAAACAGGTTAATTTTAAAGTTGATGATGGTTACCCAGGTTTGAGTTTTCTGAAAATATAACAAGATCTTGACAATTATCATGAAATTAAACGTGCTGAAGCTAAGATCTTACAGCGAAAAAAGAAATTAAAAGAACTTGACGAAGAGATTCAAGTTTCTTGCAATGAAAATATCTTTAATTGTTTACATGGGTCTTTGAAAGATATTTAAAAACTTGCAGGATCTTGTTAGGTGAATCAATGAGCTGATGTTGAATGTAACTTTACAAGGAAATTGAATGTTCTTTCGTTAATTTTTGAGGAAAATGTATCAATCATGATCAATATTTTGAGCATTCTAAGCCAGAATACACTATCAGAATCGTAAGAGGTACACATAACAATCTTGGCTTTGATACTTTCAACGTTTATGAGTGTTTTTTCTGAGCAAGTTTCAACCTGAAAATGTTTTTCGCTATATGAAGTAATTCATCTCGAAAACTGAAAAGTCTAAATCACGAATTGATACGATAGATTGATTAGTAAGTTGCTTGTATTCTTGAACTAAAGCATAAATTGCTTCAGTTTAGAATGTTCAAGATCTTGATAAACAGCAAGAAAAGTCAATATTTCTCAAATGACTTTTGATTTGCGACTAATTCATAAGAAACTTTATAAGAACAAGAACCTTTCTTGTATTTATACAAGATACTATGATAACAATTGTGATTTAGGAAAAGTTTGTTGAACTGAATCTGATCAATTGTTAACTCAGGATATCTCCTTTTCAACATATTCATAGTACCCATTTCTATGTCAATATTCTAACAATATCAGCTCTATCACTGGATGGACCAAACTTTATTTGTAGCTTTAGACTATTCATTTCATCGAACTTTTCAAGCCATTCTCGAATAAAGTTTTGATGTGAATTTAGGCCTTTGCAAATCAGATAATTGTGACACATTTGATCCAATTGTCCTCTGGTTCCATGAAATGATTTTTTTAAGTTGAAAATATTATTTTCGAATGTGAATGCAGATAAATCATTAGAGATCCCGTTTCTAGTACTTGATCGGAAGATGAAGAAGAAGGTGTAAATTGAAGCGCATTTTCGATGAGCCATATATTTCCTGAAAGCCTTTTATGAAAATTTTAATTAGTGATTTAATTTCCTCATTTGCGAGTCAATATCATCACAGAGAATTCTGGTTATCAGAGATAGAAGCAGCAACAGGAAGAATGAATCATTATCGAGATCTTTCATCATTGGTATTAAATTGTATAGGAACGTTCTCGATTCAGAGGCTTTCCAATATCATAAAATCTGCTAATGTTCTGAACTTCCTACTCAGATCATGAGGCAGCTTTAAATTTTTAATAAACTGATCAGTTGATTCAATCACCTTAGCATGAGTAAAGGGAATCAATGACATTAGTTGGAAAGTTCCTTCAAGAATTGCATGCATGTAGTCGATGGGAACTTGTAAAGGTACTTCAATGATTTTAGTAAGAATACATTTGCCTTTAACACCATAAGAAATTGACTCTCTTTCTTGAGCTAAATTACCATGACGCATGTAAAGAATAATTTTCTTTGAAAATGAATCGAAATCATCATAAGGATAAACAAAAGCTCTCTTCCATTCGTACCAGTAACAGATTCACGGTGCTAAACAATACGGCATCCATATTCACCATTAAAGGCTTTGATGTTCAAAGTTTTATATTTGCTACAGAATCAAGAACGATTGCTCCTATTCTGACATGAATATTTTGGCACCATAACGTGTTTGTATAATGAAAGGTAATCCAGTAAAACATCGATTACTTTCTTGCGAGATAATACCAAGAACTTGAAGAGGCTCGATTAAGCATTTGTCCCATAGAACTTGAGAGTTAATTTTTCCAACACCCCAATAAAGAGCGAGATTATAAACATTTTGTTTCAATAATCTTCGATGAACAGGCAGTTCGGCAATTGTCATTGAAACTGGAGTTGCACATGTTTTAGATGATTTCATCATTTGAGCATCATCCATATTTATCAAAAGAGTAAATCTCACATCGTCATTCGAAAGTTCAACACCATTCCAAAGTTTCTTATACATTTGTGATCCAACAAACCCAACACGTTCTTGATTCAGTGTAAGATATTCATAATTAAGTTCGTAAATATCTTTCAGTGTATCTGACAGGCTGAATACAACAAGATCCCCAAGATTATCAGGACAGCATTTTAAATCTGAATCACTTATTGCTCTCGCATGAGATGACAATACCAATACTTGTATGATGTTATGGTGCATAAGTTTCTGACAATCATTGAATCTAACGAAAGGTAACAGTGATACTTTTGATTCACAAATTCGCACAATTAAAGATAAATCTTTTGATTGCTACATCGCTGAGCATACATTCTTGAAAGATCTTGGCAATTATTAGATATATTCCATCTATGTTTCCAGGTCGACTGGCGCAAAATCTTGTCTTGTATCATTAAACGAGGATGTTGGTCTTCAGAATCAACTCCATCAGAACTTCATTCCAGATATCTTGAATAGAATCATGATCTTGAATGACACTTTCTTGATTTTCATAAGCAGTTTCGTTGAGTGGATCATCTGTTTCATTTCATGATTATCTACATGATCTTGTGAGTTAGTGTATGTTAATCTTGTTGCTAAGCTCGAAGGGTTGTAGATCCAAGCTCTATTCATTTGATGACTTGTTGTTATGTATCTTCTCTTTGGCATATCTGTTGATAGTCTATCAATGTCTTATCACAAGTTCTTTCTTTAGATTTCTGGAGAAAAAGGAAATTAGAAAAATTGAAAAAATGAAGTTAAATCATTTCAATGATCGTAATCATTTTCATTTATAACTGTTTTTCTTGTGAAATTCATTTAAATTTTGTGAAATGAAATCTTTATCAAAAAGATCTTCTTGAAATAAGTGAGAATCTCAGTTTTCAGTGAACTTGCAAGATGCAAGTACTTCTTCATGATCCTGTTTCTCACCAATTTCTAATCAGAATGGCTAAGTTCTATGGTGAAGTTCTGAAGAAATTGAAAAGTAATTATTGATAAAACTTTCGTGTGACAACAAATCAAAGTAAAGTTCTTGTTATCAGGTGCTTTTCTACGGTGAACTTTCTCGCCAATTCAATATACGAGATTAATAATCCTAAGACTATTAGTCTATCGGGCAAGCAAATTGGGATCGACTTCTGATTCTTCCTCATCAAAGTTCTGCGCTCTTCAGCTACTCAAGACGAAACTGAATCCAATTCTAATGTGAATAGCTTAAGATTATTGACGAAATAGGCGAGATTGTCAAAGTAAGATCTTTGCGGGAAGAGTATGATAACCTCAAGGACGATCATCAACACAAGGGAAAACATTCAAGAACATGATGCTACCTTGTCGGCTAATGATAGTCCAATGGGTTCTAGACTAATTGTTTCTATGGCTCAGACAAGATCACGAATCGATTGGAAAAAAAATTGGAAGATTTTGATTGGGATGGTGTCGGATTATCAGCTAACGACGCTGAAGGTTAAAATATAAATTGTCCGATGAAAGATGCCTTCAAGAATGATTGTAGCTGTTGGAAAAGCTCTTTATGGCCAAAAACTATTGACACACTTACTGGGTGATAGAGGCAAAGGTTACGACGAAAAGATGTAACGAAAGACCATGTGTTTCCTAAAACTGAAGAGGACAAATTGAGGAAAATATTAAGCTTATTTGGTCCTACTTTCGTCAATGATACTATTTGGAGAAAAGTTGTTAAGCCAACAATCAATCAATGTGGTCGAGACATGAAAAGATCTTGTATTGATACAATTAATGAGTCGATTAATCAAGAAAATCAAGATATTGGTGATAAACAAGATCATACAAGAGATGAAAAAGAATCGGAAGAAGAAAAAGAAGAAGAAGAAGTAGAGGAAACTCTAAGAAAAAAAGATACTCACATTGACTTAGATATTTACACTGATTACGATGTTTGATTAATTTGATCAATAAACTAACAATTAATAATCATAACAATTGTAAACAAATTAAATTTGTTAAATAGAGTAAATTTAATTTATTTACTTAATAAATATTGGCTTAAACAAAATGTTCTTTTTCAGTTCGTAATTTATACGGGTCCTAACATGTGCAAAAGTTCTTTTTGTTTACATTCGCTTTCTTTTTAAATTCGATTCAATTTGAATATATTCCTTATTCTTTAAGTGTTGAAATTTGATTTTGTTCAATAGTTTTTTTGTCGAAATTTTCAGATTGTTTCAAGCAAATATCATGATGGTTGATAAGATGGAAATAGCTCTTGAGTTGTTCGACAAAATTAAACCCACGATAAATAGAAATGTTCCCATAAAAGGTAAGTTCAGATGAGTAAAGATTTGATCTTAATTCAATTTCATCCATGTTCTTTTCTTATATTTTCAGAAGCTAAGTGTATTCTTCTTGATCTTCATGATGGTGAGCTTCACAGAGTGGGCAGATGAGGTGGCTGATATGCGATGTGCACTATTCCAAGCATTCGATACAAGTTCAGTTTATCGCTACAGATCATCAGAGAAATGAAATAACCAGAGTACTTTTTATCACTATCCCATTGAAACTCATGATCTTTTACTGATTTACAAGAAAAATCAGACTAGAACTTGCTGCTAGGAAGTGAATCTTTCGTTCAGGTTAAAAACTTGAAGATTTATCATCAACAAGAAATGATTGAAAATTCAGTACAAGCTCATGAGGAAACTGCATACAAAGTAGCGAAATGAGGAAATTTCTGAGGAAACAATTTCGTAAGCCAAGTTCTTGTCAGTTTATAAAGAGAAAGATTCTAAATCAGTTAAGATGATCAAGTTGATCCTGAGGAAATTAAACAAGAACCTGATTGTCATCATAGAACGATCTCCATCCTGTTCATCAGAACAAGCTCTTGATTCGGTAGAAAGAGTTCTGCAAAGATTGAGTCAAATTATGACTTTGAAACAGAAAAGAAGCCGAGCAACAGCAATGAAAATTCTACAAGAAAAGTCCAATGACAATGTAAGTTCTCAATTTTTTCGCTTAATTGTTTATAGATCTCACAATTTTTTCATCTAATTTTCATCAGTGAAACAAGAAATCAAAGACTTTCGAGTTGATGGAGTTCCCGTTGATCAAATGCGAAAAATTCGAGCAATTTAGTTTCAGGATCTTCATCGTGGGACGAGTCATCAATGGAATCGTTACACATCTTTTCAGGATAGAAAGATTAAAAGTAACTCTTTTCAGCCCAAAAATAGAAAGCTTTCGACAAAAGATGAAAATCTATCTTTTCTAAAGACGATGAGAATCAGCTAAGGTAAATTAATAATTATCTTAACTTCTCATTCTAATTGAAATCCCTTAACTCTCCATTTATTTAGCTATTCTATTTAAAATTGATCAAAATTTTCTCATTGGATTTTGTCTATGAAAAATTGTGAGACAAAATCAATCAATTCGGACGAGATTTAAAGCGAGACAAGAAAGATGAGATAAAAGTGACGATGAAAGTGATTAATCAAGAATTTAAAGCAATTATCGCCAAGAACACGTGGGATACAAGAACATTTCGAATCATGAATCCAATTAATCACCAACTCTACATATTTAATCAACTCTCATATTTGTTATCATTGTCTTAATTACGTAAATAAGACAAGATCTTATCCGTATCAAGGACCTTCATCTTAATCAGTCACATTTAATCAGACAATTATCCATATTATTTTTTGTAATTTTCGTTATCATGTCAATAAGACAAGTTCTTATCAGTCAAATTAATTAGTCACAATCAACTACCAAAGTATAATTTTTCTATTGTTAATCAGTACAAATATTTATTTATCTAATCTCATTTTATCAAATTTCCGGAAAAGAGATCAAAGTGGATCTTAAATTGATTATCACATTAACCTTTTCTTCATTTAATTTTAAATCATTGTTAAGAGTTGAATCAATTATAATTCAAAGCAGCAAAATGTCTCAAGATCTTTCTAGTTATTCCTTATATTCTTTACCCCAAAGTGATTTTGATATTGAAACCGAAGGTAAAAGTTCTTGTTTATTTTCATCGATCAAATCTTCTTTTTTATTTGTTCTTTTTATTCAAATTTGCAGATGCTTTTCTTGTTTGTGAAGCTTGTTCATCTGATGAATGGTCAATATTTAGCGCAAGTGATGTTCTGATGACCAAGGATAAGATAAAAGAGCTAATCTATCAACAAGATCCTAGTTTCATCCTACTGCTTCTCATCCCAAGGTTATTTAATCAAGTTTTATGGAAGAGAAGAAGATGCTCTCGTTTATCAAGCAACATCAGTTTGTAATACAAGAAAAGTCGGAGGATGTGGGGCCTGAAAGTAGATATTGGATCAGGCGCTGTGATAATACCTTGATTTTGTCTAAAAGAAGGAAAATTTACCATACTCTCAAAAGATTTTAGTGAACCACAAAATCTACTGAGTCACCTTCAGTTTCTGACGAAATCAAAGTTCTCAGCGTATCACTGAACAGTCTCATAGAATCAACTTGCTCATTGAAACATGAACTTGCAACTATTAAGACTGAGATTTCATCTAATGTCTCCAATGACAACGAGTCTGTTCAAGATATTACTGAACAAGAATCTAATACAAGATCTGATATTGTTTCTCAATTTATCGGAAGATTTCTCATCTTCGAAAAGATTCAAATGTGAGTTTAAAGTCTTGAAAACTTTTCATTTTCTAATTATTTATGATTTTTACAGTGGCAAAGAGAAATCAAATTCATTGATACCAGAAATTTACCTCGTGTGAAATGTTTACAACTCAAGAAATTGTTATTGAAAGGCTCAGAATCCAAGAATATTCTTCAAGAACTTGGCCACAATTATTTTCTGAAAGTTTTCGTTCAAAAGATTTACCCTGAATGATTTCATAACCCAAGCTTCTTCTTACAAAACGGAATCGGAAGGTTATTTTCAATCAAGTTATTGGTTTAATTGATGGTCGGATTTTCACAATCAAAATCAATGGAAAATATTGGTACAAGAACCTATTAATCAACTTAGAGAGTTGAAGAGAAAAAACTAAAGACATTGAAGATATCAGACGTAAAAGATTGAAAGCTCTTGAACCACAACAAAATGGTAGAACTTAATATCATTGTAATTGCTTGCATCGAAAATTCTATTGAAAATATAAAGATAATTAAAGTTTGATACAAGAAATAAATTTCCATGCTTTTTCCTTTAATCAAATGAAAGACGCATTCAAGAAATTTATTAAATAATAACCAAGATCTTGAAATTACTCACGGCAAGTTCTTGCAAAAACATGAATGAATCTCATGATTGTTCGGCAGCTTCATTCAACGAAACCACAAGTTCCATTCAAGATCTCGTTGAGTCTTGCAATTGATCTATCATGTTACTCGGTCTCTACTTGTATCCATCGCGCGTGTCATTTTAAGATTCACATTGAATTAATCAGAGTACTCGTAATTTTCTTACGAATCTACCTGAAAGAGTTCTGCTGATTTCTACAATGTGCCATAAATAAGCAATGCAAAACAAGCTCTCATTACATGTATGATTAACTAAAGATCATTTATGAAAAAGTGTTGAGAGACTGGCAAGATCTTGTAATAATCTTTCGACTCGTAACCAAAGTTACTTGACTTACTCCATATAATTTCCATGGCTCTCTAAATTAAGCCTAACAAGTTCTTGTAAATTTAACTTAAGAGTAAATCCGGTTTCTTTTCAATTCCATGTCCGAAGCAATGCTAAAAGTCTTCAATGTTCTAAGCACTTTTTTTGATTAAGTTATTGACAAGAATACTGTCAAGATTGTAACGTGCAAGTTTACATGCAAGTTTGATAAATTTTCATTTTCTTACCTGGTGTAGCCAGCATCATCAATTATCAATGATAATATTAAACAGATTGAACGAAGTCAATCATTATTAGTAACACAAAATCAGCTGACAATTGAAAATATCAAGCTTACAAACATATCTTGAGTCTTACCGAAAATTGATTAGTTTCGGTCAAGTCTTTTCTATTCAAAACTTAAATTGAAAGAGAATTTGAATTTACCTTTAAGAAGTGCTTTAAGTAGTGCCACATCTTGAACGTAAAAGCTGAACAGCGGGTTCGATCTTGGCCAACATACGAATAGGTGACTGTAAATGGTCAACCCGTGCGACCAGTGCCAATGCGATAAAAGGTTTTATCAGGTTCGAGTATTCGGGTTTGATTGAGAGAAGACCAAACATTAAAAGGGTTCCTTGTGAATGTCCAATCCAACCAATGGAATCTAAAAAGATGGACAATCAATTACAATTGTATTCTAATTGCAAGTGGTTTTTGTTTACGTGAGATTTTCCAATTATCACCTGATCGAATTGATCTTGATCATATCTTGAGATGGAAATGATTAGTGATGGACCGATCCGAGTAAATGACTCGATTGGAGGCTATTACTAATCATACTTTACCAATGGTTCTAGTAGCCCTATTTGGTCGTAATCCTAACCGATGATTAAGATTATGTAAACAATTAATCTATTCCTTGGCTTCGTTTCTCTTTCAACCTTTATGAAGTTTCAACGCATGCCAATCATATAATGGAAAAACAAAATGACTGATTACACAGAACAACAGAAAACAAGGTAAAACCTCTGCTAAGCATTTTAAACAATTAACAATTAAAAGAAAATATATAAAATTAAATAAACAAAAAACAGAAAAATAAACAATTTAGCTTAACTCAATTTAGATTATAGATTTGCATAGATAAACAAAGAGGGTAAATCTTGTCAATTATATGTAGTTACACGTGTAAGGATAACAATCGATCAGTAATCGGAATAATCATTCAACACTTATGATTTATAACTAAACTGTAACAATATTTCAATTATGTATTTAAAATTGGAATGTTAATTAATCGTTAGTTTCATAAACTAATTGAGAAAAAAACGAGAGAAAATAAAAACATTACTTTTTAAATTCTAAAGCTGTTGGTTCAAAGGTGCAATCTTAGATGGCGCTCATGAAACTTGATATTCTTTCGAAATCAAATCAACTTCATGAGAGTTTCAATGATAGTCCAGTGGTTAGAATTGAGCTAATCGTCGACTGCTTGTTATATGTTCGCATATTCCTTGTATACAATTTGACTATTTATTTGATAGAAAACGATTTACTAACTTCCAATGATGAAATATATTAGACAAGCATATGGCTGATTCTAATTGAGGAAACTAATAATTCTGAGGAAGTTAATTTTGTCCAAAGATTAGTAGCTTATTGCTCTTAAAATTTCATCCCCATGAATTGGGTATTCGTTTTTCATCACTTTTTTGATGATTATTTTTCACCTTTCCTTTAAATCATTGATTAAGTGATAAGATTCTGATAATCGAATCAGATGTAATAATATTCTTTTATTTTCATATCAATCGACCGCGAAAATGTGAGTATTAGTGTAGTATCAAAATAGATTATTGTTATCCAACTTATACATTTGTACATGTATTTGGTAATCCAAATTTTTTCGTAATTAGAATTTTTCTATTCGTTTCTGGTCAAACTCGTCGAAATCACAATCTATCACCAAGTAGCTCTAACAATTTTGCGAAAATGGTTTTTCTCTTTACTTTTAAATCGGAAATGTTAAAATTTTTCTTTTAAATGTAGAACATGCTGATGAGGTAAAGTTTGTTCATTAATAATAAATTATTATTTATAATAATAATAGTTAATAAGTTCATGTAGATTCACACTATTAGTTTGGAAAAATCCACCGTTTGATAATTTTAGTTTGCTCATTTGGTTTGTTTGCAAATTGAACTAGAGCCGCAATAGATTCTTAATAATTTCTGGCATTTTATTTCAATCTTTCAATTTATTTCTATTATAAACTTAGCACTTGGATTGAAAATTAGTAAGATTTAACTGCGCTTTAACTCGTACCTTAATAAATAACAAACATAACCAGATGATCTTATGACTTATTCCAACTGAGGAAATATTTGTCGAAAGATCATGGAAGCTTTTCCCTTTATGTTTGATGCGATTCGTTAGAAATTAGGTACCAAACCGTTGATTAAATAATACATTAAACTTACTATTATTCCGAACTACCCTCTTTCCTGATAAAGAATTGACTGACAGAGCAGCAGGTAATTATCAGAATATTAAATAGCAGTTCGATAAAGACTTTTATTTGTTCAGATTTGACATAAAAAGAGTATAAAAACTCGAGAAAGCAAGAGATTTAATCATAATAAACTTCTCATCTCTAATCAACAAGTTCATCAGAAAAAAAACAAAATGAATCGTATTTTTGGTTTTTTTACATTAATTTGTGTTGCAATAACAACAACTCAGTATGCCGAAGTGAACGCATGGCCTACAATGGAATAAAAGCTCCTGGCATGGGAGCCGTCTCGTTTAATATGAACGCTGATAAACTAATGAAAACGTTGCCTGAGATGCCAACAGCTCAAGGAGACCCGAACGACGAACCTGAGGATGAGAGTGACGAGGATGAAAATGTCGAAGCTTCTGCCGTCGCTAATTCAGAATCATCTAGTCAAGGACAAAACGAAGATTCAGGAGAATCAAACAACGAATCGTCATCATCATCTAAAGCTAATCAAAATACACCGATTGAAAATAATTCAGCTGACGAATCAGATCGTACAAGCGAAAACACATCATCATCTTCATCTACTGAAGCTGATTCCAATACATCAAATGACGAAGTTGAATCTGCTCGAACAAGTGAAGACACCGATTCACAAGCAAAGGCCTCATCTGAAGCTAAAAGTGACTCGCAATCATCTGAAAAACAAAAGAATAGACCAAAATCAACGAACACAAATACATCAACATCATCGACTAGTTCATCAAAAGGACAAACCGCAAAATCAACAGGACCAACATCAACTAGTTCATCTGCTACTGCTGCTGACTCAAGTTCATCAGGTTCACAGGATGGCTCATCGGGAAACGGAGAGGATGCTTCATCATCATCAACGAATAATGCTTCCAGTGCCGCTTCTTCTTCAGCTTCATCTGCTGGTAAAGGACAAAACAATGGATCAAGGCCATCTAACAACGGACAATCATCATCAGAATCAGCAGGATCAGGATCATCGGCTGCTTCATCTACTGCTGCTACTGGCTCATCAGGTTCATCAGGTTCAGATAACGGTTCCTCAGGCAAAGTAAACAACAGTCAATCATCATCAAGATCATCAGGACCATCAGGATCAGAATCATCGGCTACTGTTTCATCTGCTGCTTCATCCGGTGCTGGCTCAGAATCATCAGGATCACCGGCTGGTTCATCATCTGCTGATGCTGCTTCATCTGCTGCTGCTGGCTCAAGTTCATCTGGTTCATCAGGTTCAGGAAATGCTTCAGATAATGGATCATCAGGCAAAGGAAACAATGCTTCATCTTCATCATCATCATCAAATGGTGGTATAATGGTAATGATGGTGCTGGCTTGCTGCTTCAGCTGCCGCTGCTGCTTCAGCTGCCGCCGCCGCTGCTCTGCTGCCGCTGCTGCTTCAGGATCATCTGCTGGTAAAGGACAAAACAATGGATCAACAGGATCTAACAACGGTTCATCATCATCAGGATCAGGATCATCAACTGGTTCATCTGGTGCTGCTGTTTCGGTGCTGTTGCTGCATCTGCTGCTGCTGGCTCAAGTTCATCTGGTTCATCAGGTTCAGGAAATGCTTCAGATAATGGATCATCAGGCAAAGGAAACAATGCTTCATCTTCATCATCATCATCAAATGGTGGTAATAATGGTAATGATGGTGTTTGTTGCTGCTGCTTCAGCTGCTGCCGCTGCCGCTTCTGCTGCTGCTGCTGCTGCTTCAGGATCATCTGCTGGTAAAGGACAAAACAATGGATCAACAGGATCTAACAACGGTTCATCATCATCAGGATCAGGATCATCAACTGGTTCATCTGGTGCTGCTGCTTCATCCGGTGCTGCTGCTTCATCTGCTGCTGCTGCTGCTGGCTCAAGTTCATCTGGTTCATCAGGTTCAGGAAATGCTTCAGATAATGGATCATCAGGCAAAGGAAACAATGCTTCATCTTCATCATCATCATCAAATGGTGGTAATAATGGTAATGATGGTGCTTCGCTGCTGCTGCTTCAGCTGCCGCTGCCGCTGCTGCTGCTGCTGCTGCTTCAGGATCATCTGCTGGTAAAGGACAAAACAATGGATCAACAGGATCTAACAACGGTTCATCATCATCAGGATCAGGATCATCAACTGGTTCATCTGGTGCTGCTGCTCATCCGGTGCTGCTGCTTCATCTGCTGCTGCTGGCTCAAGTTCATCTGGTTCATCAGGTTCAGGAAATGCTTCAGATAATGGATCATCAAAACAACAATCATCTTCATCATCATCATCAAATGGTGGTAATAATGGTAATGATGGTGCTGCTTGCTGCCGCTGCTTCAGCTGCTTCTGCTGCCGCTGCTGCTTCAGGATCATCTGCTGGTAAAGGACAAAACAATGGATCAACAGGATCTAACAACGGTTCATTCATCAGGATCAGGATCATCAACTGGTTCATCTGGTGCTGCTGCTTCATCCGGTGCTGCTGCTTCATCTGCTGCTGCTGCTGGCTCAAGTTCATCTGGTTCATCAGGTTCAGGAAATGCTTCAGATAATGGATCATCAGGCAAAGGAATCATCAATGCATCATCATAAACTGCCGCTGCTGCTTCAGGATCATCTGCTGGTAAAGGACAAAACAATGGATCAACAGGTCTTGCGGTTCATCATCACCGCTGCATCGCTGCTTCATCTGCTGCTGCTGCTTCAGGATCATCTGCTGGTAAAGGACAAAACAATGGATCAACAGGATCTAACAACGGTTCATCATCATCAGGATCAGGATCATCAACTGGTTCATCTGGTGCTGCTGCTTCATCCGGTGCTGCTGCTTCATCTGCTGCTGCTGGCTCAAGTTCATCAGGTTCAGGAAATGGTTCAGATAATGGATCATCAGGCAAAGGAAACAATGCTTCATCTTCATCATCATCATCAAATGGTGGTAATAATGGTAATGATGGTGCTGCTTCTGCCGCTGCTGCTTCAGCTGCCGCTGCCGCTGCTTCTGCTGCTGCTGCTGCTTCAGGATCATCTGCTGGTAAAGGACAAAACAATGGATCAACAGGATCTAACAACGGTTCATCATCATCAGGATCAGGATCATCAACTGGTTCATCTGGTGCTGCTGCTTCATCCGGTGCTGCTGCTTCATCTGCTGCTGCTGGCTCAAGTTCATCAGGTTCAGGAAATGGTTCAGATAATGGATCATCAGGCAAAGGAAACAATGCTTCATCTTCATCATCATCATCAAATGGTGGTAATGGTGGTAATGATGCTGCTGCTTCATCCGGTGCTGCTGCTTCAGCTGCCGCTGCCGCTGCTTCTGCTGCTGCTGCTGCTGCTGCTTCAGGATCATCTGCTGGTAAAGGACAAAACAATGGAACAACAGGATCTAACAACGGTTCATCATCATCATCAGGATCAGGATCATCAACTGGTTCATCTGGTGCTGCTGCTTCATCCGGTGCTGCTGCTTCATCTGCTGCTGCTGGCTCAAGTTCATCAGGTTCAGGAAATGGTTCAGATAATGGATCATCAGGCAAAGGAAACAATGCTTCATCTTCATCATCATCATCAAATGGTGGTAATAATGGTAATGATGTTGCTTCGCCGCCGCTGCTTCAGCTGCCGCTGCCGCTGCTTCTGCTGCTGCTGCTTCAGGATCATCTGCTGGTAAAGGACAAAACAATGGATCAACAGGATCTAACAACGGTTCATCATCAGGATCAGGATCATCAACTGGTTCATCTGGTGCTGCTTCATCCGGTGCTGCTGCTTCATCTGCTGCTGCTGCTGCTGGCTCAAGTTCATCTGGTTCATCAGGTTCAGGAAATGCTTCAGATAATGGATCATCAGGCAAAGGAAACAATGCTTCATCTTCATCATCATCATCAAATGGTGGTAATAATGGTAATGATGGTGCTGTTGCCGCTGTTGCTTCAGCCGCTGCCGCCGCTGCTGCTGCTGCTGCCTTCAGGATCATCTGCTGGGACAAAACAATGGATCAACAGGATCTAACAACGGTTCATCATCATCAGGATCAGGATCATCAACTGGTTCATCTGGTGCTGCTGCTTCATCCGGTGCTGCTGCTTCATCTGCTGCTGCTGCTGCTGGCTCAAGTTCATCTGGTTCATCAGGTTCAGGAAATGCTTCAGATAATGGATCATCAGGCAAAGGAAACAATGCTTCATCTTCATCATCATCATCAAATGGTGGTAATAATGGTAATGATGGTGCTGCTTCTGCCGCTGCTGCTTCAGCTGCCGCTGCCGCTGCTTCTGCTGCTGCTGCTGCTTCAGGATCATCTGCTGGTAAAGGACAAAACAATGGATCAACAGGATCTAACAACGGTTCATCATCATCAGGATCAGGATCATCAACTGGTTCATCTGGTGCTGCTGCTTCATCCGGTGCTGCTTCATCTGCTGCTGCTGCTGCTGGCTCAAGTTCATCTGGTTCATCAGGTTCAGGAAATGCTTCAGATAATGGATCATCAGGCAAAGGAAACAATGCTTCATCTTCATCATCATCATCAAATGGTGGTAATAATGGTAATGATGGTGCTGCTTCGCTGCTGCTTCAGCTGCCGCTGCCGCTTTCTGCCGCTGCTGCTTCAGGATCATCTGCTGGTAAAGGACAAAACAATGGATCAACAGGATCTAACAACGGTTCATCATCAGGATCAGGATCATCAACTGGTTCATCTGGTGCTGCTGCTTCCGGTGCTGCTGTTCATCTGCTGCTGCTGCTGGCTCAAGTTCATCTGGTTCATCAGGTTCAGGAAATGCTTCAGATAATGGATCATCAGGCAAAGGAAACAATGCTTCATCTTCATCATCATCATCAAATGGTGGTAATAATGGTAATGATGGTGCTGCTTCTGCCGCTGCTGCTTCAGCTGCCGCTGCCGCTGCTTCTGCTGCTGCTGCTTCAGGATCATCTGCTGGTAAAGGACAAAACAATGGATCAACAGGATCTAACAACGGTTCATCATCATCAGGATCAGGATCATCAACTGGTTCATCTGGTGCTGCTGCTTCATCCGCTGCTGCTTCATCTGCTGCTGCTGCTGGCTCAAGTTCATCTGGTTCATCAGGTTCAGGAAATGCTTCAGATAATGGATCATCAGGCAAAGGAAACAATGCTTCATCTTCATCATCATCATCAAATGACGGTAATAATGGTAATGATGGTGCTGCTTCTGCCGCTGCTGCTTCAGCTGCCGCTGCCGCTGCTTCTGCTGCTGCTGCTGCTTCAGGATCATCTGCTGGTAAAGGACAAAACAATGGATCAACAGGATCTAACAACGGTTCATCATCATCAGGATCAGGATCATCAACTGGTTCATCTGGTGCTGCTGCTTCATCCGGTGCTGCTTCATCTGCTGCTGCTGCTGGCTCAAGTTCATCTGGTTCATCAGGTTCAGGAAATGCTTCAGATAATGGATCATCAGGCAAAGGAAACAATGCTTCATCTTCATCATCATCATCAAATGGTGGTAATAATGGTAATGATGGTGCTGCTTGCCGCTGCTGCTTCATGCTGCCGCCTTCTGCTGCTGCTTCAGGATCATCTGCTGGTAAAGGACAAAACAATGGATCAACAGGATCTAACAACGGTTCATCATCATCAGGATCAGGATCATCAACTGGTTCTCTGCTGCTGCTTCATCCGGTGCTGCTGCTTCATCTGCTGCTGCTGGCTCAAGTTCATCTGGTTCATCAGGTTCAGGAAATGCTTCAGATAATGGATCATCAGGCAAAGGAAACAATGCTTCATCTTCATCATCATCATCAAATGGTGGTAATAATGGTAATGATGGTGCTGCTTCTGCCGCTGCTGTTCAGCTGCTGCTGCCGCTGTTTCTGCTGCTGCTGCTTCAGGATCATCTGCTGGTAAAGGACAAAACAATGGATCAACAGGATCTAACAACGGTTCATCATCATCAGGATCAGGATCATCAACTGGTTCATCTGGTGCTGCTGCTTCATCCGGTGCTGCTGCTTCATCTGCTGCTGCTGCTGCTGGCTCAAGTTCATCTGGTTCATCAGGTTCAGGAAATGCTTCAGATAATGGATCATCAGGCAAAGGAAACAATGCTTCATCTTCATCATCATCATCAAATGGTGGTAATAATGGTAATGATGGTGCTGCTTCTGCCGCTGCTGCTTCAGCTGCCGCTGCCGCTG